TTTGAGCCTTGCCCAAATTTAATTCGAGTTTGGATTTTTTTGCCTAGAACCAATCCAAGTATTAAAACTTCTAACCCAGGGCCTATTTTTTTTCATGTTAGGCTCGGGTTGAATTCGGCTTAGCCCGCCCAAGTCGCACTCCTAATTTCATTAAATAGGTTGAAAATTATCCCCTTCATAGAAAGCCTGCTCTTTGACTTTCTTACTCGCTCTTTCACAGCCTTCCTTCCAGTTGGACTCTCCAAGCCCCCATGTGAACTACTATTGTCTCCTTTGTTTATCGACTCTAGTGTTGAAGGATTAGAGCTACTAGGAGTTGCACTACCTTTTGTTTTTTGCTTCTTAGACTGAGAATCCTCTATCCATTTTGGTTGATACCGTAACTCATTCCAATAGTATTCAAATGGAAAAGACCATTTATGAAGTTCCTTGTACACCTTCTTTGCATCACGGATCTGAAAAATTGTACAATAATATTATGTATCATAAATAAAAAAATACCTTATTTTTACACTCGTAATTAAAAATGCACATATACCTTGTTTTTCTCAATCAAACTACTTTGATTCAGAAATTTTAATTTGGTCAAACAGAGCCACAAAATTTATAGGTGGCTAGCTGAATTGTCGACCAACGATTTATCAAAGAAATTTGATTGCGATTACAATCTGACTGAGGTTTCTATTCGTTGAAGTACTCCCAAACCCTTCGCCATTACGTTTTAGATTTTTGCTAATTTTCATGCATGACATCCACGCTAATATTAAGCTAAATCGAGATTAAAACTAAGTCTTCCTCAAATGTAAAGTTGTTGCCTTAAACTTTTTTGGCAGTAGATTCTATTTGAGGTGATATTGGTGAAGAATGACCTATTTGGTCTACTGATTCAGTGTTAAACTCATTTAAGTTTGTTCTGTCGTTCAAGAGATTGGTGAAGTAATATCCATGTTCAAATAGTTCCATACATAATGTCTAGAATTCAACCCAAAATATACATTATTCATGTAATTCAATCCAAAAACATACTATAAATATAATTCTAATCAAATTTCCAATAAATACAATTTAATAGCTATTTAACACTCATCCATTTCAAATAACAAAAATCAATTGATAATAGTGATTCAACCATATATTGTATCAATTTAACCACAAATCAATAGTAATTTAACTACCTGTTTAACCCAAAAATCAATAGCAAATTAGTTACCTATTTAACCAAAAGTCAATATCAATTTGACCACATCTTTAACCAAAAATTAATAACAATTTAACCACAAATCAATACTAATTTAACCACATATTTAACTAAAAATTAATAACAATTTTGGCAGCAAAATAGACAGCAAATCAATGGGGAAAGGGAGGGGGTTTTGGCAGCAAAACAGTGGGGAATGGGAGGGGTTTTTGGTAGCAAAACAAGGAGCAAATCAGTGGGCAGGGGAGGGGTTTTCAACAGCAAAACAGATCAATAGCAGCAGCCATCAATAACAAGGAGCAGTAGCCAGCAAAGGGGAGGGGGAGATGAATACTTAGTTCATAGTTGAAGAAGTTCACAGAAGAATGCATCATCAATGAGCAACAACAAGGAGCAAGGAGCAAGGAGCAGGAGTAAGTAGCAAGCAAATCTGACCTCTCCAGATTTGCCGAGCATGAAGACCTTCTAAATTTTTGGCGAGAAGGATGGATAGTGGGTTGGAGCTAATTTTTTGAATGTTGCTCACCAAAATAGCTAAAATAGGAGAATAGCTAGCAAGGTTAGAGTTACTATTAGACTAGATATCATTTTTTTTCCAAGTCATTAGACGCATCTCGACTAATTCTCTCTTTGATTTAATTAAAGACAAATCATTTACATTAAAATTAAAGAATTCATGAAAGCCTAACCATAAAAGAATTATCAATTTTTGAACTTAAAATATCTGAATTTCTAACTCATCTCGTCTCTAAACAATATACAATAATTTTAAATTTGCATTGTCAAATGTATTCAATTTGCAACGATAGAATACTATACATAGTTATATCTTGATGAAGATATATTTTTTAAAAAATAAATAATTATTTACATTGGTTCTAGCATTCCAAAAAAGTAGAACAATTCCATTTGAGATTTGAATCGAACAACTTATTCAGTTGTTATCGGGGACAATCCGCACAAAAGAGGGCCTTGGACGAAAATACTAAATGACTGTAGTACTATGTATAGTATAATAATATAGATGCGATTAAATAATTATAATAGTATTAATATATGTTTGTTTAGAAAGTATTTTTCTTCATCTTGAGATGTAAAGCAGTAGTAATTAGGCATTGCAATTAGAATTCAAGAATAATTAATTCCAATGTTGGAATTTTAAACTTAGAAAAAATTAGAATAATTTCTTAAAGAAGTAAAATGCAAGCTATCTATTCTATCGGGGAGATGGCAAACGGAACGCACCAAACTCATAGGCAATGACGTTTTAGCTACCAAATCACGCATGCCGCGGGGGATCATATGCAGTTTCCCCGGTCTACCTGTTCAAGCGAGACTTGCAAGCGGCCAGGATTACATCGTACAAGATGTAGTGTTATAATGTGGTCATTCTATTAGTTTTACTTATTTTTCTCATCAAAAGTCACCCTCTTGACACTAATGAAAAAATTAACAAAAAGTTAACATAATTGTTACGTTATAATATTTTTGATATATTAAGGGTGTAATATAAAAAATTTAATTTTCAAAAAATACAAAATGAAAATTTTAAAATTTTTCAAGGGGCAAAGCATAATTCACCCTAAAAAAAGGGTAACATGCATATATGGCAACATGAAATTGAGCTAGTAAAAGCAAAATTGAAGCAAATTACACTTTGTATTCAAGAATTTTTATTTTATACTCTCAAAGTATCTTTAATGTACTAAAAATATTATAATATGATATTTTTATTAATTTTTTTAATGTGATAATGAAATTTTTGATAAAATAATTACTAAAAATTAATGAAATAGTTACATAGCAACACTTTCAAATATATCGAAGAAACGATGTGAAAAATTTAATTTGTGAAATTATAAAAGAAATAATTTTAAATCTTTGAGGACATAAAAAAGTAGAATGAATAAAAAGGGGCCGAAAAAGCAAAATTTTGAAAAAAAAGCTGTCGGCCTTGTCAACCATCACCACAACGTCACCGACGTTCCAAAGTCCAAACGGTTCTTTGTTTTAAAACTATCTGCCCTTGGCTAACAAATTTCAATTTTGGGGCTTGTGGCCTGCACCTCCAATACAAGACACACACCGTCTCTCTCTCTCTCTCCGGCCTCTTTGATCTATCCCGCCGTCATCGCCGATTTTAGTCTCCGATCGAACTCGTGAAAATGGAGAACCTAATAGCATTGGTCAACAGGTTACAAAGAGCGTGTACGGCGCTTGGCGATCACGGCGAAGAGAGCTCTTTACCCACTCTCTGGGACGCCTTGCCTTCCATCGCCGTGGTCGGTGGCCAGGTAGATCGATCTTTTTTATTCTTTCGTTTCTTGATTTCTGCGAACATCGTATTGTGAATCTTTGTTTATAATTGCATCACAGATTGCCGGCACTTATACAGTCTCTGAGCTGAGGGTTTTGTTGTTCTTTGTGCAAAGATTTGCTAGATCTCCACTTTTATTGGTTGTTTTGATATATTGATCTTGGATTTGTTCCGATATTTCATCAAATTTCAAATCCGACCTAAAAGTTTTGGATCAGTCCAAATAAACAAAAAGAGTTGTGGTTCCGTTTACCTCTTTTGTTCTCCTTCAATTTACTTTCATTGATGGGAAAATTATGTGGTTTTTTTTTCTATTAGTGATCTTTCCTTTTTTTCTGCTGTTTTGTGCTTAAAAATTGTCTAAGTTTACGGTTATCCTGTGTTTTATGGTCCTTGATACCGTTCATCTCAATAATAAACACCGGCACACAATATGCACGGATCTATGCGGTATATTTGTCAGTAATATTCAACTAATTAATGTTTACTGGGTTTCAATGTAGTCTTCTAATGAAGTAGATCATACAACATACAACAATTTCATAGAAACCCCAAAATTCATCATCAATTGTACATGAATATAACAATCAAATCTGAGTATACTTACTTTCCCATCTTGTCAGACTTGTGTTTGGACGATTTTTAATTTTGGTGATTGCTAGTTGGGCACATGAATTTCATTTGACTAATTGGTATTGGTTCAACTTGTGTTTGTTGGGTGTTTTATTCAGTAATAACTTAGACCTACATGTTTCATCATCCCTCGATTTTTCATTATTGTAGAGCTCCGGGAAATCTTCAGTGCTTGAGAGCATTGTTGGAAAGGACTTTTTACCTCGTGGATCTGGTAATTAATGTTGTTAGTATTTCTATGTTTAAATGTACAACTATGCTTTATTGTTATATTATTATGAAATTAACTTGTTCACTAACGTATAAATTTTGTTTATTGTTCATTCCTATGCAGGGATTGTTACTCGACGTCCTCTCGTCCTACAACTTCATAGGATTGACGAAGGAAAAGAATATGCGGAGTTTGCTCATGCCCCAAGAAAGAGGTTCACCGATTTTGGTAAGTATTGCCAGTAGTCCATTTGCCTTGAAAACATTACTTACTCCTCGTTGTTGCTGTGTTCTAGAAAAAATCATATCTATTTATTTTATGGGCTGATTTAATGTTGGGTTTTTGCCTAATACTCATACTTGCTATATGTCCAGTCTGTATCCCATTAGTGCTGGCCTTATCTAGGCCTCATCTTGTTTACATGAGCCTATAACTTTGTTTCACTTTGTTTTCCTTGTGATTTATCTCAGATGCTAAACCTCAGTTATTATTTTGTATAGCTGCTGTTAGGAAGGAGATTGCTGATGAAACTGATCGAGAGACTGGCCGTTCCAAACAAATTTCAAGTGTTCCAATCTACCTCAGTATATATTCTCCTAATGGTGAGATAGGATTGTTGCTCTGTCTGTGCATGGTAAATCATAATCAGAATGTAGATTGGTTTGTTTACAAGCCTATTTATACAGATTCTAGTTGGTGGCATTCTAAATAATGAAATGGATTGAACAACAAAGCAAAAGATTATTTATGAGAGTTCTAGGGTTTGCAACCTTGATTAAGAATGCCACGTGGTTAAGGAATAATAAGTCCACAGAGAGAGGGAAAAAGTATATAGCATGCAGTTTAAATGGATGTTAATATTGCTGAACGTGAAGACATGAAAGGATGGAATGAGAACTAATGGCTTCATGAGATGAATTAAAATTTGCAAAAACACATTGGTTTACATGATTTAACCACTTATAGGATCATGCTAATTTGCAATCCAGTTTCTTGTTAGGTGAACAGTGGGCTTAGCTAGTAATTTATGCACCTGCCCCTCCCTCTTTTCATTGTATTCTGTTCCCCTGGGTGGAAAACATATAGGGTTTAGTGAATTGCTTGACCTAGAAATTTTAGTGATAAATACATGTGCAATTTCCACTCCTTTCTTTTAGGGTAAGTGAATCTGCAACTTTGATTATTTCTTCTCATCCTTATGACTTCTGATCTTGGCAGTTGTGAACTTGACACTGGTTGATCTTCCTGGACTTACAAAAGTAGCTGTTGGTGAGTTTAGCTGCTCCTGATATGTGCAATTATGAAATTTTTTTAGATAGTTTGCCTTTACTATCCTGGTGACTACATGATTTTTTGTTTTTGAAACAACATATTGATTTACTAGAATTATATTATCTGGATTTTTGTAGAGGGTCAGTCTGACAGCATTGTGATGGACATTGAAAATATGGTTCGGTCCTATATCGAGAAGGTAAGTTACTGTTTACCGTCTGAAGTTTTGTTTTTGTTTTGGGTATAAAATCTATGTGAATAAAAGTCTAACTCTATGGAATTCTGGCATTCATGTAACATTGTGGGACATTTAATCCCATAATTATATGAATAATGTTTCCTCAAGTTTAGGAGTTTAGGGCAATGTTGCAAAGATAATTGCCGCACAAGTGTTCCTGATGGACTCTATGCTGATCTGGCCGAAGAAAGTATTCTTCAGTGTGGTCAAACAACCCCAGTAAAATTCAAAGAAACCCTAGGGCCTACTGAAAAATTCAGAAGGATGTGTTATTGTTTTTTTAATTGAGGTTTCCAATGCTTTCTAACAAAGGAGAGACTAGGTGCATTTAAAGTAGGACGTGGCTGAGAAGTTTCAGGAAATAAAATGAGTAAGAAAGAATCAGTTTCAGGAAATAAATTGAGTAAGAAAGAATCAAAGATGGTGATTTTTTTTGTTTATTCATCATTTATTTGTTTAGAGTGACCAAACCTCGTTTCTCATTTTCTTCTCATTCAGAGAAAAAAGAAAAGAAAATAGAGGAGGCAAAGGAGATACCTCTTGTCATGAAAGGAAATTCTTCATGTTTGTGGGGAATTGTGTTTTACTTGGTGTAAGTAATAGAAACCACAAACTTATTTTACTATATTTGTTGGGTTGTCATTCTTGGCAACATAAATGTCACAGTTTACTACTACCTGCTTGATTTGTGAAACTTCATAAGCTTCAAATCAGGATATCGTATATTAGTCATTATGGATTTATAGGATATTATTATGTTGGTCGTTATGGATTTACCCCACTGAATTAAAATCCTGTCTCTTACTTGGAAACAAATTTAATGTGAGATAATGTTAAAAAAGGATATTTTGTTGACTTTTTGTGTTTCTAACCTTGCAGCCAAACTGTATAATTCTTGCAATTTCTCCTGCCAACCAAGATCTTGCTACATCTGATGCCATCAAGATTTCTCGTGAAGTGGACCCCAAAGGCATGATGTTGTTCATTTTTCTCTTACCACCTGCAGTTTTGTTATCCTTCAACCTGGTGCAAAAGAATTGGATTTCATGTGTGAAGGAAAGTTATGAAGTCGATTGCTTAAAAGATTATCTAATTAAGGAAAATCTAATCATTTCATGGAATGTGTTAAGCAAAATTGCTTCTGGTTAAAGAAAGTTATCTAGTTTATTTGTTCAGCAAATATGTTCCAAGTTGATCACTTAAAAGTGTAAAACCGTTTGTTATTTCTTTTATGTTTTACATTTCTTTTTTATTATTTTAAAGAGGGGACCAGATCTTCTCAAAATTTTGAGGTTATACACATCTAGCCCTTTGATTTAACATGTTGACTAATTGAGTGATGACAATTATAGTCCTTGGTGGCTTGCCCTCATCCCTTTCTGATGATCTTCTGTTTTTCACAATCATATTTTCAGGTGAGAGGACGTTTGGAGTTTTGACAAAGATTGATCTTATGGACAAGGGTACTGATGCTGTCGATGTAAGTTAGCTTATTTATGATGAAACTAAATAATCTGATTGCAGTTCATCTTTGTTATGTAAATCTGTTTTGACCTAGGATGTGTCAGACATCATTTTTAAAGTGTTGGTGAAAGTGAAACTATTTTTTGAAATGTACTATTTTTTAAATATGTTTTTAAGGTTAAAAGATAGTGGATTCCAAACTGAGCATCCCACCCACTAGCCTATAAATTGAGGCTCATTGCGGAAGAAAACAGTTTCTGAAAACTCTGGCCCAAATTCTCCCAAAGCACCATTTATGACTAAACTCTGATATTGCTAGATTCATAAACTTCATTTGAACAGCAACAAAGACAACTTACCCTGCAGTTCTTTATTGTTTTACACAAATTTTGGTGATCTCCTTGATGTCAAGCCTTTTGAATTGGAACGTTGATCTCCTTGATCTCAGATACTGGTTGATATTGCATCCTGCAATTTACTTGCACTGCACCCCTTTGGATAGTGACTTTTCCGCAATAGATCCAAATACAAGTAGTGGATTACGAGCCCTTCTAAATGATAATGGGGAATTAGTGCATTTCTAACCTAAATGTCTATTTGTTTAGTTATTTTTGTTTGATGTTATAAATTATAATATTGAAAAACTTACTTGGCAGCATCTTTTTAGAGAGAAAAACCCTCCCCTTTTTTGTGGTTAATTTTTCTCAAGGCAGGGAGTTTGTTTTGACATTCTGTACTACTTAAGGTACATGACATTTATATGAAGGGCCCTTGATGATCGAACTAAGTAAATGTAATCTCTACTATGTTCAATAAAGTGTTTGAACCAGAATGCCAATGGGCATTAGCGAAGTGCAAATGAATGGGGAAACATCATCTGCAGGCTACTTGTTGCAGATGAGCAGGAGCTTAGCTGCTTGAGGTGCTCACTTAAATGGAGGCTTTCCATCATTGAAGAAAGACTGGCCTTCTGGCTTCTTCCAAGAAAAATCTATTGACTTGAGCTATGAACTTTGCATTATCGACATGATTACTAGTTTATAATCTTTTGAAAGTGCAGCTATACACACTGACAAATTGTATTTTTTTTTTTTTAAATCTATGTCAATTTCTTGATTGCATAGCTTGGGGCCCCTACTAATACTACCGTTTGCAAAATACTAAAAATAAAGAAAGGCACGTGCCCTATGTCTTCATTTCTTTTATACATCTTGGTTGATTTTCTGAGGATAAATGCCTTAATTTTTTTTGTTTGCTCTTTAGTTTCCATGCTCTCTCAGGCATATACTTGCCAGTATGTTTGTCAATATGTTTGCTAATGAAAGAATATCTCGAACTATAGTTCTGATTATCATGTGTTCCAGACGGGTCTTCTGTGCTCCTGCACTTATTGTACCCCCTTGCGGATTTCACGATGTTGACATTTTACTTAAAAAAATTTGACAGTGACAATATATGATGTTAGTTCATAACTAGCAATTTTATAATTTTTCCTATAAGTTGCTAATTTCTTAATTTGTAAAATAATCATAAAATGTTGTTGTAGATAAAATTGAAGAGTAGTTGCAGTTGAGTTTTTATGCATTGAATTTTAAGGCTTTGCTTGGATATTTTAGTAGAAGATGGAAGGGACTTTATCATATTCATTATCTTGCAGATGTTGGAAGGACGATCATATAAGCTACAGTTTCCATGGATTGGTGTTGTAAATCGTTCTCAGGCTGATATTAACAAAAACACCGACATGATTGCTGCTCGGCGTCGAGAACGAGAGTATTTTGCTAACACCCCAGAGTACAGGCATCTTGCTCACAGGATGGGTTCTGAGCATCTAGGGAAAGTCCTATCCAAAGTAAGGATTTTTTTGGTCTGAGACTATTTTTCTACTTGGGGTTTCAAGAGAAATATTGAACATAGTTTGTGGTTATTCATCTTATTTAACACGTGGGAGGGTCTGAATTGTATTTGCCATTGCTTATTGTATTAATACATTGGAGGCAATTATTCTTAGAACGGTTTAACCATGGCGATTGATTTCAGCTTGGCATTCTATCTGTTAATTGTTTCAGCATCTGGAGACAGTGATCAAGTCTCGAATCCCAGGCCTTCAGTCACTTATTAACAAAACTATCATTGAGATAGAGACCGAGTTGAGCAGGCTTGGGAAGCCTATTGCAACTGATGCTGGAGTAAGTAAGCTTTTGTTTTATGTTTTTCTTTCAAATTCTTTCTTTCTTCTGGTTTAATGTGTTATTTTTAGAGCCACAACATTTTATGGGAGTGATTCAATTATTACTTCTCATGCTAAATTTCTTTGGTTCTTTTCATCCTAAATTTCTTTGGTTCTCGTGCTGTTTGTCAGCCAGTTAACATTTCACTTTGCTTTGGTGCTTTTCTAACTTTCATTTTATCTGGAGTATCAGAATGTTCATGCTCGTTCCTAAGTCGTATATGCAGTGTCCAGCATTTCTAATGGGTCAACCCCCTCCCCTCCTTTTTGTTATTGCAGGGAAAATTGTACATGATAATGGAAATTTGCCGTGCTTTTGATGGAAACTTCAAAGAACATCTTGATGGCGTGTATGTAGTGCAAAGTTCTTCTATATTATCCTATGCTAATATTTCACGATTTTCATGTCGGTTTCCTATCTAACCTGCAATTGTACTGATCAATAAATTCTGCAGTCGACCAGGAGGTGATAAAATATACAATGTCTTTGATAATCAACTTCCTGCCGCATTGAAAAGGTTGCAGTTTGACAAGCAACTAGCAATGGACAATGTACGAAAGCTAATTACTGAGGCTGATGGGTATCAACCTCATCTGATAGCTCCTGAACAAGGATATCGCCGTCTCATCGAGTCTTCCTTAGTTACTATTAAAGGTCCTGCTGAGGCAGCTGTTGACACGGTATGCATTTGATTGTATGTCAGTTATTTTATGCCCACGTTGTCTACTATTTGGTGGGTATTTCACAACTGGAAATGGTGTTGATTATTTCTGTTTTGCAGGTCGTGGGCCCCTTTATTTTCTCTTACTTATTTTTACACATTTTCTCCCCTTTCAAACTGAAGATCTGAGCAGAAGCTTTTTGAGCTCAGCTTGGTCAAATTTAAGATGAGGCTAGCTTGCTTAAACTTTGGTCCAATCAAATAGTTTAGAGTGGCCTAGTTAAGGCTAGCTAATTTGATTAGAGTAGCCTAGTTAAGGCTAGCTTCACCTGCACAACTTGGGTAATTGGGCTATAAACCTAATTGAATGGGCAATGTTTTCTATTAAAACAAATTTGTGTCCGGGTGGGGAGGTTCTAGCCCCATTGAAGGTATCCAATTAAGTTGATTATGTCTAATGAGTAATGACGCTTGCACTATTGCCACAAGGAAAAAGAAGGGAAAGGTTGGAGGGGGAGGGGAGTGTTGACAAAAGGCTGGTACAAAGTTTGTTCATTCTCCCTTTCTTCATAGTTTTTACCACCCCCAATTGAACTCTTCCATCCATCGTCATTGGGGTGGGCAGGTGGGATCACTTGGACTAAAATGCGGTGTTACAATGATTTCAGGTTCATGCTATATTGAAGGAACTGGTTCACAAGGCAATTAGTGAGACTGTGGTAAGTCCCTTGCCCTTTTCTATCGGTCTCTATTCTGAAATTTGCTTCTAATAAATACATCTTGCCATGGTAAGAAAAGACGGTGCAAGGCATAGTTTCAGGAACTATTGTTTAGGTTTTGTATTCAACACACCTATGGTGTAGAACACCCTCATGGCTTGATTTCAATATGACTTGAAATAGTGGGCCTTGTGCAACACCAAAAATGGCTTTTTTTTTATAGCTAAAATAGTTTAAGATATCAGTGGAAAATGACAAGTGTGTTCTACTAAGTAATTGATTTTCATTATCAATGGAATGATTTTTATGCTGCTTGTGTAAAAATTTTGTTACCAACACATAAAAAGTGAACTTGTTTTGTGTTGATGTTTGCCAAAGAAAAGTGTTTTCTTAAAAAAAATTATTTTCGTTTTTAGACAGTGATTTATATGCTGTTCTTGACTGGGGTACGAAAATGCTAACAGGTTTAGGTTTGGTGTTTCATGTAAGGGGAATGTCAAACATGGCTTTGATGGTTCTCATTAAATGAAATGCGTCGTCCTGATGCTTGGTCCCAGTCCCAGTGCCTCCCCAGTCTGACTTGTGAATGAAAGCTTCCTTCTGTTTCATGCAGGAGCTAAAGCAGTATCCCTCTCTTAGAGTGGAGGTTGGGAATGCAGCCATTGAATCATTGGACAGAATGAGGGATGAAAGCAAGAAAGCAACTCTGCAGCTAGTAGAAATGGAGTATAGTTACCTGACAGTTGATTTCTTCCGGAAACTTCCTCAAGATATTGAGAAGGGTGGGAATCCTACACATTCCATTTTTGATAGATATAATGATTCCTATCTTCGGCGAATTGGTAAGTAGCAAGCAGGACCTATATGTTTATTTGATCTCCATTTCTGCATGCATATTTTTGAAAGATTTGAATTGGATTCAACTCTGAAGGATCTTGAATTCCTATTAATTTGCATTCTATATTCAACTCACACCTTTAATAGCAGGTTTTGTGCATTTTAAATGTGTTTGATGTTAATTAAAGATCTCCATCTCTCTTTTTCTTTATGAATCAAACAGGGTCAAATGTCTTATCTTATGTCAATATGGTTTGCGGGAGTCTAAGGAACTCCATTCCAAAGTCCATTGTTTACTGTCAAGTGCGCGAGGCCAAGCGTAGCCTACTTGATCATTTCTTCACCGAGTTAGGTGCCAAAGAGGTGAGGATACAATCCACCCCACACATCATAAATATAAAGGAAATGAAATATAAAGGAAAGAGGAAACTAAGTAGAAAAGGATCTGGATTGTACTCATTTGCCTTTCTAAATTATTGTGCAGGGGAGACATTTGGGTACATTGCTGGATGAGGATCCAGCAGTAATGCAGCGGCGTGTTTCTCTTGGGAAGCGGCTGGAATTATATAGAGCTGCCCAAGCAGAGATCGATTCAGTTGCCTGGTCGAAGTAGATGTGGAGAATGCATTTTTTTTCTCTCTCTTTCCTTTTACAGTACTTAATTGAATTAGTCATCGGAGGGCCCCAATTTTGAGATTTGATGCTCTTAATTCTTTCTACATTAATGTCGAGGCAAGTCCTAGTTGTTTATTGTGCCGAGTCTGTGTTTTGCGTCTGTTTATTTAACCAAGTCTATCCTCAGTTGCAAAACGTCGATAGTAAATTCTGCTGTATTTCATGGTCGCACTTTAGCCACATATTTGCCAGAATTTTCTGCTAATAGGCATATTTTACACTAAAGTAAGGCAAATACATATATACGTGTTTATTTCTTAGTTATATATTGTAAGTGTTTATTTGTTTAAACAATACTTTGTGAAAATCGGCCTTTACGGAATAAGAATAGAGCTGACTATTGCTTACGTAGTAATTCACCATGAATGAGTATTGTACAGTGATTACCATCTTTGTCCAATGATGAAGGCATTATATACTGATTTTGAAGACGTAGGGAGGGTCCAACATTATTTTGTTCTGTATAAAATGAGCCCTGGAGTTCTATTGAGAGACATGATTGAGAGGCGGTGACGTTTAAATAGAGTTCAGATAGATCGGACTGTTGTACGCTAGGTGGTTGAGATGTGTTCTACTTGAGCAAAAACAGAACAAGGTGGTTGCAAAGAAGAGGCGAGAGAGAATATCTCTTTGGACAATTAAAAGGATATTTTACTAACATAAATGTTTCAAATTAGAGGGTATTTATAGTCCATGGAAGATTATGAGTGAAGAGTTTGGTTGAGAAATAATTTTATTGTGTGGTAAGATATCAAAAACAATCAAGTAAATAAGTTGAGATAATATCCACTGATATTTGATTGAGATATCTAAGTCGGATTAAGATTAACGACTACTTATATAAGAATTCTATATAAATAGAGGCTCCGGGGCAATCGTGTAAGGCCAACTTCCGTAAAAGAACAAAGCTAGCTGAGCTCGCATTACCTTTTCAAGCTTGGCATCTCTGCTTGTTGTTCTGTACGTCTCTCCAAAAACCCGGAAAGCTTCGGGAACAAGGCCAACAGTTTCAACTATACATACAAATTTATTAGCTTCATAGGCTATTATGGAGTCTGTGACAGGCTTAAGATGGAGAAAACCAGGTCTTAACCCAGTTGAAACAAAGGAAAAAACCACAATTGATGAGAATATAGGAAGCAGCAGCGTGGACATGGCGGAGGAAGAACCATTGAGCCCGGCCCCGCGTTTGTTTCACGAGCCCAACTTCAATCTCCACGTCATAGCTATCATGGGTAGCACGACCCGAATTTATCCTGATATTGTTAGAGACTAGTTGGTCTATACTTTGCTCAAGCACTCTCGTTTTTCAAGTTTGCAGGTATGAAAACGGTAAATAGATCGACCTCACATATATATAGAGAGAGAGAGAGAAAAAAAGATTATATAATTTCTGCAAAAAAACCTCTTATTCACGTAAAACTAAGAAGTTGATGCTTGGATTGTAATTAATGGCATAGTTTACTAATTATTTTATTTGTTTCTCGAATGAATTGATGATTATGATTTTCTTTTTGCCTTATTTTGCAATTGAACTGTATAGCAAAGAGCCTTGATTCATCTAAACAACCAAAGCTAAGTAGTCAAGCCAATGCATGGATTTTAACTCTCTCTCTCTCTCTCTCTGCGTGAGTGTGTTAAAATGGAGTAAAGCTGCGAAGAAAGAGAGAGAAGAGAATGATGCCAAATTAAAGTTGTAATGGGAACAAGCAACCTCCAAGCTCCATGTTGCATGCATGACACGGGGAATCCACTGATGCCTTCTACTTGTACATTAATTGTGTCACGGTTGATCTTGCACCATTTTCAACTCTTATCGGAATCTAGAGTATTTTTTGAAAAAAAGTCACATTCTTCAATATATTGAGTAATGCTACATGAACTTAAACATTAGATTTAATAATCTCGATCATTGAATAGGTAATAGGTCCCAATAAATGCTGAGACGCACAGTAAAATCAATGGTTGCGATTATCAAGTCTATTTTTTAAGTCTATCTAGCGTTCCTCTTCAATATTATGTTTGGATTGATCACGTTAGATTATGAGTGAAATATCAACAATAAACCTTTAGTTTCCCCATAAAAACAATGGTTGAATTACTTTCAAGCTTTTCTATATCCTATTACAATCAATTCTATTTAATTTTTTATTGTAGGTTACTGTTGTACTGAAAAATTAACTACTAAAATTTTTAAATATTGAATTTATAGCAAAAAGAAAACACTCAGTAGAAGAGTGGAGAGAAAACACTTACAAAAGAGTGAAGAAAATCACAAAATAGAACATAATAGAACCCCACAAAAGAAAATATCAATTATCAAATCTTACGTTTGACAATGATGGACTCCTCGATCTTCTAATTATAAAAGTTTGATAGAATTAAAGGCGCCCAGCTCGACCCAATTGCTTCTATTTATATGTTTGAAAATACTATGTAATCTAAAGTTGTATTTCAAATGAAAGAAAATTATTAGATGAGTGGGTCTCATCAACTTTTTTAAATAACTGATCCAATAGTTCCTTTCATTTAGAATGTAAATTTGCGTTACATAGTATTGTTCTTATATGTTTTTTCACTCTTAAAGAAGTTATATATAGTGAGATTTTGCCAAATGTCTCTCATTTTGTGTATAATTATGAGTGATTTCAGTTAAATATTTGGATTAATAGTATTTTTGGTCTTGAAAGTATGCTCGTTTTGTCCTTATTGTATTAATTTATCAATTTGGTCTTTAATCAGACAATTTCTTAAGTTTTTTTATGAAAATGATCGCATGTTATTTTTTCAGATTGTATCATGTGACTAACAGATGATCATCCGTCAGAAATTTAACGGTCTGTCGGTATCGGAATTATTTACACACGAATTAAATATTTTAGAGACTAAATTAACAACATTAATATTTTAAGGATCAAACTGACAAAATATACATATTTAAGGATATAAAATACTATTAACCCTAAATATTATTTTTTGTATTTGGTATGGACTTAAAAAATGAACTTGATTATTACAATTTACAATCATTGATTTTATTGTGAGTTCCAATATTTATTGGAAAGAGAAATCGAGGCAGAGGGGATCGTTCCAGGCTGGAGAGAAAAGTGGAGCAATGCTACATAGATTTAAAAACTAGATTTAATAATTACAACTATTGATTTCACTGTGGGTCCCGACATTTATTGGGACCTACTATCTATTCGATGAGTTGTGATTATCAAATTTAATTTTTAAGTCTACGTACCATTACTCGAAAAAATTGGATTAAGTCAAAAGAACTAATAAGAGAAATTGGGTTTTTGCGGTTGACGAGAAGAGTGGGGAGGAACATATTTTCAGGATGCCTAAATCTATATAAGATTGTTTCGAAGGAGAGTCACATTATGCACTTGAAAATTTGGTTGGTGCAAACCAAATATTGTGTTTCTGTAATTCACATCTTGGCTAGCAGTCAAGACAGTGCTCGACGTGAAAACTGAGAGAGATGATTTGTGTGTCTTACCCTGTGAAGCGTTGAAAGGAGTTAGTGGCAACTCTCAGAAACTTGGTCTTTGGATTCATCAACTGATTACCGACATTGCCACAGAATTTCTTCTCTTAGCTGCTTATCTTATTGCACGAACATTGTAGTAAAGTTCTATGATTGATGAGAGGGGAAACTAAACAAGGATTCCTGGAAAAAGCAGCCATATGCCAATTGTCTGTTGTCTTGGCTTCAAATACCTCAAGGGATCTTTGTTTTCACTTGAAGAACTTATGGTATCACTGTAATGGTACATATGTGTCCTTACTGATTAATTAGTGCTAGTATATATGAAAAGAAACGAAGTTTGATAAGACAAGAAGCTATTCTCTTTTGCTTTTGTTTTCTCTATTCATAATGCATATGTTACAGTAAATGCTGATGTTATGAATAAATGCATATAAAGACGGTTATAAATGGAGTGAGTACATCTTCGATTGGATCTACTTTGTGTGCAAGATGGTTAATTTTGACAGGTCAATGAAACATTGAAGATTCAAATTAGAACTTCAATTGAGCACCCTTGGATATGAATTCTCCAGCCTTAAGAGGCAAGGTGGCTGATATAATAGTTTTTGTTAATGAAGCAGACCTGCACATTGATGGAGCTGGCGGATTGCCCTTCATTTCATCCAAAATTGGGTGGAATTTTGAAATCAGTATCCCAGTAACACGACTAACTTTCTGATTTATGGGAATTATCGAGCACAATGAGGAATTTTGAGCTTGCCTTTTTTGGCCAAACAGGGTACAATTTCTCTCAACTAAATACATAATTTGAAAAGAAAAAAAAATCTGAAATTGGACCATACTGGTGTTTGGTTTTTTCTGTTTTTTTGTTGGTCAGGGGTGTTTGGTCCAAGTGTATGGCATTTCAATTGAAATTTTTGATAGTAAATGGCATGCTATTACATGAAAACTTCAAATTTTTAGCGGACGACAAATCTTGAAAGTGAGTTAAGAGTTAACCTTTCCAACATGTAGTTAGATGTTCTAGTCAAATTTAGGGTAAATGCAATGGTCCTTTCTAACAAGCATACACGACTCCCATGGGCTACTGTCGTGATACCAACTATATAGATCTTATTTTACAGTAATTAAATTTGTTTCAAACAATGCACTAAATTAGATTCTTATTCCACTTTTATAGAAGCGCCTTCCAATAACCACAAAAAAAAAAAAAATTGTCATCGAATTTTGCTAAAAAAATTACTTTTTTTTTTCAAGGTAAACATATTCTTGGCTATATATATGTTTTCCTTTTAACAAAATTGGTTTGGGGTGGGGGTGGGACTGTTAACTAGGGCATGCTTGACCTTTATTTTTAACAATTTTATTTGGATAAAAAGCCCAAATTTGGCAAAATTTGCTGGCAGTCATATACCACAACATACATGATCTAAAACAAGAGGGGAGGAGGATGCTAAGTTTATATAACCCCTAATAATGTTGACTTGACCGTTAACCCGAAATAGTAAATTATATTAAACAGATTCAAAAATTAGGTATGACAGAATTAATTAGCTGGATGAGATTGTTATTTTTGGTTGAAGGATTTGGCGGGAACGATCATTACCCACCTTCTTCAACCCCCCATCCCCACCCTCACCATCAACATCATAACCTTCAAGCCCCAGAAACCATTATTATCAATACACTATCAGCAACCACTACCCTTTAATGCATTGACCTTTAGCCTTTCTCTTTTTCTCTTACTTTTTCATTGCCTGTAATTAAAAACGCAAAATTTTCTTAATCCTTTCCATGGAAGAATGTTTGAGTTTTAAAGTTTCATGGCTGGTGAGGTGGGCATTGTTATTTGTGGTGTTGAATAGTTTGTTGGCACCAAATGTTTTGGCGGACGAAGAAGATGATGATGATATTTCGGTGTTTTGCAGCGTTGATCTCACTACGCTCTTTCCTTCTCCGTACTATAATTTATCGAACATGGTCTGTACACCCCTTTGGAATTCATTTCTTCTACGAGTAAGTTTGATCCCATTCTACAGTTTTACTGACTTTACTGCTATTTCTCGAATCCATTCTTCGAATGTACACCTACATCTAGCTATATGGTGTGATGTGTAAATACGTACATTAATCTGTCAAACATTAAAGATTATGATACATAGGCCTGCAAGGTTGGTTGGTTACGTACTTGGAGCTTGGGCTATCCTTGTATCTGATGTCAAAAATAATTGAATCGTATGTTATTGTTTTTCTTGATCCATATCTTAATTGCAGTATTGTCCTTATGATTATGAGGTGAAGTTGCAATTTTTTTATGTTGCAAAAGTGGTTTCGTTCCTCTGTAGGTGTATTTCCTTCTTTGAGGTCAGCGAGCATCAATCTTCTTGTTATTCCTATGATGGGTGAAAGGGAAATCATGCCTTATTATTTTAGTAGTGAGAAGAAATTGCATCCTTTGTGAAGGGATTGGTTTATGAAATATGGCTGATAGTTATAACTGAAGATGTGATTTGCAAGGAGCAAGTATGGAGTTTACATGGTAAAGGAAATTTATGTGTATTGAAAGGAATAGTTTTGGTAAAGATTAGATAGTGTCAAAGATGAAATGAACACACAACTTATGCAGGGGAAGGGGCGGGGGGGTGGCTCTTGGACTAGCAAGTTAAAGATGGGCTATGGGGCTTTGGCTAAACAATTTTGAAGGTTTGAAAAATTTTGGCAAAAGAGGTGATGTACATGGAGAGTTTTAAAACAAAATAAATTCCACAGTGCATTTATTCATTCTTCCCTTAATGCACTAAAACAAAATAGTTAAATCATCATGGTATTTGTTTTAATTTGTATACTGTAAAGAAATAGAAAAAACTTATCAGATTTCCCGGAAATGGGTAGATTTAAGCAGAAATGTATTTTTGGCGAATACTGCAGTGTTATCGCATTGTTTAAAGGATAGTAAATTAGTTGATAACTGATCATACTTGCATTTTCTGTTGCAGTACTCACTGAGCGAAGATAATGTTTTGACCATTGTGTTATCTACTATATATACCTCCGGATGGGTAGGAATGGGTTTTTCAAAAGATGGAATGATGCTTAACTCAAGTGCTATGGTGGGATGGGTCGACACAAATGGTCGACCAAGAATTAAGCAATACTATATAGGGGGCTTCACATCCTCGGAAATTAAACCAGATAAAGGTGAACTGCCATTGACTGATGTTCCACCATATGCCACCCTCTATGCGGCCTCATTCTACTTGGCATTCCAGATGAAGTTTGCAAGACCTCTCACCAAAAAACAAATTTTATTAGCTTTTGCAAGCAAATACCCGGAAAACCTCCGCCTAACTCATCATGATGACAAAACAACACTAGGATTTGACTTCTCTGCAGGTTAGTTCATCTCCTCTTAGGTGCTTTATAAACCCGATTCTCATAATATGATTTTGGTTGTGCCATGAGAACATTCAGAATTGGTATGAGCTATCAGATCAAGGACTATATCTTTTATTTGTCACCATCAGTGAGACATGTTATTGTGTTTTCTTAAGATCTTCAGCACACAAATTTACAAGGTGAAGAAGGGAAACTGCTGTAATCCTCACTTTTTCAGTGTCTCTTGCCAGTCATTGCCAAGCTTTTGGACTTTTAACATACTACCATGCTCACCAGCCAACGTATATGTTGGTCTCTCTCTCTCTCTCTCTCTCTCTCTGGGATCTGATTTGAGCAGTGATTTCTACCTAGTGACTGTTGTATTCTGCTTCAAGTTGTTGATTCACATTATGACAGCTGCACTTGGTCTATGTTGCCTCTCAACACTAGCCCCATCTAAGATTTGAACCGAAGATGTGGTACCAAATACCATGAATTTAACCTGCATGCAAAAAGCCCTGGGATGTTGAACCAAACAATTATTTGGGATCATAACATAATGCTGTTCTGCAATCTTTACTGTGCTTGATAGTTGGTGCTATGTACTACACCCAAATGAGATTTCTATTTGTCACTATCTCATTATTTTGCAAACTTCTCTTACAACATGTGCAATAGGTTTTCGGTCAGAAAATATTGCCAGAAACTTCAAAATAAGAGAAGATATGTCCTAAACGTACGTAATATGGGTCATCATTCAGTCATTTATCAAAAGGCGCATGATAGTAATTTGAACTTTTACACGGACTAACTATTAGGAATGGCCAAGTGTTCAGATTCTCGTGCTACAATTTCGTTCTGCAATTGACGTAACTATTTTTCTCAGGTAAAATAGATTCTCCACCTGCAATAAACAACGATGGTCATTTAAAGAAGACCCATGGGCTGTTGGGTCTGCTTGGATGGGGTATACTTCTTCCTTGTGGGGCAATGGTTGCGAGACACCTGAAGCATCGGGATCCCTTATGGTATTACCTTCACATAGCCATTCAATTTGTGGGGTTTATGTTTGGGCTTGCTGCTGTGGTGGTTGGACTGTCACTCTATGAGAGCATGGATGCCAATGTACCAGAACACAGAGGCATTGGAATATTTGTTCTCGCGCTAAGTATCCTCCAGGTTTGTTCTCATCTGATTGAGTCTCTGCATCATATTGGTTTCAATGCAATATTTTGCTGAATGGATTTGTAAGCCACCCTCTAGTTGCCAAGGAAGAGGGGGCAGTGTGAATCTATAAGCCTATTGTTTTGTCCTTGTCCTTGTTTCTGTGACCGGCATATATGTATATAATAATAATATTCACAAGTTGAATTTTATCCCTTACTCTTTTTTTCCCTAAAAAAATATTACATCACCCATTTTTATTACTTGTTTAATTATTTTAATATTTAATTAGTTTATAGTTTAATATAATTTTTATTTCAAATATTATTTATACACGATAATATACAAATGTTGAAAAAAATTTATCAGATCACATATTGTGAAAAAAAATTGTCGATATTTTTAAGAAAATAATGAATAAACATAAATTTTAAATGATGTAATCAAAAAAATAAAGGAAAAATATTATTATTTAATATAGTGGGATATATTTTTTTGGATGCTTAAATTTTATATTTTATTGTACCTTTAAACACGAATTATAAATAGTAGATATATGTTACTAGGCCCTTAATTTAATGCATATATTTAGGGCTCCAAAAAAAATTTTAAATCACTTAAAAAAATCTTCGGGCCTCTAATTTTAGGTACGAAGTGCGAATCCAGTAAGAAATCAATAGAAAAATAATGAGCTTGAGTCTAGTGTTAATAGATATGGGCGATAAATAAATGAACTTAATATGTTTGTCAAATAAACGAGTCAACATAAATTCGATTAAACACGAAACAAAACTACTAAACACGACTAATATATAGTGCAAATTTGACTACATAAGATTATAAATGAAATGAGTATAAATTGAGTCAATTATGATACAACACAACTAAATAAATATTTTTTTATTACCTTTGTTTTTTCAATTTCACTTATTTTTTAAGTAAATACGGAAAATATGAGTAATCTCAATGCACAATACCTTTCATTAAATGAGACTTTTGTCATATCCCATATTCTTAAAAATTTCAAACAATTTTTGGATGAGTTTTTTAATTTTAAAACCCCTTGAAGGAATATTCTAAAGGATCCTTAAAAAAATATTTTTTATTTAAACCTTCCTCAGGAAACATTTTAGAATATACAAGGAATATAAGAATAAGTATAAGAGAGAGCTGAAATATTCTTATACACATCAAAAGACTAGATATTTGCATCATTGCATGGAAGATTCAAGAGACACCATAAATATATAATATTTGGCAATATCATAGCCATACATGATAAGATGAAAGACGAAGGTTTTTGTTTGCAAGAACCAAATAATCAAGGCTTAAGCTTAAATTTGAGGTCTTTTTTGTCTCCTTCAGAGTTTTTACTTAATTTTTTTTTACGACACACAAATAGTTAAAAAAATAGAGTAGGTTGGAGTAACTTACTATTTAAAATCCTACTAACTTTCATCATTTGGAAAATTATTTTATTATATCAATAAATTTTAATTCTTTTTTTTTCTATATTTCTAACTGATAGTAGAATTTATTATATTTTGGTCTACAAATTTAACTTCAATTAATGAAATTTTATATGAAAAACTTGAATCCAAAAGTTAAATTTATATTTTTTTCATTTAAAAAATAAAATAATTTAATATTTAAATAATTATTTTATGATATATATATATATATATTAGTATATTATTTGTCATGTGACCTCATCTAATATTTTCGCCTACCGCCAGAATTTTTGTCGAGACGCCCTTCTGTCCTACCGTTGTGGTTGTTGTATCACCGATAGTTATGATGGATAGAAAAGAAGCTAGTTGTGAGTTGTTGCATGAAAAAGAGCCTTTTACACCTCAACAAACTAATATGAGTCAAGACTTTGTAGGGAATGAAATAAAGTTGTTGTTGAGTGTCTTCTCACTTACATATACTTTTTTCATGTTCTTAACTATCAGGTCTTGGCATTCTTTCTACGACCCCATAAGGATAGCACGTTCCGCAGATATTGGAATTGGTATCACAGTTGGTCTGGAAGGATTGCCCTCTTTTTTGGAGCTGTGAATATAGTTTTGGGATTCCAAATTGGAGAAAAAGGGAGTGAATGGAAAATACAATATGGATTTCTCCTTGGAACAGTTCTGCTGACATCTATTATTTTAGAGGCCCTGTTGATATTGAAAAAGTCAGAGAAACAAGTTCCACCTCCAGCCTTCCAACTCCCACAGTAAACAAACTCTCCCCTTCTCTTTCTTGACAGTTGACGAAACAGAGTCCTTTTTTGGTATTTGATTCGATACTGCTTTGCATGGTGATGAAGGAATTGGTTTATATTTGGTATTCGTTGGGCAGGATGAAACTAGTTTTTCTTCTTCAAATTAACATTTGTCGTGCATATTATTATTGTCAAAAACCCATAGCAGAAGGGGTTACCAAAGTTTTGTGGCTTAAAAATTGTTAACAGTAATGGTGATGCACCTATTTCTATGTTTGCTTAATACACGGTTCTCTCTATAGCGATATATCTGAAATACTCTGCTAATAAACTTGATGATACAAAATTATATGCTGCAAGCAAATGAAATCCACAAAGATAATACAAGGGACAGGGTGCTGCTGCTACTTGCGCCATTGTCATCGCTGCTTGATCCCTCGACATTTAGAGCAAAAAAAAGTTTGCCATTAACTCGAAAGCCCCATAATTTCTTATATCTGAAATACTCTGCTAATTCTTTCTTAAGCTTATTTTCGACTACCAATTTTATCCAATGTTTTGTAAGAATGAGATTTTTAAAAGTTTGCAATTGCTTACTGACCAAAAGAAAGATTTGCCACCTGCTGAAAACCATGACAAAGTGACAACCCCTTGGATCAATAACCGTAACATCATGCCTTCCTCCGTCATTCTCTATACTCCCTTTTTCTTTGTCCGTCAAGAAATCCATCAAGGCTATGGTTTTTGGAACAGAAAGTCGGTTTAGATCCTTGTTGACATCGGATGCTCCAAGATTCTTCTTTATCAACAACATTGGTTTGGGGCCACCAGCTGAGTGAATGGCATTCATGAGTTCGGGTGGCAGCAATGGTGGACGCGCTGGATTAGCTGTTTCCCCCACTATTATTGTGTTTCCAAACAACCGGAATATCTGTGCATACTTCTCCATCTTCTCCTTTCTTCTTGTCTCTCCCAGTTCTCACAGTAGTCACCCTCTGGGATTATATACAAAACTTTGCAATTAGTTAATTTTCATCAGTGTACTTTCTTTCTATTAGGAATAGGAAGGCTTCGTGATAGTATACTTGGTTTCCACATCCTACTAACCTAAGGACAACGTTTATACATCTAACCTTAAGAGGTCTACTCCAATGCTATTTGCCACACTTGCAGTTATAAAAAAAAACACTGATCCATTCTTTTCCCAAATAAAGTTGGCCGAAAAAAGAGAGAAATTAGTTTAGTTCTCTAATGAGCATAACTTGATTGTTTTGTTATTATTTTTTTCCTTTCATTAGATCACAGTAACATCCCAATGGGTTATTAATATCTTGTTATTGATGGACAACTCGCACAGTAGTACAACTACGTGAATTAACTTATTGAACATCTTTATACACAATTTGTCACCTCTTGAGACAGTGGCAGAAGCATCGTCGATTTACCTTGACGTCTCGATTAATTTCGAGTCTCTCTCTTATAACATTCCGAAACTAACAGCCTATAGATAACAATATCTTAGATTAACTTGATTTATAGATGAAAAATTAATCAGATCTCCCTCCAGCTGATAAAAGAAAGGTTACAGCTGATAAAATTCAATAAAAGAAGACAAGGCAGTAGCAAACATTTTGGTTACACATTATATTATTTCTCTTTTCTTTTTATGTTTGTCAGTGTATCGTCCAGAGAAAAATCTTTAAATTTTTTTGGATAAATACCATGGTTGCATGCCCATAATGTTAATGTATTACATGGTACATCAAAACCCTACCTAAACGAAAATTACCAAAAAAGGAAGAGTTTTGAGCTGACCTAATAAAATAAGACTCCTAATTATTGTGTGGGATCTAACAGAGTTGATGAAAAAAGATGGTTTATTTCTCTTCTAGTTAAACCTTTGTGACAAGGCATATTGTGGTGTAATATTGGATTTTGTTTGTGTCTAGGTGGTAACATATAAAATTTGCTTAATAGGGTTGATATCGATTTATTCACTTGATTAGTTTGAAAGATTCACCCATTTACCGTCTCCGTTAAGTCGAGTTAACCGTCACAATCCACAATCCACAATTTCCACACCCAATTAATTCACTATATCTGAGTCTCCACCACGATAAATAGACCTGATCTTCTCTCTTGATGTTGCAATACGTACAGTCTACCATAAATAATCTAACGAGAAGCTAGACTTTACTGGAAGATTATAACGACATACAAAGAGTACATTAATCCTAATGAATTTATTTTTTGATCAGATTACCGCCTAACCCTAATGAATTTCATGATGCAACATTCATGTTAATTCAAAAACAAGAATTTATACCCTGCATATATGCTATACAACAAATTAAACAGTATATATTCACGAGAAACATTTATATTACTTGAGCAAAGCCAATCTCTAGAGTTTCAACACTATGAAACTGCAAAATCTCATTCAACTGATCTACAACTTCTTTTTTTTTGGAACTGAATTGATCTACAACCTTAAAAGTTTCAACTACTAATGGAGGTCTGAAAAACCCTAAAAAAACACAGAGAAAAGGAAAATTACACAACTCATATAAGACTTTTTCCCATGCATGGGAGAGATTGCTGCTACTCCTGCGCCATCCTCGTGACACCTCTCTCGACGTTCACAGCGAAATACAGACTGTAATTAACTCGAAAACCCCATAGTTGGAAAAGCTCATCTTCCATCAGCCAGTTCTCTTTGACTAGTTTTGTCCATTGTTTTATGATAACCAGTTGCTTTAAGCTTGGCCACTTCTTGAACTTGGTTACATAATGTTGACCCCAAGGGCGAATCTTAGTAACACGAAGTATTCCTCCATTCATCCCATTCTCTACAGTTTCTCTCTCTCCCCGAGACATGAAAGCCAATAAGGCTTGAGCTTTTGGAACAAAAAGCCAGTTTAGCTTCATGTTAACATCGGAGGGTTCAAGCCTCTTCTCGGTCAAGAAAACTGGGTCGGAACCACCGACAGATTGGATGGCATTCATGACTCCAGGAGGCAGCAATGGTCGCCGCAGCGCCGGGGGCCTTAAAATTCTGACTCTTTCATACTCTTCGGGTGGAAAAATCATTACACCGAAAGTTTCACAAACGTTCTCTCCTTCTCCTTTGGTTTTATTATTGTTTTACCAAACAACCGAAAGGTCTTTGTAGGCTTCACCATCTTTGTCTCTCTTTTGTTTCCCTTCCTCTCTTCCAATCTTTCTCTCAGAAACTCAGTCTCTCACAGATATATTAGGTTGCAGCAGATTTTCTTCCGGGGTCAGGGTACTTACAGTCCTATATATACACAGAAGTTTCCAAGCTGTGTTCATTAGGGATAAGTATGCAAGTGTGAAGTGGGTGACAATGGAAGAAATTCTTCTTTTAGGTGGAATAGGAAAGTATGCCGCAGTAATCCAAAACCAACTGTAAATATAATTTAACCATCCAAATCCAATGTAGTTGGGCAGAAAAAAGGATAACTTATTTTTAATAGTATGCTCAACTGTTTACAATTCTAGTCATCGTTATTACCAATTAGGTTGTCATTATCTTTCAAAGACATTATAGAAATAGAATTGACAATATAGGAAACTTTTTTTTAAGAAAGTTTTATAAAGATTGAAAGAAAAAAAAAATTAGAAAACACACTTCGACTTTGAACGAATGTCTGGAGTCCAATCTCTCTCTCTTTTTTTTTTTTTTTATGTTTGTGGGTAAATTAAAGATGGTATTTTTGGGTATATGTCTCTAGTCCAATCTTAGCCATAAGATTACAAGACAACTTGTAAAGTTAAAGGTGTATATTTATCAAAAGACAAGAAGTTTATTAGGAAACTATGAACTTTTGAGCAGCAAGTAGATTTTGTCGTTAATACTAGTAGAATATTATGCAAGACGGAGCTTAACTTCGATGCACTCAACTTCTCGTACACCTGCAATGATCCAAGTCTGATCCTTTTGTTTCTCATTTGAATTTGACCTTGGCACGCCTATACAGTTATAAAAGTCTAGATAGCTCATTTTTAAAGCTAATACAATCTTTGGTGAAACAAGACATTTGAAATGGAAGTATTCCATTCGATATCTCTTTCATACTCTTTTGTTTGACACCCAAGCCTAGCTCTGATAGTGAGTTATCTACACTTCCAAAATTATGAAGTTGGCTCTGAATGAGAGTTATCTTTCAGGATCGGTGCTAGCTCTGATATCACTTTGTTAGAATTGCTTTAATATTACTACGATAAGAAAATCGCTCTGATACCATTTTGTTGAAGTCAAGAGGACTAGAAATAAAATAGAAGAAAATAGAGGATGATATGCACACTCAAAGAAAAAATAATTTTCATACAAGTTGATTATAATCACACACTCACAAAAAATACAATGGAAAAGACTATTGAAAATAGGAAGAATTCTTTATATTTACTCATATTCAAATAGATGTATTATACAAGATATATATAGATTTATACAATATAACTCACTATATAATACAATAATAAAAATAATAAATATCCCACTTTTCCATTACTTGGAGAATTAAAATATCACAATTATTTTGTCCCCCCACTAATACAAAAACTAATTGCATTAAAATAACTACTAGAACATGAAAAGTTATGTTTATTACTATTTTTCAACCATTATCTCGATCTAACTAGCCTTCATAAATGAGGAAGCCACCTAAGGTGAGGCTCGCATCTGATTAGCTAGTTGGTGAGGCCATAGATTTGTGCCATTCATTTGATTGGGGGTGTGAGAGAAAGGAAGTGTACTTGGATCACAACTAGGAAAATCGAAATGGTGAGACTTTTCTTTGGATATTAGGCTAATGTCTCCTTAATACAACAATCATATGAACTTTATTGCTATTGTAGTTTTTAGACCGGGGGAAAGATGGTGGTTCTCTAAAGTTGTATCAAACTCTAAATAATCACCTATATGCCTTTCAAGCAGAGCTCACTCTGTATCTGGTACCTTATTTTTTCTATTCTTGTGGATCGCCACTCATTATTTACATTGATTTGGGATTATGATAAAAAAAAAAAAAAAAAAGTATTACGGAGTCCAGTTTTCTGATAATGATCATTTGGGATTTCTGCATACATAAAATATGAGAAACATGTCTTAAGTTGTCATTAATGAAACTGGTGGCAACAGTGCTTGTTATTGATCCAGAATCGACGCTGATTCAGTTTTTCCAGCAATTTGATTAGGAATATTATTTTGGATCCGTTTTACCATTTTCCGGTTATTGCTTTTGTTCTAAGGTTGGTTTTGTATCTTGGAATGCAGAAAAATTAAGTACTGTTCCATTTCCATGTGGCATTTCCATTCTGTTCCCAACTACCAAACACCGTCAATGGTTTTCATCAATAGGTTATTTAAGTTTCCTTTTTATAGTCCCACAGCAACTATTCCTCGAACCTTTGACTTAAGAACATTACATTTGTTTCAAGTCTTGGCACAGCCTATTCTTGTCGTTGGCAAGGTCTGTCATTCCCAGAACCAATTCTTTTGATCTTATGGGTGTCATGAAAGTCCTCATCCTTCCTTTCCTCCTCTTTCCTCTCATTTATGCAGCAGACAATTGTCCAACTGCCAAGTGTGGAGGGAATGACTTCACTATTCGATTCCCTTTCTGGTTAGAAAGAGAGCAACCTCGAAACTGTGGTTATCCCGGATTCAATCTAATCTGCAATGGTCAGGGTATGACTGTTCTAAATCTTCCTCATTCTGGAGATTTTTTTGTACGAAGTATCAATTATGGCGAACAAGTGATACAAATCTACGATCCTTCAAATTGCCTTCCCGGTAGGCTTTTGGATTTCAATCTCTCAGATTCACCTTTCATGGCTGCTTATTATCAGAACTATACCCTCCTCAGTTGTCCATCTGATCACACCATCTCTCGTTTCGCTGCCATTGACTGCCTCAGCAATTCTACCAACAAGACTTTATCTACTACATCAACAAGACTTGCAGTATCAATGACTATGTGCAAAGTAGTTGTTACTCTGCCTGTACCAGTTTCGTGGCCAAATGTATATGAAGATAGTTTTACATCTGACCTTACCGACGATTTGCAGTTAACATGGGATGTACCTAACTGTGAAGATTGTGAAGCCAGGGGTGGCATGTGCGACTTCAAGAACAATACAAGTCGAGAAATTTCATGTTTCTATAACCCTGAAACAGGTAAGTATCTTTTTCCTTGATCACAGTTTCATATTTTCTTGCCTGAAAGGTTTGAAGAATATTTCATAGGAGGCATTTCAACTGTCTGGTCGGGTCAATAAACTATCTGTGGGGTCACTGGTAATTGAGATTAACTTGGATTGAAAGCAAAGGGTTGGTTAAGAAAGTCAGTTGAGATATGATAACAGGACACTTGAGATATAATAATCTGGTATTCGTCTTGTGCAGTTGACTTACACTCTAAATAATGTTTCTATAATGCATATAGAGACATTAGATTTAACATATACCACTAGGCTCACAGGATAGTCAACTCCATGGAATCCATATAATCTTAGGATGGTGATGAAGAAGTCTGGAATAAATAGTGGGGTAATGGTTACACCACGTCAGCATTGTCACGTGATATAACCGTCTACTAAAAAATCAAAAAAATAGATAAAGTAAACCCTATTTTCTTATATGGACGTGGTTACATATTACATGGTTATAGCATGTGACAATGCTGATATGGTGTAACCGTTACATTCAATATTTTCTCAAAAGACAGACCTAGAGCAATGACATATGTTTATTCGTCAGAGTGTCGTTGGAGATTTGGAACGACTCAATTCATAAAAAGGTTAAAACTATCTGCCACTTACCTCTCCAAAACCTTGCTGTAAATTGAGTATTCTCCATGGAGTACGACCTTTTTTTTTTTTTTTATCAGGATAGTGATGTCATTTGTCCCTCATAGAATGGCTTTTGTTGCAATTCCAGACCTATTGCACAGCACACAGAAATTTGGCTTTTGCTGCAATCAAGCACTCAATTTTGGTAAAAATTAGAAAACAACATTTTGGTTCTGTTATAATAGTCTCATTGCATCTAAAAAATATTTCTTACTCGCCATTAATGGATGCATCGGTGACTTTTATTGCCAGGCAAGGGCAGAGGGCTACAAGTTTTCAAGATAATTACCTTGTCCATTGTCATCCCAGCCATCACTGCTTCCATTACCATAGTATGTTTCATATGTTTAGTGGACGCGAGGCGACAAAGTGGTGGGATCACTACCACACTGCAGAATTCCACCACAGCAGCAGTAACACTGCAGCCGACCTCTCTGGCAACAGGTCTGGAGGAATCCACCATTGAATCCTATGCAAAAGTTGTTCTTGGTGAGAGCCGACGCCTGCCTGGTCCCAACGATATTACTTGCCCGATATGCTTATCAGACTACCGCGCCAAAGAGACAGTCAGGTGCATACCTGAATGCGAACACTGCTTCCATGCTGACTGCATTGATGAATGGCTACGGCTGAATGGTACATGCCCTGTTTGCCGGGCTTCTCCTTCCCTTGTTCATGGTGATTCATAAGGTGTCCTCTCTTTTTCTATGTATGGTGATTGTAAGTTGCTGTAATTTGGTCTCTGATCAAACTAGTCCAGGGCATGCGTTTATTCTTTTTCTCAATTGTTATATTCTTTTCCCCTTCAAATTCACATCCTGAAACACATTTTGTAATGTACTCTAATATGGTCTCAACATGCTGGCCATTACTGCAATATTTACAGCAGTTTGTAAATTGTCCCCAGAAATAATTATATTGCCGAAGAACCAGAAATATGACATAGTTCAAGAGAAACGATTATTATCACCAACATCACAAAAGCAGCAATAAAGATCCAGATGCAGGTCGGTGAGGCAGTCATTGACATCAATTAATATTTGGAGGAAAGTCCAGTAAGGTAGAAGGCTTATTTGATTGACCCGCAAAAGTTACCATTACCAAGACTATAAAACCATATACAATTAAACGAGAAAGAGAAGAACTTGTGTAGATTTCGTCAAGGATACAAACTAAGCCACAGTACATAATCAGAATAAGCAAACTAGATAATCTCATTTCTTGGCAAGTAGCTTCTTTGGAATCATCTCCAATGGAGTGGTTTTGAGCATGAAAAGCCTGGCTGCACGCTCTTGCAAAGTGCCCCCACATTTTAATCCACGTGCTTGAAGTTCGGACTTTAACCTTTCCATGCCAAGAACCTGTAGTTGCACCAATACAAATAACGGTTAGTGTTGCTGCTAATGATGCCGAAGTAAAACTTCCAAGGTTACAAAGGTAAATATGATTCCTAAATGACGTTGACAAATAACACTGCAGCAATTCTACAATAAAAAAATATGGTCCACAAATAAAACTCAATTTCAACCATCATCTTTGTAACTAGATATAAGCCTCTCTTAAGGAATTATTCAGACAGCAATTGACAAATTCATAAAAAAGGAGCAGCCATCTTGTGTTATAACTCAAAAAAGGGATATATATATGCAGAAGCTGCTTACAAATCAAACATCTAAATCCAAAAACAGTTAACATTGGGAAAGTTTTTAACTTAAATTAGAAGATGGGAATTTGCACAATGTCATGAACACTTCCACTGCTACCACTTTAATGGACAGCTACGGGACTCTATTACCAGGAACTGGCAGAGTACAAAGCTCACCATAATCTAGGAAACAGAAATTCTGGAACAAATGCATCAACTAAGGGACATTAGCACCTGAAATTTTGGAACGAATGCATCAACTAACGAATGCATCAACTAAGGGAGACTGTAGTGACAATGGACAAATCCACTATCTCCAACAAAACACTCTCCAAACAAGCTTCTATGTTTTTTGTGGGCAGTCAAATGACTTCAGTGACATAATGTGTCATCAATTACAGAGAGAACAGTGAAGATTACATGACCCACCAGCTTTAAGAGAAATACAGAGGAAAACATTAGCATAAACCCTCATTGGGAAAGGGACCAAATGCTACAAAGACATCTTAATTGGGATTTAGAAAACACTTCTGAAAAAATGGCATCAACAATCATAACAGGATGGAAGGGGAGAACATTCCTAAAAGGGTCCACCGCTAAGCTTCGAATTGGGTCTCTCTTAACAATAACCATTTTGTAGTCCTAATGTCAACTTAAGAAAATCCAGCTTTTTGGGAGAAGTCTACAATCACAGACGAAGTCTAGAAACTATGGAGCAGGAAATAAAAGCAAATAAAACAATTCATCACCATAGTAAAAGCAGAAGGAAAAGAATTGGAATAATATAAGCAGTAGCCAAGCATACCTCCATATCTACTGCAGAGTTAAATTCATCAAAATCAAGCGGCTTCTCAATTTCAGAAACATTTCTGATTGCAGAGACTGTTTCTTCCTGAACTACTGGTTTGGAATTGATATTACAATTGATTTCAACATCAGAGACTTCCCCCTCTACTGAGTTAGAAATATTGGGTGGTTGACTAATAGTTTTCTCCACGATATCAGACTTGATATCAAAAGACTCTTGCCTTTCAGCCTGAATAGACACAACTGCAGCTTCCAAACAAGATAGATCTCTATCTTCAGCAACCTTTTCTTCTTGAACTCCCACTGCAGGTTTGTCTAAACCATTCTTTTCATTGCCAACTGCACCTCCATCAGGACTTCTGCAAGATTTCAAAATACCTTTACAAATAGTCTCGTCTTCCTCAGAACCACTCTCAGACGAGGGTCCAGCAGATGATTCTCCATCCCCTTTCCCACCAGTAACAGAACCTGAACAAACCTCAGGTTCCTTATTTGAGTCCACCTGATTCCCACCATCAATAACCACAGATTTTTCATTTTCCTCATCTTTGTCGTCATCACTTTCATCGTCATCCATATCTTCACTATCACTGTCACCCAATTTCTCCTTTCCCAACCTGAAAAATCAAACAATTCAATGACCAAAACCTAAAAAAATTGCGGTTTTTAACTCAAGATATCTTTACCTATTTAAGATAGGATACAATTTAGTTTCAAGGGAAAAAAAATTAAACAATAAGGGAGAACTAATTCAAACAACATTAAAATGCATAGTCGAGTCAAGCTTTTAATTCTACCAGTTTTTTCTTTGTTCCATAAACTCTAGATAATAGAAGATTCAGGACTCAAGAGTTTTTTATTCTGCTCTTAGTCATTGCTCTCCCAGTCCCAGCAAGTAATCCACTTCTTATCATCCACTTGGTAAAAAAGGATAGAAGGCTACATCTATCAACAAATCATTTTAAACCAACATTGCAACATCCATATTATAACAAATTGCTCACATCCCTGCCATCAACTTCAAATAATATAGCTAGCTATCTTCTTAAGCCCAAATTATAATTTCCATGCAAGACTCTATCAACATACGCCATCAAAACAAACACATTGTTATGATGGTTCTGCAGTATAGTTAAACTCAACTCAACTCAACTCAGTATAGCCTTTGAGATATGAATCTTTATCGCTTTCAGAATAGCTATCTCCTCATGCGTCAGATCTTACTAATTGACAAGTTTAAGTTCACTTTCTATTATATAATTGCTATAAAAACAAACAAGCAAATCCTCCAACAAACAAACCCATGAACGTTAACAACAATATCACTACAAACATTAAACAAAGCATCGAGAACCTTACCATATCTTAAATTTTTTCGCTTCAGATCCATTAGCTTCCCAGCTTTCCTTTTCGAATTCACTGAACCTTTGAAAGATTCCCTGACCGACCTCTCCACCACCTCAACACACTTAGCCGAATCCTCCCTGTACTTCTCTACGTACTTCTCCGCATCCCCAGAACTCCCACCCTTCTTCACAGCCTTCGCCTTCTTCTTAATCCAATTCTCCGCCATCTTCTCCATCTTCCTCTCCTCCTCCTCCGCCCTCCACTCCTCCAATTTCTTCTCCGCGTTCACATGCCTCAGCCTCCGTCCACTCATATCGCGACACGCATCAAAATTATTCGTCTTCTTCTGCCCGGCCTTCGTCGCCGCCCCTCGCAGAAGCGATCCGAACCCACCCTTGCCGCCGCGGAGGCGGAGGAGGAGGTGGATAACCAAAGGAAATTTGCCGTCGAACCCATCGGAAATAAGGGTTTCGTCGTCGTTGAGGCGGTGATTACCGGAGAGGAGAAGTTGGCTGTGTATTGGGATTGAGGTCAACCCGTGAATGCGAGCTTTGAGAGAGGAGACTGAGATTGATGGGGTTGCGAAGTTTAGGGTTTTGTGTTTACCATCAAGGAGTTTGACTAGGACTTGGTGGTTTTCCTCCATGATCGAAGCTTTCTCTCTCTTCTCTAATCTTCTCTCTCTTTCTCTCTCCTTCGATTGAATTTGAGGAGTTGATTTGATCTGATATATATATATATATATATATAGCCCTAGTTTCTTCTGAATTTGGGTAGTCGGTGGTTTGAACCAATGTACTCGGATGCGGTCTATACACCTTCATTAGACCTGGGCCACCTGACTTGAGTTTAGTAACTTGGGCCAGGCTTAACATTAGTACATCTGGGCTTGTCCAGGCCCCCAGTCTTAGGAGTACCATCGAAATAATTGTTTTTACATTTATACCCATAAGGATTTTTTAAGTGTGAGTACAATTTTTTAGACTTATTTGAACAAAATTATATGGATAAGTTGTTTACTCTCTTAAGTACAATTTTAATAAAATTTGTTTTCTTTAGGTACAAAATTCAAATGAAATAAAAACTTTTTTACCTAAATATCATCCCTTAAATTATACAGTCATCATTAACAATTATTTGAAAAAACAAATATGTAAAGATTACAGTATATATTATCATTCATTTTTGAATTTTGAATTGTAGTTTTTTGTGGTATGTCTCTGCAGTAAAAGTGTTTTTTAATGGTTAGCTTTATTGCAATTTCGTTCAACGTACGATTTGGCGATTCACTTTTCCAGTTGCGGTATCTTCTTAGTTTATTTTCGTTTGCTTCCAAAGTTTATTTTTCTTAATCAATAGAGAATTTCTTCGAAAAAAGTAATTGCAAATACTGATCACCATCATCAGCTTGAAGATAAGTTTTTAATAATTAAATTTTTTCTTTTATTCGGGCATTTTTATTGAAAAATCACAATTTTGATTTTGTTTTATGTTATTCGTTGTTGGAATGTAGGGAAAAAAATAACTGCTTTGATTTTTTAATGGGTGTAACTATTTTTCGTATAAACAGTAATGTACGTTTTTTTTTTTTGATACTATATTTTTGTATGCGTAGAAAATTATATTAGTGTTTGGTTGTATATACTTATTTTGTTTTTATGTTTGTAAATGATCTTTTCTTTGTGTAATTATTTTGTTTTATGTGTTTTTAAGTGTTTTTTCTGCCATGCTTCTTTTGATATTTGCTTTGCATAACTGTGTTAAAAAAATCAGAGTAGAGTAGAGTTTTGGTGTAACTGTTATTGTATATAAGTTTTTAGCCAATACTTTTTTGTTAGATACTATATAGTGTAACTATTTTTTTTGTATTATATTTTTCTCATAGTATGTGATTAATTAATTCAGTCATTTGTATTAATATTTTTTATGTTGTTTTGTATAATTGTTTTTCTTTTCCTATTGAATTGATAAAATGTCATTTATTTTTTTAATGTTTTAATCAATAATGAAGGGAATAATGTTGCTTGTATCCGTCATTTGTGATGTGGAACATCATCATTGGATGGGTTGTCCGATTACACTTCAATTTGTTACATGTAAACATCATGAAATCTCAATTAACCCATATTGTAAACAATAATCAAAATAGTTACATCAAAAAATTACACAAAAACAGTTACACCATAAAGTTACATACCATAAATATTTACATTTAACATACAATTCAACTTAATAGATATTCAACATATTTACAACCATTAAGTAACAGATACTTAATATAATTACTAATAATAGATATAAGAATGAAATACTTAAAATCTCAAAATAGTTATTCAACATAGTTATATGCATTAAAATTTTTTTGAAACTTTTTATAATTTGTATTCAAATAATTTCAACTTTGAATTACTCATTAATATAAAAGATTTCAAATTATTTAGTTTCATCTATGAAATTAGGGATTTATAATTATGTTTTTGGTTTTACAAACAAAAAATTAGAGATTTGAAAAAAAGTAATGAAATCTACACAATAATAACTACAAACAGAAGGCGATATCATAACAGTTATTACAAACAGAAAAGTGAAATAGAATATTTTGAATCCCCCAAATAGTTGCTTAACACAGTTATTTTAAAAAAAAATATATGTTTGGAAGTGTTTACATTTTTCATCTACAGATAATTTCATTTTTATAATTACTTATTCATTAATTACAAAACTATAATTTCTTACTCTTATCTAGAAAAATAGGGTTTTATGATTTTTTTTTTCAGAAGCAAATTACACAGTTTTGCGCAAAAAAAAAAAGAACTAAATAATAATAAAATACAAAAAACGAAACTCGAATGTCACCTGCAATTTCTGGTGAAGAAGTGACGGACGACGATGAACAGGTATTGGACAGTAAAATTATCGAATTTTCACTGTTGTATTCCTCTTTTTTTTTTGGGGAAAATGTAGTATTTATTCTCATATAATTTGTGACATTCTAATCAAATCCCATTACTAGATAATCTCGTTGCCAAAAAAGAAGAGTTTTGATTATTAATGCCCTATTTTATCTTCCATTACTTAAATGTAGCCAAAAATATACGGAAAGAGATACAAAGGGTTTCAACTTTTTAGCTGTTTATAAAATGGCAATATTGTTATTTTTGAAAAATCTGCACTTTGGCCCAAATAAAATTTTGTGTTATATTTTTGCTCAATTAAATCTAAAACATTGTACCAATTTTCAAATTACCCTGATGATAAACACCAGAGAAACCTTCAACCATAACTGACCAGAGCACTGGACGGGCTTGGGCGCCCATAATAATTCTTCCAGACTCTGTCCCACTCTCTTGCCCAATAAGGCCAACTCAAAACCACCTATGCGCGCGTAATACAGTGACATCAAATAATGATACACTCAATAAACAAAGAGTAATATCAAACAATAACACATTAAAAAAAAAATAGTAACATCAAATAGTAACACAAATATTTTTATTGAGCGTGTCATTTTTTGATGTCATTGTATTACGTGTGTGTATATATATGTGTATATATATAATTTCAAAATTCAAATGATACACAAATATTAAAAAAAATCTTAAAAGTCTTACATTCTAATCTTAAAAGTCTCATATTATAGTAGGGGTAATTATAGAATATATTTTAGAAAAAATTTAAAAATATTTTAAAATGTGTAGTTATTAACAATTATTTGATAAAAAATATGACTTAGAAGAGAATAATTATGGAGATATTACTTAAAAACAAATAAGTTTAAAAAAAATACCCACGTTCCATTATCTCAAAACGAATTCCCGACTGTTACGATTCTACGCTTTACCTTTGACTACAAGGAAAACAAAAAGCTGCCCTCTATCAGAGTGAGTCGATGCAAATTGGGGCTTAGGGCGAAGAAAAGAAATTCATGAAGAACAACAACAACGATAATCTTGGGGATAAGGGTCGGACCTTACCGGTGGATCCGAACCTTCCGAGATGGGTCTGCCAGAACTGTCGTGGCAGCCTCTGCATCGTCGGCGTCGACTCTTACGCCGACAAATTCTTGAATACCGATTCCTCTTTCTCCTCCGCCTCTCGCTCCGGTTTGTATTTCTTTTTTCCTCTCTCTCTCTCTCTCTCTCTGTGTTATGTACCGAAATATTCAATTGAATTTATTTGGCAACTGAAAATTTGCATGAGCTAAGTTGATTGAATTTACTTATGAGCTTAATTAACTTGGTGAACTTTACTCTATGACCGTGTTCAGGAATTGCCAATCACTGTTGTGTCAGGTTGAATAGACCTTTTTGTTTTGAGGTTGTATTATTATTATTTTTTTTTGGGGCGTAGTAAAGGATGAAATTCGGTAAATATGTAGTTGATAATGAGATTAGATGTCTTGGGAGTTTAATCAATCCGAATTATTGGATTCTTCAACAGTTACAATTTGTTTCTTTTTGTCCCTCCTTGATGTCAGAAAAATTCCACCTTTAATTAAAAAGAAGAAATAAGTAGCATTGCTTGCTCAAAAGATTACGTATTTCGTTGAATTGAATCTTTTAAGAAAAGAAGTTAGAGATGAAGAAGACGACATGGAATGATATCGAGAATGCGGTTTGAAAGGACCATTCCAAAGGGGACCCTTAGTATGTGGGTGAGAATAGGATATGTTTCCGACTTAAGTGCTGCAAAATGTTGAGCAGTAGAACCACAATGACTTTCTGATATGAACTTGGTATTGAGGGTATTTTACGTTGATCCCATTTTAATTAGGATTTGCAATGGAACATGCAGGTGTGCAGGGTTATTCAGTCCATGGGGCTATTAGTGTGTTAGGTTCAACACGTATGGACCATTCTTTTGTTGTGTTGCCAAAGCAAAGAAATCAGCCACCAGGAGTCCCTCCTCGGCCTCGTGGTGGAGGTATTCCCCTGGACACAAATCAGCCTGGGAAGACAATGGAAGAATCATTTGTGGTGTTGCCTCCACCTGCAGCTTCTGTATACAATTGCGAATTTACATCCGATGGAGGTGGAACCCAATTTCAGTCACCTGAGGGTGGACCTACTTGTGCTCCTTTGCAGCCAAACAATTCCGGTTTTCATTCCACCATTACTGTCCTGAAGCGTGCATTTGATATTGCAACTGCCCAGACACAGGTGTGTGTGAACACTATTTATTTTACTGATGGCAAGGGAACTATAACGTGAAATATAAGAGGAAAATGCTATTTAAACACTCAAATTGCACATTTTGTCTAACAGATGTGGCGTTTCACCTGTAACTACCATGTCACCTTTCACGATCCAACTTCATAAAACCAAGAGAGAATATTATTGTTTTAGGATGCTATTCAGGAAGGCGGGGACAACAAACTGAAAATTTAGAAATATAGGATAGTGCGTTTAGTGTAGTCAATGTTTGAGTTGTTGAATTGACTTGGTTTGTTTAACACTGTCTTGAAAGCTTTTGTAAAGTCAATCGTCTTGCTGGTTGGTGTTTATGTGCTTACTCAATTAATGGATAATTACAAAGATAATTGTTAGGTTGCATTGCCATGACCTAATCATTTCCTTTCTCTTTTTCAGGTTGAGCAACCCTTGTGCCTTGAGTGCATGAGGGTGTTATCTGACAAACTTGATAAGGAGGTTGAAGACGTAAGTAGGGACATAAAAGCATATGAAGACTGCCTTCAACGGATGGAGGGGGAAACACGAAGTGTCCTTAGCGAGGCTGATTTCCTCAAAGAAAAAATAACGGTGCTTATTCAAAGCAAGCTCATATCAAATACATCACTTAATGAGTTTTCCATGCCAAATAGAGATTAATAAGTCATTTAATGAGTTTTTGTTTCTATACTCCTCCCCTTGTGATTAAATTAGTCATACTTGTAGATTATCCTTTTCCAGAGTAGTGAATTTAGGAGCTTCATGAGATGATGATGATGATTCTAATTACCAAAGCTATACAATGATGATGATACAATATGTTTACTATAGATATGATCCTACTTGTTCAGATGTGGTCATAGTTTATTGGCTGCATTACCAGTGCAGGGACAATTTTAGGGGTTAAACTAGTAGAATGCATGTGAACAATATGTAATTTTTTGTTAATTTTGATCTTCTAAATCGTTTTCATATAGTCATTGTTTTGGTGATGTTATACCAGTTTCTAGGTGCTCATTTATTTGTTTGTTGATTCATGTATTAGTAAGTTTTAGTGTTATAATATCTTCTATTGTTTACTGCTCCTTTACCATGAGAGAGTTTGTGTGTGAGAGAGAGAGAGAGAGTAAAAAGAAAAAGAGGGGAGGCGGTTTAATATGTTAGGAGGTACTTTTCTTTTAGAAAAACAATCTAATTCCACATGATGACGGGAGTAGATGTCCATTTTTTCTTTTATTTATATTAAGGTTGTTCTGTTTTTTGAATAGGGTTTACATTTTTTCTATATGAAGCTAGAATTTAATGTATTCATGTTTATGAACTAGTTTTTTGTTGCTAACATCACCTGAATCTATTGGAGTCCATATGCAGACACTACGGTGATTATTCTTAATTCAATCATTCTCAAATGTTTGAATAGGTTACACTTGACAGTGATAAACTTTCCAATATGCATACAAATTCGTCTTAAATGAGCTGTCATATTAAACTCTTTTTCCATTTGTGGCTCAAAAAATTGTATGTCACCTTTGGGTGGTCTTCAAGATAGAAGAAGAAGAACGGAAACTTGAAGCAGCAATTGAGGAAACAGAGAAACAATGTGTGGAAGTAACTGCTGAATTGAAGGAACTGGAGTTGAAATCTAGTCGATTTACAGAGCTGGAGGAGCGGTAATTTTCATCTGAAATTAATTATTTGATAAAGATCCTTTACCTATTTGATGGTTTATGATGAAGCATATAAATGAATGGCGAATGTTTTTGCAAGTTCATGCCCGTTATGTGATATACACATATGTTGAAGTCTTTGATAGCTTATTGTTTCCATAAAATTGTTTGGAACAGGTATTGGCATGAATTCAATAATTTTCAGTTTCAATTAATTTCGCATCAGGTTTGTTGCACTTAATCTATCTCTTTCTCTTTAGACATCATTTTTCCCTCCAATCTCATGCTTTTACAAGAATCTGGAGTTTTGAGTTTTGTCAGTCAGTTTAATTCCCTTTATTATAGTTGATTTATACTTGTTAGGATCCGATATAGTTACTTGTCTTCAAATGGCTTTCTGCAAATCATCAAGCATGGCATGCAGCAAACATGTCCATGATGTGGAAGATGTTGCAAGGGGAATGTGTTGATTTTGGCGTCCATGAATTCTGTGTTGCCAAGAATGTTCCATGAAAGTGCATTTGGAGAAGCATTTTTTCCATGCTTCACATGAAATAAATGTGATTAATACAAGGAATCTATGGCTTGATACTGTAACTCACTGCTATGTGTCTCATACCCATCAACCATCTCTGCCACTTCAATTACAATTTTTCCTACTTACAAAAATCGAGTAAACAATGAGGTGGTGATAGGCATAGTTGCTAACCTTTTATTTGTAAATTGTTCTACTGCCCTGTCACAATGTGTTCTCCAGTTGTTTACCATGGCTTTCCAATCAACAGGAAGAGAGGGATGCAATTTTGGCAAAAATTGAAGTTTCACAGGCACATTTAGAGTTGTTGAAGCGGACCAATGTGCTCAATGATGCTTTCCCCATCTGGTATGATGGAGAATTTGGAACAATTAACAACTTTCGGCTGGGAAGACTTCCAAAAATTCCGGTATAAAAACTAGGCTTGCAGTTTATTTAATACAGGAACTGTATGTTTGGCTCTTCTTTATTAGTTTCCTATCATGAAATAAGTGAAAGTGTGTCGGGACAAACATTAGTTGCGTCCCACCAGTTGGATGCCTGCAATCAATAATATATTTGAAACCTCTTTCTCTCTTCGTGTGTGTGTGTGTGTGTGTTTGGGGGGCTCTTTTTTTTTTTTTGGGGGGGGGTTTTATTTGTGTGTGTCTGTGCCCGAAATACAACAAAATTGCAAATTCAAGGGGTGGAAGAAAGAAAAATTATCAGGATTTTTTTCCTTACTTGAGCAGATATGAGAAACATTGACCAACACAAATTTCACTTTACTCAGGTTGAGTGGGACGAGATAAATGCTGCATGGGGCCAAGCTTGCTTTCTTCTCCATACAATGGCTCAATATTTTCGGCCGAAGTTCCAGTATCCTCTTTATTGCAACTATACATCATGAATTTTATGTCTTTGATTTAAGGTAATGAATTACTGCAAACACTTGGTGTCTTGGCCTAGTGGTAAAAGTTGGGCTACTGAGGAGGTAGTGCCATGGTTCGGATTTCGTCATGGCTGGGGCTTGTGCTGGATAAGGGGTTATATTTTCCAACATAAAGTTCCCTACTCATATGTATCCCTTACTTTGCAAGTCCCTGTTACACATGTACCTATATTAGTTGTTATATTGAAATGTTCACCAAAATATTTATTGATAAGTCCAAAGTCTTTTACTCACAAAACTACAAAAGGGATAAAAATCTGAAATAGTCCACTGGAGTATCCTTCAGAATAAAATGTTTGATTATTTTGAACAACAATGGCGATTTCTTTGAAATTTACTTTTTGTATTGTAAGAATCCTCTTGCAAAAGCACTCCCAAGATGCTTTAAGCAAGGTCTGGGCAAACGATGTGAATCAGCTGATTACTGTCAAGTGCTCCAAGCAGAAAGGGTTATGAGACAGGGAATTATAAGATATGCAAATTAGTTTATATAAGGTGACATGGAATGTGGCTTCTGCAACTGGAGCTACTATAGGGGCAAGCACTTGCATGCTGTGGTATGTGAGTGAATTTCATGTCCATCAAGGTTTTTGAACATGATGTTGCCAAATAAACCTTCCACTTTGTTCGTTTCAATGTAGAGGTCCTTGTGCTTCCTCCCACAACTTGATGTTTCGCAAAATAGATGCCAGCAAGTGTTAATTGATGTGACGGCAAATTAAACACGTGATTTTAACTTGTCATCTTTATTTACTGTTATATCCTTAATTTATTGGTTTCTAGATATCGGATAAAAATTCTTCCTATGGGTAGTTATCCTCGAATTATGGACACCAGCAACAATACTTATGAACTGTGAGTAAAAGTCGCTCTCTTGAATTAATTTGTTTTTTTATAAAATGCAGCCTAATCTTGAACAGGGCTCTAGTAACCTTCCAGTGGATGGTGCATGAAGTTGGGATTTAATTTACTACGGCATGCGACATATTCGAACGGCTTATATGCCAAGTTGCCAATTACATATTCTTTTCGTAATTCAGCTTCATATGGTGTCTGGTTTCTCATTTTTGTTTTTAGCATTCATGTCTTTTCTAATTGCTTGAAACCACATTGACTGGGGCCTTCCATTTGATATATAGATGATTGAACTGTACAAGCAAGTGCTTTGTACATCTTAGTTGATATTGGGCCATTCATCTTGTTCAGTTTTCCATTACATCTCTTTTGCCTATTTGATTTCCGTAAAATAATTGATGTGAGTATTCCTTAGATTTGGTCCGGTGAACCTTTTTTGGAGCACGCGTTACGACAAAGCGATGACGCTGTTTTTGACTTGCTTAAAGGAGTTTGCAGAGTTTGCAAATTCTAAGGATAAGGAAAACAACATACCACCTGAGAAACGTTTCAAGCTGCCGTACAAGTAAGCCATTTTTCTGTATCCGCAAAAGAAATTGTGTTTAGCATCTGTATATAGGACGCGTATCTTGTCATCTTTTAGCCAAAGCAGTACAAACTCCATTTTGTTGAATTATTCTATGTGATGTGCACATATATCTCACTTTATGTGATTATTTTAGGTGATAAGATTGTCATTATGGTAGACAGATATCTAGGGAGAGTTTTTTTTGGGGACTTCATCTGGGGAGAGTAAGACTTTTGACAGCAACTTAGAATTATCTGGAATTGGTGTTCGTAATTGGAAGTTTTGAAGTTCATGATCTCTGCCATTTTTAGTGTCGGTTGGATAAAAAATGATGAGAAATGTGTCTGAAGGTTCCAGAATTTGGATTCATGGACCACTGAATGAACCAGTTTTATTTTGAAGAACTTTATGCCACTGTGACAGCTCTGAGATTAATGATGTATAAGCCTTGAGAATTATCTGGCGATCTAGAACTAAGGGGAAAATATTGTGAAGAACTTGAGAAACTAATGATAATGGTTGAAAAATGAAAAAAAAGAACTTGACAAGAGCATGGACAGGTTATAGACAGAAAGTCATAATATGTTATTTATGTACACAAGTATTTTGAACATCAGTTATACTTGATCATGAACATAAAGCTGAACATCAGTTGGTCGTCTGTTGTCATACAAGAACTTCTGATATGTTTTTTTTACCTCTCGATTTGCTCTTTACATGCCTCTTAACAATCTAGGACTAATTATTGCAGAGTTGAGAATGATAGAGTGGAAAACTATTCGATCACACAGAGCTTCAACAAACAGGAGAATTGGACGAAAGCTCTCAAGTACACACTCTGCAATTTGAAATGGGCTCTCTACTGGTTTGTTGGGAATACCAATTTCCAGCCTCTGTCTACAACAGTCTCCTCTTCGCAAGCTGAAGTTCCAGCTTTGGGCTCTTTGTACACAAAACGCACTGTTGATTTCAAATCTGAATGCTGAAACACCTCAAACCATTCACATAGATTAACTAACTGTATACAATATACCAACCTGTAAGTAGATATATGGAATGATAGTTTTCTCCTTCCCGGTGCTTCTGCCTTTTGTTTGTTCATAGCCAATTACTTATAAATATTGTATCAAGCTTGTTTCTGCGATAAATTAGCAACATTGCTTATTCTGAATCTCTTCTCCCTTGTTTTTGGACCATACAATAAAGTCAGCTAACGTAGCAGGTAATTTTTGAATGAGGTGAATGGTACTTTCTTTCCAGATCCCTAAGTCTGCTATCCTTTATGCTTTGATCATTAAATATATCTCTTAACTGGAACGACGGTCTCTTCACGGGACCGCCTTCTGTGAAGATTTGCCTATGGAGTGTTCTGTTCTGAGAACTAGAACTAGTTGCATGAACCATGGTTTTTTTTTTTATTTCGTACATCAGAAAGTTTAAAACAAGCAAACTAAATAGAGTTCCTAGAAAATGAAACACTGCTATATCAGCCATTAAACAACTAGCTAGCAGAGGTGTGGATCCTCCATTTCAACAGAGGACTCCAGTTGATTGATATCAAGGTTTGTCAGTTTATCTGCGCATTGGTTTCTTCTCTAAGCGTATTAATAATGGATATGTTATATATATGTTATTTTTTGTGTCTGAAGGCACGGAATAATAAAAAAAATAGTCAACATATTTGTATTCATATCTAAAATCAATTTACAAACATGGAGGAGAAATAAAAAAATTTAAGTACCGATTGTAGTAAGAGTAAGCGGTGATAGTGGTGGTGGGCGACAATGGTGATGGTTGTGGCATGTAAGGCGACAACTGTGGTGGTGGTAACAGTCGTGGGTGACAATGGTGATTGTGGTGGTGGGTTTTGAGTGACAATGATGGTAGTGACAGTCGTTAGGGGCAACGATAGTGGTGGTGGTGGGTGTGGGTGGTGGTGGACGACGGTGGTGATGGGCGGTGATGATGGTCGTGGTGGGCGACAATGAGTGCTTATAGGCAACAGTGTGATGAGTGGTGACGAATGACAGCGGTGGTAAGTGTGGTGAGGGTAGGTGACAGTGAGTGGTTGTAGTGGTAAGCGATAATAGTTGGTGGTGGTAGGTGTGGTAGGGTAGGTTATAGTGGCTGGTGGTGATAGTGGACAACGATGGGTGGTGGTGGGTGCTGACAGTGGGTAACGGTGGTAATGGGATAATGATGGTAATATTGATAAATATAAAAATAAGATGACGATGGTAGTGGGTGGTGGCCATGGACGACGATGCTAGCAACAAGTGGTAGGTGGCAATAGTGGTGGCAATGTGGCAATGAGGGTGGGGTGGGGGGTGAATGTGGAGCAATGGTGATGGTGGGAGTAGGAGTGGCGGGTTGGCAATGGTGGTGGTAGTTGTGATAGTCATGGGGGAGTGGTAGGGGTGATGGTGGGACAATAGTGGTGGTGATAAGGTGCCACAGCGATGGTGGTGGGGCGGTGGAAATGGTAGTGGTGCTGGGACGATGGTGGTTATGGTAGTGATAATGGTGGGGTTGGGGTGGTAATGGTGAGCAGTGGTGGGGTGGTGGATATGGTAGGGTGGTGATAGTGATAGTAGTGATAGCGGTGGTGGTAGTAGTGGCAGTGGTGGGGCAGTGGGGGTGGTAGAGGTAATGGTGGGACGGTTTCAAATACTATTTTTTAAAAAAAATACTTATGAGAAATAATCTAAAAAAATACTTATAAAAAGTCACTCTAAACACATTTTTAAGGGCCTATTTTTTTTATTAAATTTAGAGTGTTAATATTAGTTGTTAGATTAATTTTAAAATAAAATTTAAAACGATTTTAATCGCGAATAGAAAAAGTCATTTTATTTATCTTTTGAAATTTGAATTGTATTGTATTATATATATATATATATATATATATATATATATATATCCATAAATTCATCTGATGGTCTCAAATAGATATATCTACCGACCACTAACATTCTTTTTAAAACTATTCATATTATATCGTACCTTCAGACACTAGATACCCATAATATATATATATATCAAGCTTTTTCACTTAGAGGATTTGCACTAAATTGGCACATGTATTTAATTGTAAATGTTAAAGTCAAGTCTACGGAAGCTATGAACAGGAAGACCTTGGTGGTTGGAGGTAATGTGATAGTGGACCAAACCATAGGCAGATAAACAATAGTTATCCCTAAAATTTATTTGATTGCGAAATGTTCATAGCATGGACTTGTCCTCTCATTGAGGACTTGGCTCAAATTTTTTTAACAAAAAAAGAAAAGAAAGATCCCCTTTTATGAGGGAATAAAACAAAGACATGCAGCAAAACTGATTCTAAATGCCTTTCTAAGCATAGAACTGACCCAAAACCCAAATGCATACAATATTCATCAAAGTCGACACTTTCAGCCAAGAACCCAAGTTTCCTCATGTTATATAAGCTGCAGATCAACCAATTAGAAATTATTTTGATTATTTTTTTGGTTCTTGTGCTTCCTTGTAGTGTAATCAGATAGATGGGTTTAAAAGTGTCAAATATTGAAATTGTAATCCACATTTCATTTTATTCTCAAACGCATTACATTCTCACATTCATTACATTCCTACCTAAAAGTATTACCGTATACTAAACACAGCGTTAAGTGTTGCCAAAATCAATTCTAGAAGGGTAATGAAAATGGGGGAAAGATGAAAATAAGTGAAGAAAAAGAGAATTGGCTTTATGTGATGGTCGTGACAAAACAAGGTCATAAAATGAATAAATTTACGTGTTATTTTTTGTTGTGCCAAAATGTGGTGCTCTATACCACTTGGTAAAATGTGTGTGAAGTCCTTTATAGGTATGAAAAAAAGGTGGTCTTGCTAAAAAAGACAATAACAAACAATATGGGCCACAATATCATACCGTATGAGTTCAGAATGATATTCTGGTATTAGAGTCCGTAGTTCTCGTAGTGTACTTTGCACACTCCTTGTGAGTCATCCTTTTAAATCTCACATTGTTCTATGAAATATTTTAAAGTTATGCATACCTATCCTAAAATGAATAATACTATATAATGTGGGTCTGACCCTCTATACAAAATGAATAATAACGGCAACATCAATTGGCTTGTCGGTAGCCATGGATTAATAGTCATGTGGTACTAAAAGTCATATGCATAGTTTATCAATAGAGGTTACAACCACAAAAAGCAAATTCATTCATGGAAGGAAAGAGCATTGCAGTCACAGAAAATTTGGTAGGATATGGATCATGTGTTGTCAAGCATTAATCATAGAATAATATCACTAAAATATGCTTTAATGTGAATGATTGGATTAATAAGCATAGCATTTTTCTTTAAAGTTCAGTACCGTAGTATAATCCCAAAAATATATGAATTCATATGGAGAGTTTGAAGTTGAAAATTCCCTACTTCAACAATCGTAGAAGCAACTATCTCCATAGTTCATGATACTTGTATGCATGCTAACTTCCACACGAAACTAAATGAGAGTACTCAATACAACCTTGTATACTTATATATACATATACCCGTCCCTGATCAATCCTTCACAAACACATCAACCTCCAAATAACATTTCTATTTTCTTCTGAGTTGTGATAGAAAATATGTCTCGCCAGCTGATATGGGCTGTAGCCATTCTATTACTAGTTGCAAGGTCGGCCATGGCTGCACCATCGTGTGCGCAGGTTAAGCATGAGACAACTCCTTGCTTGACCTTCCTGCAACTGCAAGGTGAAGTGATTCAAGACCCATCTCCGGCTTGTTGTTCAGGTATTAAGTACATCGCAAGCCAAGCAAATACTAAGGCTGATCGGATTTCCATGTGTGACTGTGTAAAGGAAGCTTTGTCTTCCATCTTGTATGATCCTCAGCGCCTCCCTCTTCTTCCCAATTTGTGTGGAGTGAAACTTAATCTGCCTCCAATCGACCAAAATTATAACTGTGACGAGTAACTCTCTCTCTCTCCATATTTGTAGATAGTGTTTAATATAAGGAAGATACTAAACTTTCTTTTGATGCAGGATTGGACTTCAGGCTGAGGCCCATCACAATCACAATTTCTAGAGAATTTACACAACATATATACAAGCCTGCAGTGGACTATAAGCTCTCTGCTTTCTTTCTGCAATAACTGGAAGAAACTGCATAACCCAAAAAATGTAGAAATTGAGACTCTACAAAATGTACTGCAGCAGGGCAAATGTGATAGTATATAGCTTGGGAACTAACATCAATAAATACTATTTACCCAGCCAAAAAAATCAATAAATACTTCCATATAATATCTTCTGCAATCTCTCTCTCTCTCTCTCTCTCTCTCTCTCCTTATGCCTGTGTGTGAACCAAATAGCTAAACATTTATTTGCCAACTTTACATCGTTTTCAGTAGAAATCTGAGATGTAAACTTGTCGTGCTTAATGTGTTTTTTCTAGTTAACCAGCTTGCCATTGTCTTGTGATTATTCATATGGATATTAGATATGTTTGGTGTCCCAATAGCGTTGATCAAATTGCAACCTAACATTGAAATTCTAAGAATCATTCATTCACAAGGATAAATTACAATTCGACCCCTTAAACATAGATTTGATTTTACTTTGCCCCTTAAATTATATAATTTTTCATATAGTCCCTTTATAACTTGAATTATTTCACATTGCCCCAAACTCAAGCATCCATTATTTATTTATTTTTCACATTTCAAGGAAAAGTGAAAAAAAATCACATAGTCAGGAGGGTAAAATAATTTTTTTTATCAAAAACTTGTGAGAAATGTCAATAATTGAGATGATATGAAACTAATTTAAAAGGCAATGTAAAAAATATGATAGTTGAATGGACAATAAAAAAATGATCATAGTTAAGAGAGTTAAAGTATAATTTGCATTGAAAAATCTTCCAAATGAGTATTGTAGATAAAAAATAAAAATTTATAATTTTTTAAATAATATTATATTAGTTGTTGTCAAATTAAATAATTTTTTATTAAAACAAATATTGACACAAACTCGACATGTACCGAAAATGATACGACACAAAAATAACACGACCGAAAATGACACGACACAAATTTGATGTAACACGACACGACACGATTAACACCCCTAACAGCTACTCCGTAAACAGCCCCAGTGCCATGCACAAAATCAAGCTGACAACATATACATATTTGTCTTCTCGATCCTATTCATTAGTCAAAAAGAGGGGTTGAAACGGTTGGCTTCCATGACACTTAAAGTCCTACCTTCATCAATTTGGCCACCAAAAGCCTCTTTAAGTGCTACGAACCATTCATTATATAATTGAACATTTCACTTCATTCATATACAATACACTTTTGACATTAATTTACACACAGTTGCTGCGGAGAAGACAATGGCACAGAAGAAGTATGTGGTTGAGATCGAGAAGGCCAAGGAAGCAACTGATAGGAAGCCATCAGTGGGACCGGTTTACCGGAATGTGTTAGCGAAAGATGGATTCCGGCCACCGGTGGAAGAAATTGAGAGCTGCTGGGATGTTTTTCGGTGACCTTTTTTCTCCCTTAGAATTACTCTTCTCTCTTGTTTTGAGAGTTTAGACCATATTTCAAGTTTAATTATACATAACTTGATTTTAGAAATTCCAATTTTTGACACGATATGCTAACACGATACGAAATTAAAGAATTTAAGTTTTCTATAATTCAGTTAAAATATGATACGACTTTTTAATACAACATCAAATAAGAAAGTTTGAGTTTTCTGTAAGCTACCCGTTTTGAAACCGATTTATTCACTTGAATAATAAACGAATCCGATATGAATTAAGTCAATCAAAAAAAAATAAACAACATGACTCTTTTATATACCAGTTATACATGATACAATATGACACGAATTAATAAACAAATCATGTATACACGATATAATATGATACGAATCAAGTATGAATATAGTACTTTTTCACACAAACCTATCTCACCCGATACAATTGATATGTCTCTTATGATTATTAAAAATTACTAAAATAGTAGAATATATTGCACACATGATATAATATTATTATTTAGTGATACAAAATTATTAAAATTAGTGACCACTACTACTATATTGAGTAAATTATACTTTACCACCTGAATTATTATCTTTATTTTATTTTATACTTTTAATTATAAAATTTCTCACATTACACTTTAAAGTATTAATTTTATTTCATATCACTCTAATAAATAATAACTGTCAATTTTTTGATAGTAAATGTGCATATGAATAATCTGTACTGCCAATAAACAATTGTCTATTGGGGCAAAAATTAAGAAAAATATATATCCATGATTTTACCTTTCTTAAGCTCTAATTTTTTTTCCTTTAGTCAATTTTTTTTTTTTAACAATCATTTAGTCGTAAAAGAGATAAAATAAAGAAGTACTAAACATTTGACAAAAATATCTTTGGAGTTTTCCTCCCTCATTTGACAGATTTTTAAGTTTGTCATTATTTATTTGAGTGATTTAAAATAAAATTGATATTTTAGGGTATAATATGAGAAATTTTACAGTTGAAAATATAAAATAAAATAAAAGTGAAAAATTTTATAGTTGAAAATAAAAAATAAAATAAGGGTAAGGGAACAAAATATAATTTACCCAATATTAGTCGTTGACATCACACCTAACAACGTGGTATAACCATGCAATGAATATTTCCTCCTGAGACAGTCAGTCTACTGGCATTTTTCTTCCGTTCTCAGCGTTTGGTTGCCGATAAAACAAAAGAAACGGAAACGGGAAGAGAAGATCATTCCGTTTGTTTGCTTTCTCGGCAACCAAACAGAGGAACTCGAGGTTTTCCAGGAATGCGGCAGGCACCGTTCGGTTGTTTGGGATGAACGAGAGACAATGGCTTCCATTGTTCACTCCCTTCCGAAAGTTTTTGGGTATTTTTTCGTTAATTTCATCAATTCTAACTCCTATACATCGTTATTTACAGAGAATCTGTGGAAAATTATCCTAATAATCAAATGCTTGCCGAGCGCGAGGTCGAGAATGGAAAGGTGCCTATGACTGCCTGACCACACACACTTGGTTATTTTAAGGTTTTTGCCATATGAATCTAAATTCTGTTGTTATGATTGTTTGTTTCCTCTATTTTTTTTTTCAGGCAGGTAAATATGTGTGGCTGACGTACAAGGAAGTTTATGATATAGTGTTGAAAGTTGGAGCATCCATCCGCAGCTGTGGTGTTAAGCCCGTAAGTTTGTTTTGGCTTTTGCCCTTTATCGGACTTCAGTTGTTTGGTAGGATCAATTAAACGTGTTTGGTAGGATCAATTTGAAGTTATTTTACTGGAAATGTAAATTTTGATGGGATAAGTTGTATGGGGCATAGTCAGTCACATGCTAATTCTCTACTTGCTCATATTCAGGGTGCTAAATGTGGAATTTATGGTGCAAATTGCCCGAAATGGGTTATAAGTATGCAGGTAAGTGATGTTATATTTTTTGTTTCAAGGTATAGTGTGCTGATCCGTAATGTTTCTTTCCTTCCATTTAACTGTCGTTTTCAGTGGAATTGGGTTTGGTTTGTGGGAGGGGGATGTCACTATAAAGCCAAATTGGAAGAAGTGTGATCTGAATTGAGTTTTGAAATACATTTTGAATGATATTCCTTGTGTTGTTCTGTGGGAAATCTGTCGTCTCTTGGGTCTAAGTTCTATTTTCTATTCGGTAGTTGGATAATGCCTGTATAGTTTCCCTCTCAGTGATTCAACCAAATGTTCTGACTCTTCTGCAGGCCTGCAATGCACACAGACTTCTCTGTGTTCCTCTATATGACACTCTTGGTATGTCTTCTGAAACAACAGCCCCTCCTCCCCTTTCTCTATATATATTTCTTGGTAAACATATTTCGTTATACATAATATACATTATTAGCACGTAAATTGCAGTAAACAAGCTTTTACTCACCATGAGGTTTTTTCACATTAAGCAGGCTGAAGTCCCAGTTAAAAAAAAAAAAAAAGCAGGCTGAAGTCTTATAATCAGGGCACCTGTATTTAGGACAAGGAGGGGCAGATTGTTAGTGAACTGAATATTATTGTAATTATTTTTATTATCAAATTATGGCCATATTGATGCTTGTCTAATTTGGAAAGTGGATAGATAAATGAAGGTTATTCTTATGGCACATATTTTTGGTATCAAAACTAAATAAAGTTTAGTAGTGCTCAAGTGTAGATCTCATACAAGTTGGGATACTCTGTACTGAATCATTTTCAATCCATTACGTTAAAAATGGTGGTTCACCGGTGTAAGTTTCATACAATTAGTGTGGTTTATACCAATGTTACCTGGATCGTGGGTCGCTTGGTTATGTGATACGTGTACGGGTACGCAATACAATACTTTCTTAAGTATAGGTACGATGAGGGTAGGTTTAACTAGTCTGGTATTTTGGGTCACAATTTGTTTTAGAACTTTTATTTAGATTGTTTTTACCACTATACAACATTATATATCAGAGAACATTCACCAACACTTAGTCAATTACCATTTATCTTACATTTGTGCTTGATTTTGTATTATTTAAAATAATATATAATTATAAATCTATATACACGTAGTTAATCAATTTGTATTTTATATTTATACTACGTGTATAATTTGGGATTGTATATTTTGGTAATCTGGACCGCGAACTCACCCCGTTTGAGATCAATGTATCCAGGGATGTCAATGGTTTAGTGAATTCTAGTAATTATGGTTTATACTTTATAATTATATTGAAATTTCGACACGATTACCATGACGGCTGAACAAGCTAGCCAACCAGGCAAGGGCCTAATGATATATCAATTAGTTAGCAATTAATATGTGCATCTCAGTCCATGTATGCATACCAGAATCCATGAGGTTAATGTTTCCATTGAAATTACTTACTGTGAGTAATGCAATAAAGAGGGAAGAATGACACTGGATGAAAATTTGTAATTGAATCCCTCAGTTTAGCCAATGCTTGACCAAAATTGTTTGGTTCTACGATTATTTATCTATGTAAGTGTAATTGCAATACTCTAGAGCCTCTACCCCCCACAATTTCTGAGGGTTTGCCTTTCAGGAATACATGACCCCTGATAATGCATGTAAGATTTGTTTAGCCTTGTACAGAAACAAATTAGGGCTGGCTAGCTACTTTTAGAATTGAATAAAGGCACTCACTCTATTGAAGTTAAATTAAAAAAAAAAAAAAGGCTGCTTAACTAATCGTATTTAATTGTCATCCTCCAAGTATGACTCAAATTTCAGATGTCAGAACTTAACACTTGTAAAATTTGGTTGGGGTTTTAGGTGCTGGTGCGGTGAAATTTATCATTTGTCATGCAGAGATTTCAATTGCTTTTGCAGATGAAACCAAAATTTCAGAGGTAAGCTATATAATCATACACACTAGATCCTAAATGGTTGCCTGAAAAGAAATTGCATTCCACCTTCATTGCTTCTTAGTTCGTTTATTCGGATGAATATATCTTATGGCTTAAATTTTTTCTTTGAGGAATTACTGTATACTAAGAATTTTTTTTCTTTTTGTTTCATTTTCAGGTATTGAAAACATTTCCTGATACTCACAAGTACTTGAAAAGTAGGTTAACTTTTGTCAGGTTTCATGTGCTTAATACAAGGAGAGTATGAGCTATTTGTTTATATTTTGACTTTGTTATGTAGCTCTTGTGAGCTTCGGGAAGGTTACTGCTGAGCAAAGGGAGGTGGCTGAAACGTTTTCTTTGACAATATATTCTTGGGATGAATTTTTGCTTCTTGTAAGTTACTTGCTTAGAACTCTAAACATCTTCACATCATATGTCTGTTATAGTGGAAATTTTAGTTATGTGACAAAGACATTTTTCCATATGGTTTGCTGTTAATTACTCTCAAGTGTTTTCAGGAAGTGGTACAATATATCTGGCCAAAACAAGAATGAAGGGAGCTTCTTGATATAACAGAGAAAATTATCTCATTATAATCATTTCTTTAGTACAGTCCACAAATTTTTGACTGATGCTTCATAACATACCCTGATGATGCTTTGATAGTTTGGTGGGTTCTGGAGCTAGCATGGTCTAAAACATTGCTTCTGCATCATGTGCTGTAGACTGTTTTCTTGTTCTGTTGCTTCTTGGCAACCTATGTCTGCTTGTTGATGAATTGTTCTCCTAAAACTCTTATCATAAGGTCACTTATGCCCAGAACCTGCTAGTTCTTAAGCATACTCTAGGAATGATGCCTATGGCTCAGGAAAGACTTAAATTGTTTAGGTTTATGCTTGCTTGCAGAAATCGTTTTTTTTCCTAACAGCTCTGCTAGGTCCATGTTTTTTGCTAAATCGAGGGCCACCATACCTTTTCACTCCTTGCAATTTGCATAAAGATGATATATTAGAAATAGTAACCTCATCCTCTTGTGATTACTACGATTGCCACGTATAAGTTGAAGGCACTTCCCTGGCAAATCATGATGGACAACAATGCGATGAATTGATATAAGACATCTTCCCCTTTAACTTAGAAAGGTGATGAAGGAACAAGTTTATAAAAGTCAAACCCGTGCAACCCCATCTGAACTTGAACTGTAGGATGTTAAAGTTGTTTGATACAGTAGAGATAATATTAAACTACCAACCACCCTCTTGGATGCATAATTAGTTTTACATCAACCCTATCATATATTTAGTCACCTATCTTTTCTGTTGTTTATTCTGTTCTGGCTTTACTTTATATAGATGGTTTAATTCTATAGCTACCCTGTATATTCACCTGCAGGAAACCGATGAGCATTTTGACCTCCCAATAAAAAAGAAGATTGATCTTTGTACCATCATGTATACAAGTGGAACAACTGGTGATCCAAAGGGAGTAATGATTTCCAATGCGAGCATTCTTTCAATTATATCTGGAGTAAATCACCATCTACAGAGCATTAATGAAGAGGTGACCTTCGACTAATGCCAAGTAACCTGTTTTGTGTCTTCAGTGATAATCTTTGAAACTAAAGCGAAATCATACGCTTTTGATATGGTGTATTTGTCACATGAGTATGTGTGTTAGTTTCTGTGATGTATCTGTTGTTAATGCCTTTCTTTGATCAATTCTACCATTGCTTATACAGTTTACTGAGAGAGATGTGTACATGTCATATCTTCCTTTGGCGCACATTTTTGATCGGGTCATTGAGGAATTGTTCCTCTCCAAAGGTGCCTCAATAGGATTCTGGCAAGGGGTAAGTCGAGAAAGGACAAAGGATTATTCTCACCATGTGAATAGTTCTATATAATATGTTTCATTAATGGCATATTCAGGATGTTAAACTATTGATGGATGACATCAGAGAGCTAAAACCAACTGCATTCTGTGCTGTTCCACGAGTGTTAGACAGGATTTATTCAGGTAAATAATAAAGCGTATGACACACCTGCATGGTGTTATAGTTTGGAATATTGTCCTTGTGCTTTACCCGTGCTCTACTTGTGCTCAAGCATTGATCCATGCTTAAAATGTTTTCCAGAATGTACTAGCAAACTCTTGGTTTAGGCATTCCTATTTGTAGACTTTTCCCTGAGATTTTTGTGGTTCTATCTTTGGAAGTAAAGAAATTGTTTAGAAGGCAGTATCAATTTGTTTGTTGATTTGTGGCCCCAAAGTTCTTGTTGATACCATTCGAATATAGATACAGAACAGTTTGCTTAACAGAGCTGGGAATGGTATTTTCATTTTCTCTTACCATACAGATCGTCAAAGTGAATGTGTGAGATTTTTTGTTTCCATCCTAAAGCAAGCATATCCAAGGGGATGAATGTTAAATTTCTCCTTTTCAACAGTGTGAGGTGTAATCATGTTGCTACGTATATTTTCAGGTCTGGTGGAGAAGAGTTCTTCCGCCGGGTTCATTAAGCATACATTGTTTAACTTTGCTTACTCCTAGTAAGTGCTTTATAATTCTGGCAATGCATGTGAAAGTACATTCAAAAAGAAAACATCTTCTGTGTGACGGAAAACAAGAACTATTTGACAAAATATCTTTATTAACAAACACAGCTTTTCCATCCAGAACCTTCTACTCTCATAGAATTAGAATGTTGTTCCGATTAGAGATAAGCTATCAGGTTCAAGCACATTAAATTTTATATTTTTCCAGTTTATATGCATGAATTTTGGATTTTTTGTCTGTTTTTGATATATTTATGTGGTACTTCCAATTTGGATTGTCACCTTCGCCTTCATAACTTCTTGTAGTAATGCTATTACAGTCACCAAATTCCTTTGGGCACATTTAGTCGGCTAAATTTTGAAGACTTTAAAGTTCACTGGACCCTTAATGGAACAAGGAAAAAAAAAGTTTATTGGACAAATCACAGACATGGTATTCAGCTTTTTCCTTGCATGTTCACTGTGTGTGATGATCGCACTTATCATATTTGCAGCAAACTACGGAACATGATCAAAGGCTATAAACACTCAGAGGCAGCTCCAGTATTTGATCAAGTTGTTTTTAATAAGGTGATGGAAGTAATTACATGGTGCAACTTCTTACTTTTTAGTCTTCCTCTAGAATTTGAACAAAGGTCCCAACTGAAATCTCCTCTCTCTAAATTTGTGGTTGTAACCAATGCAGGTGAAAGAAGGTTTAGGGGGAAATGTGCGTCTCATTCTATCTGGAGCAGCACCTCTTTCTACCAGTGTGGAAACCTTTTTGCGGGTTGTGACATGTGCTCATGTTCTACAAGGATATGGTATATGAACTCTTGGACTTATTGTCTTCCAGTGATGTGTCAATTTAACTCTATGTGCTATTGAATCTGCCAGTTATGCGTCACTTTGATCTCTATGCGCTTATTTCTGTTTCCATACTTGTTGGAAATGGCTTTTTATTTGATCATCATCAAAGTTAGTTCGGTAACTTACTCTTGATTCTTAAAAAATCCTTCTTTCTTTTTCCTTTGACTTGTTACGGGTTTTTTCATCACCCTCCAGACAGTGTTATCCATCAGAAGCTTTATATATTAATATGTGCTGTACCAAATGTGCATGGTAGGATGATATGTATGCTCATGGCTTTTATTCAATCTACATGCATGACACCACTTCTTCCTTTCCCGTCTTAAGCTACCCTTAGGAGGAGTAATGCACAAGAACACACTAGAATTGTGATCTGTTTGACCATGAGCAATTATGATTCTGTCCGGTAAAATGCTGGTGATTCTCCATATCATATTCAATGAAACAAATATTTGCAAATATCCAATTTTCAGGAAGTTGGAATCTTTCCATTATAGTCACTTTTCAATGGGAAAGTGAGGGAATCCTAATCACAAATATTGTCACAAATTTTATATGAGAACACCTACTGCGCGTGTACGGAATCCTAATCCTGCTGCTGCATTTGATCAAATAAATGAAAGCACAATACCTCTGTGAGAATGCTTCTTATATGTTTAATTGATGTCTCATACTTTTTGCACATTGGGTATTTTGTCCGAAATAAAGTGGACAACCTTTGGGGTTCTGCCACCTCTCTGACTTCGTCAATGGGTCTGAAAGGTTTTTAGCTTCTAGTTTAAAATAATCAGGTGACCCTAATCATTGATGGTGAAAGAAATGTGCAAATCCATCTTTTTCTTTCTGGTATCATATGCTTATATTCTGAATCATTATGAAGCCAACTTGAATGTGGCTTGAAGTTTGTACAACCCTTGTAAGGGAGGCTGATCTCATTAAATGTCATGTAGGTTTAACAGAAACCTGTGCGGGGTCTTTTGTTGCACAACCAGATGAACTAGCAATGATTGGTACAGTGGGTCCTCCATTGCCCAATGTGGATGTGTGCCTAGAATCTGTTCCTGAAATGGGCTATGATGCCCTGGCAAGCACCCCCCGTGGAGAAATATGTATTCGCGGGAATTGCTTGTTCTCAGGATACTACAAACGTGACGACCTCAGTGAAGAGGTGATGGTTGATGGATGGTTCCATACAGGTCTGTCCATATGAATATTAATTCCTATATGCTACATGTTAATTCATAAATTTTAGCTTGGGTCCTTTATAACATAGCTCACAACGAACTTACAACAGGAGATATCGGTGAGTGGCAACTGGATGGGAGCATGAAAATTATTGACCGCAAGAAAAACATTTTCAAGCTTTCCCAAGGAGAGTATGTTTCAGTTGAGAATCTGGAGAGCATTTATTCCCTTGTTCCTAGTATCGACGCGGTTTGTTTCTTCACTCCTATTGGCTCTAAATGCATAAACGTATGGTCATAGATTTGCATTGTCATTCTTGGGGTCAAATTAACATTTTTCCCCTTTCTTCATTCCTTCCGTACTAAAGTCATCCTGTACGAAATCACATGCCTTGATCCTTTCACACTTCCTCAACATATGTTACTTTTTCTTTCCTTTTGTTTTGTAGCATTAGCACATTGATAATCAATCATATGGCTCCTCCGTGCTGGCCTGTATTTTGGTCTTCATTGCACCTGATCATATCATCTTAAACAATGTCATACCGCTTTTAAGTGATACTATCTAATTCCTTCTCATTTATGTGATACCTCTAAATTATCGTGGCATCCTTATCCCTCAAGACCACTACACCCATTTTCTGAATGCCATTGCTTAACAAACTATTCCATGCAGCTTGGATGGCCAATAGATTCTTCTACTATATTATGCTCTTATTGTAGGAAATACCTTCTTTGATTTTATGTTCAACTAGCTATGACAAAAAAAAAAGTCATATTTAGGGTTCTTTTTGATAAATAAGATTCTTTGTATTTAGTCTCAACATTACTGCTTAAACTAGAGAGAGTGGGCTTGGCACAACGATAAAGTTGCTCCAAGGGTTCAATTCGTGGAAATAGTGTCTCCGCATGCAGAGTTAAGGATGCATACATCTGACCTTCTACAAAATCCTTAGTGGCGAGAGTCTCATGCATTGACCCCCCTATTACTCCTTAACCTAGCATCTGTATATCCTAAAGTATACAGCATTTCCTCTAGTTCTCAGACAAGTTACAGTTCCATAATTTCCAAAGGAAAATGCTGTACCATTGTTCTGCGTTGTTCTCTTTTTAAAGCAGCAATAACTTCCTCCTTTAACATCTGTTTTGAATCTCAATGTATGAACTTATCTGTCCACTGGTTTCAGATATGGATTTATGGGAGCAGTTATGAGTCGTTCCTTGTTGCTGTTGCTAACCCCAATAAAGAATCTCTTGAATGCTGGACGGAAGAGAATGGAGTGGATGGGGATTTTAATGCTATATGTGAACATCCTAAAGTGAAAGCATATATTCTTGGAGAACTAAGCAAGATTGGAAAAGCAAAGAAGGTTTGTTCTCTCTTATAGTAGAGTGCTCCAAGCTTGTATATTGTGATTTTCTTTCTTTCTTTCTTCTTTTTGATGTCAAGTGCTTGTGAATCGAGCTTATAATTTTGTCTTTGAATCGTGACTTTTTTTATCCTCATGACAGTTGAAGGGTTTTGAGTTCATCAAAGCTGTCCACCTTGATCCCACACCATTTGACATGGACCGTGATCTTCTCACGCCCACGTACAAGAAAAAGAGGACCCAATTTCTCAAATACTATCAGGTTTGCCTATTTGCTTGTCTCAAATTAAAATTAGTACATTCTTCCGTTCCCATGATTGAGTAAAAATCACGGGTAACCATTTATGGACCATGATTTACTCCTCGTTTTTGGTTCATTCTTTAGTACTACTCTTATTATAGTTTGTAATGCACAATGCCCCCCCACCACCTATCTTCTAAGAAGATTTTTTTATCGTCAGCAAGCGTGCAACCTCAATCACATATGGGACATATGTCCTGGAGTCACTATTGGCAAAAAAATCTAAAAAAAGTAGGAGTGTAACTTGGACGAATTGAGAGGTCAACTCTAGTCCAACTTTAAGTATATAATCTTCAACCCTACCCCTTTCACCCGACTCTAAAACAAGTTGAATTTGGGTGGGTTCGGATTGAATTCGGGCTAAAATTTAGGTTAGGTTCGTTTAGGCCCTAAATCAATCTGTTGTTCTAAACTTGGTATATATTACATAGTATTCACATAAATTAGCAATCAGCAACTACGTAGTATTCACCTACAGTAACAATCAACAACTTCAATCAAATGTTTAACATAAAGACCATAGTAAACAAAGCAAAACCATAGTATTCTTAATGTTTAACATAAACACATAATAGCCAAATGTTTATAAAAGCATACATAATACCATCAGACTTTTGGTTCGATGGTATTTCTTGTTTTGTCAAAGTTTTACTTTCTTGAGGTTAAATGTTCATGTATCTCTCTCCATTCCTCTTTAAAAAAAAATATTAAAGCATACTAAAAATTCATTAAGAACTCAATGTTTGAGATAATGTAATCAAAATCACAACTCAATGTTTAATATAAAGACATAATAACAACTTGAAATTTTACAATTGAAAAAATCTGAAATTGAATTGAAAATGAAATCAAAATCTAAAAATTAAATTTTACACTTGAAAAAATCTGAAAATGAAAATGAGGCACTTGAAAAAATCTGAAAATGAAAATGAAATCAAAATTTGAAAATTTAATTTTGAAAAAAATTGAAAATGAATTTTACACTCGAACCCATATATACCAATGATGACCTTTGCTGAGAGAGACGCAAATCTAAAAGAGTCGAAGATCTTCAATGTGAGATGCTGAGAAAGTTAGATACGCAGAGTGAGTCGATGAAGATAGATGAGGATCATCGCTGAAGGTCGTTGGTCGATCATTGATGGTGATTGAGTGTCAATGAGAGAGATGAGAGAGGAGTGAGAGAGAGAGGTTGAGTAGAAAAGAAAGAGAGTGAGGGTCTGAGTGAGGGAGGAGGCGCAGTCGAGTGAAGGCTGAACGGTTGAAGTGTGAACCTTGGTTGTAAATAATGCTATTAGATTTGAATTGAGCCTGAATTAATATTTAAATTGAGTCCGGTAACCCTAGGCCTCAACTCGGGTACTTGCAATTCGGGTTGGCATTTTTTAACCCGGACCTAATTCAAGTATTAAAAATCTCAACATATGTCTTGTTCTTTTAGGGTTGACCCGCTCAAGTTGCACCCTATAAAAAAAAAAAAGTAAGGCAGAAGCATCAACTCTGAATTTCCAATGGAATAAAGATTTAGAAATTTCTGCATTATGATATGCCCGTGGATGTGTCGGTATAAGTAGTTTCATGCTTTCATTGTCGAAACAGCATTTTGGTTGCCCATGGGATTTGGAATGAGTTTGTTCTGGGGCTGATAGCACTCAATTTGTCTTCCATTTTGAGCACTAGTTAATAAAAGGACCTCTAGAATTTCAGTTAACAACCTTGCTTCTGGTATTTTTCGGTGATATTGGTCATGGTTCTCTACTCCCTTGAACTTGACCATAATGTAGTCAATCAAGTGAACTATGTTTGATATTCAGATCGGTTTCAGATTTCAAAGCACGAATATAATTCTAAATACAATGATCCGAAAAGGAAATGTGAATAATGTTGTAGTTATTGTCTGTGTCTAAAGACACAAAGTAATAAAAAATGATAAATAATAAACATATTTATATTTGTATCCAAAATTAAATTACAAACATATAAAAGAAATAAAAAAATTTAAGCATTGATTTGTAATGGGGGTGAGAGGTGTTAGTAGGAGACAGTGATGGTTGTGGTGGTTGACAATGTCTGTGGTGGCAGTGGTGGTGGCAACGACGGTGATGGTAGTGGTGGCGACGACAATGGTGGTGGCAATGGTGATGGTGGTAGTGGCGGCGTTGATGGTGGTGGCAATGGCGGCAATGGGGGCAGTGGCGATGGTGACGACGGTGGTGGTGTTGGCAGCGGCGGCGACGATGGTAGTGGTGTTGGCGGCGATGATGGTGGTAGTGGTGATGGTGGTGGTGGTAGAGGTAATGGTGGAGCAGTTTCAAACACTATTTATTTTTTTTTAAAGTATTTATGATAAATAATTTATAGAAGTACTTTTAAAAAGTCATTTCAAACACACTCTTAGAGCCTATTTTTTCTATTAAATTTAGAGTGTTAATATTAGCAGTTAAATTAACTTTAAAGTAAAATTTAAAGAGATCTCAAATACGAATAACAAAAGTCATTTTGTTTATCTTTTGAGATTTAAATTGTAAACTACTTTATTACATAGGCTAATTATTGTTTGTGCCTGAAGACAAAGAGTAATAAAAATGGTAAATAATAAACATATTTATATTCATATCCAAAATCAAATCACAAACATAGAGAAGAGATAAAGAAATTTAAACATCAGTTTGTAGTGGGGGTGAGAGGTGATGGGTGATAGTGGTGATGGTAAAAAACGGTGATGGTTGTAGTAGGTAACAATAACCGTTGTGGCGGGGATGGTGGTAGTAGTGACGATGATGGTGGTGGTGGTGGCGGTGGGGGCAGTGGAGGAGGTGGCGGTGGTGAAGATGGCAGGGGTGGTGGTGGGAGGATTTCAAACACTATTTTTTTAAAAGTGTTTATGAAAAATAATTTCTAAAAGTATTTTTAAAAAAGTAACGTCAAATACATTCTTAGAGGCGTATTTTTTCTATTAAATTTAGGGTATTAATATTAACCGTTAGATTAACTTTAAAGTAAAATTTAAAACGATCTCAACTGTGAATAGTAAAAATTATTTTATTAATATTTTAAAATTTGAATTGTAAACTATTTTATTATATAGATATTTTATTTTATAATTTGATTGAATATTGTGCGATTGCAGAATGTCATCGAAGGTATGTACAAAAGCACAAGATAAGCACCTTCTGACCCCAAAGCCATCACTTCACTAGGAGATACAAATATACAACATGAATTCTAGCAATGCAACTTAGTTGAACCCTCGCGTCGATCCAAATGAAATATTCAATAGTAAGTTGCAAAGTCCGTCTTGTTTAGGACATATTTTTATTTATATGTAATTCATAAATGAATATATTGTTGTCTTTGGAAAAACAATATTTTAATCCAGTTGTTTCATTTCTTTTCTGCGTTATCTAATTTTTTTGTTTTTTTTGGCTATATATTCATTTTTTCTGCTAAAGACATGTTTCATTCTATCGAATTTGGAGCTGAAAATTGCACCTATGTACTAGTATGATACAAATAATGTAAGATTTATCAAATGACTGCCATTCGAATCTTGGGATTTCAACAAGAATTATTAAGCTAAAAAACTTAGTTTATGTGGTAAGAACAAATTGGTCTAAAAAAAATGATAAAAATAATTATCACAACAATGATAAAAATATTCATATATATAATAAAAACACTCACAAAAGTAACAAACAAATCATATGCAAAAATAATAATTTTTTTGCACTGAAGAAAAATAGTAAAAATGATTATCACGAATATTATAAAAACATACAACATTGGTAAATCACCTGATAAATTTTTTTGTCATAAAATAACCCACAAAAGTTGTTAAATCACTTACTAAAATATTAAAAATTGAAAGTATGGTACCTAATTTTTTCTTTAGTACCGTGGTCAAGTCCAAGAAATTATTATAATAAATAATACCGTCGTTAGAATAATAACTGGTTTCAGGACCTTGCCATTTTGCCTTCATCGGGAAACCTCGTCTTTTGGACTTCTTTAACAGTACACTGTCATATAATTACCAACACTTAGGATCACTATCTAATAGAAGACTAACAAATAAACCCCACTTTTTTCATATGGAGTGATAACTATTTTACATTAATAGAGTTAATATTAAATTGTGGGTTATCCACTTGCCTACTTGTTGGTTTCTTATTGTATGAATACCACGGCTGTCACTGTCACTGTCACTATCACATAATATCATCATCTAATAATACACTACACTTACAAGTGACATGGAGAAACCTTATTTTTTTTATGAATAGTAGTTATTAACTTACCTAGATAAGATAATTAATCATGTGCGATCCAGACAAATATGGAATATAACCGCAATGATCCCAACATTTTACAAATCACAGGAATTTTTATTTGGGTAAAGGATATACCAGCTTACCCAATAAGATCTTGAGCTTTCCAAATTATAATGTTCAATATCCCATCAAAGGCTAAGGAATATCAGAAATGAAACTAATATAACATGAATTCTTGCCGACTGACATGCTACAGTACCTTAAAGCTCAAATGTTCAAATTTGATAATCTTAAAAACACCGGTGAGATTACTAATATCTTAGTTTCTCCTATTATTTATATTATTTATTGTACAACAAACTCGGCCAATCCTACGAACTCAAAGAGACGAGGAGACCTCACCTTATGCTAGGATTTCTCGTCCTCTGATTGAGAGCACAGTGGCCCGGGAACAGAATCAACAAAGAACTCCTCCACTGAAAAAAGAGTCAAGCTGAAAGTGTAAGAACAACTAATAACAGAGAGCAAGAAAAGGAATTGTCTATCTCATGATTTAACTAAACATTAATTATCAACGTTTAAATAAATCTCAAACTTCAATGGAAACCCAGCAAATGTTTTATCAACAAGGGCTGTTATAGCTCAGAGAGTTCCAAAGTCAAGGAGATTATGTTATAATCCAAGCTGATCGACAATGTTTAGTCCAAATGTTTGCATAATAATCAGCTAGAATGGATTCCCAGAATTTTTATGCAAAGCAACCACAAATGGAGTTGAGTGATATAAAAAATCAGATGAAATAAAATAAGGGTAACCACATCATATCCAAATTACTAGAATAAAGACACTAGAAGAGTCGAACCAGACACAGTAGGGGATAGCTTCCTCAGCCCACATACATACTCTGGTCATGCAACTTTGCAATTCGAAATGCTAGATTATGAATCATTGAGTTCAGATGAGAACTGAGCTGATACCATTGAAAAACCCTACTCAGTTCTTTCGAAGTTGAAGTAGTGCCAACGTACCAGTTATACATGGGACATACACAAACGTTCTGCGTAGTGTACAATAATTATTAAACCAGTATGCAATTCTCAGCAATTTCGGAAGTTAAAATCTTCTCTTCTCTTAGATGTCTGATAGCTTTCTGAACAGAGGAAAGGCAAACTACATTCCATCAATAAATTTCCCAAATATAAACGACACCAAACAGTAGAATTGCACATCATTCCTATCTAATGGTTTACAGTTTTTGTTAACCAGTTCTTTCAGCAAATAACGCAAATAGGCCACTTAAGATTTCTGTGTTCCAATTTCGTCCTATAACTTAAAGAGCAGGGTTTTTGGCATGGATATGTTTTTCTTTTAAATGATACAGACCAATGTTTTTTTCCTTGATATCCCCCTTCACAGACACTATACACCGGAACCAAATAATTGGGACATCAGACTTTGCTGTTGTTGCTATCTATACTTCCTTCACATGGTTTCAAATTCTTTGATGATGAGAATCATGCATCTACAAGATGGAATATTAGCTTTGCATTTCTTCTCCAATTTTGTCAATTTCACTCCGGAAGTTAAAAACAAGGAACAAAATTTTGGTTACCTATATCCTCTGGTTCTGGAGAATCAAGCAAAATATCTGAATCAGAAGGCAAAAAGGGGGAACCAGGATAGTTTCCAAGAGCTCCTAGATCTGGAAAAAAAAAATCAAGGCAACAAGTAACATCAATCTAAACATCACCCAAGAAAGACAATAGCAAATAAAAGAAGATAGAAAAAAATCAGAGAAGAAGAAAAAAAAATGGCTGTGTAATAGCAGCATTATACCACTTCTTATATTAGATCTTGTCTTGATTATGCGGGTCCATAAATGCAAGACATCATACTGCTTAGTTCAGCCACAAATTCTTCATGCACAACACACCCACTTTGACTCAAGAGTCATCACACAAGTTCAGTATGACTACATGTACTGCTGAAACACAGAAAGTGATACAATGCATATTATTTTCTTCAAACATTTCTTTATCTTTACAGATTCAGACAAATTCAGTGTGATTATGTGCTGTACTGACAAGAAAGACGAGCAAGTATCCTCCAAGTTGCATTTTTTGAACATTTCTGCGTTTATCGATAACAAGCTCGCATCCTCCTAACGCCAACTTTCCTTTTTGGGAAAAGCCACTGTTTTTATATAATAGTTGTTTGCCATCAGCAGTTTTCCATTTCAATATAAGGTCCTTTGAACTCAAGTGCAGATAATTGCACAGCATTTACAGACATACAACTGAGGTGGCACTGTAGGGCAAGTGGTTAGCAGCCTACCCGCATGCATGATCCGGGGTCCAAATCTCATCGTTGAACAGTGGCTACCTTCCCCTTCTCCTACCCCTGAGCTGTTATCCGCTCAGAATGCAAAAGACAAGAATGTAGACCTACAACTACTAAAGCATTAAATACTAGCAGTCTTGCCTATAACAATTTTCCAGCGAATTACACAATTTACTACACTAGTAATATACAGGTGTCAAACTGAAAAGGGTCAAAGAAAAGGCACGTTGATCCAATCCCAAATAGCAAGACATCTCACATTACACATATCATAACAGTTAAAAATGGTTTAAACAAGAACAGGTCCAAATTACCTCCCAGGTTTGACAAATCGGCAGTTAGATCTGAAAGGCTGAAATTCCAAGGAATCTGATCCAAAGACCTGAGAGAATCTCTTGAATTACCCGTGCCATTATCTGAGGGAAGTTGCAACCCCACTGAACTTGCCACATCAGATGTAAATGCTGTGTCGAGTGCAGAGGTGTCTACTCCCATTCCTGATATATCTGATGCAGTAAAGGGAAAATGACCACTGGATGCCACTGACGTAGGACTCACAGGCATCTCTGACATGGATGACATGGCACTATTTTGTGGAACCGAGGGTGCTATATCAGCTGCACTGCTATCCATCATCATACTTGAGCAAGGACAACAGCAAAAGCTATTAACAGAACTCTATTATGGTACATTCCAAGAAGATAAAAGGAAAAATGGTTTTTTTTTTCACCATGGAAAATAAAATAAGCCCCTTTTTTGGTTTGAAAAGTGACAAGCCATTGCATAAATGGAATGCCAAGATATATTCTATGTTTATAACTACCATCATTCATTGTATCACAATTTTCCTATGCTATTAAAAAAAGAATAGAATAATTTTTTTTATTTCTCTTTTGGTAAAAGGCACTTTAACCAAACAAAGGGCATGAACTCCAAAAACACTTTAAATGACTTGAAGAGGTTGTTGAAGAAATATTTTGACATATTAGGTTACACCTGAGTGCCTGACGAATATAAAGAGCACCTTTTCTGCAGCCAACACTGATCCCGTTACCAACCGACAGCCCATACTGTTTCATGTGACTATTGTGTGCTAAAATTCTCACACAGATATGTGGAGCATTTTAAATACATATACAATTAAACAAAAATCAATGCACAGTGGATCTTAAAATCACTTGCAGTTTGAATATAGGCATATGCTACCAGAAAAAACTGCCACTAAACCCAGAAAGAAATAAACCAAGTAGGCATGAATAGTCATAAGACACAAAAATGAAGTGGAATTGAAGAAGAAAGCTGTCTTCAGGATACTAGTAGTAGTGATCTAACCTGTGATATATTAATAGAGTACCAAAGAGATTGTGAGGTCAAGAAGAAAAGAATACTCACTCGTTCCCAGAATTCATTCGCATGGGATGATAGTTGCCTGGTGCAGGTACTCCATTAACCACATGGCAACTAGATATTCCACAGCCCATAGCATCAAGATGAGATTGACCTGCTGTTGGAAGCGGCGATCGTTGTAGGATGGGGTATCCCATGGGTAAGTTGTTGACTGCACAGCAAATGAGTGGCATTGAATAACAGTGACAATACACAATATAAAATTGCCACCTAATAACACCTTATTGGAATGACCCTATTTCTCAATAGAGACCCAAGCTACTTTCTTCACAGTTGAAGAAGACAAGGAAAACCAACAGATAAAATCGTAGACAATAATTGGTGTTTTTCACAATTCTGGCATCTGCTCATTGGCAGTGCCTGCACAGTCCAAGAAGAAGAAGCAAATATATCACCACCAATAGATTTCACATACTACACAGATGCTTAAAAAATGCAGTCCCTACTAACACAGAGTATGAATTCACCTGGCATGGGATGGATCCCATTCTGTATGGGAGCCAAAGGCACCTTTGGAGGCATGTTATATTTCATCAAATGATACTGATGTTCAAGTAAATGATTGAACAAGATAATTTGTTTCTTTAACTTAAGCCTTATGTAATACGCCCTGAAAAAGTCAGCATTTTCCTCTTCCAACTTCTGCCACACTGCATTATAAAAGATAGCAATTATTCGACAATGTACTTAAGAGTATGTCAAGAAAATATATGCTATTACTAGACTAAGAATCATCAAACTACTTGATAAGTGACCACAAGTAGTTAAAATTCTTTTGATCTTCATTATCAATCAAAAAAATATAGACTGGAAGCATATAAAGAAAGAAAGGATGAAAAACAAAGGTCATGAAATTGTAGAAGCAACGCCTTTAATTTTTAATCACATCCACTGTTATTTAAAGCGTAAAGTGAATCGAAGCGAACCGGTTTCCAGAGGGCCTAAGCGAAAAGCGAGAAACAAAATGAGCACTTCATTGAGGCAAAGCGAACAATATAAAAAATAAGCAAATATTTTAGTTTCATACTTTGATTACTCCTAAATATTCAAGTTTTAACTTCACAAATATAAAATATTTAAATGCAATCAAAATAATAAACATCAACATATTTTAAATAGACAAGATATTAAATATTGAACATTATTATATTCTAAAAATAATCAATTGACATAATCACGTCATCTAAATATAAAGTTAGCAAATGAGGGTTCAATTTCCACAGTGATTAATTAATATCACCACTAAACAAAGTACTCACAAATTGATTAATCAAATAGAGCATATAGCAAATTGATTAATCAATTTGATTAACAAGAGCATTCAACATTATCTAATTATCTAATCATAACAAGACAGATTGTCATATGATATTGTTACAAGAATCAATCAATTTATTTTATACATATACATATATAACATCATCTCTGTTAGGATTTGGTTAATGTTAAAGAAGGAGGACGAAGAGAAAATAAAAAAAAATTGTAGTTAGGCATTCGCTTTTCTCGCCTAGCTCACTTCTTCGCTTCATCGCCTGAGCTTGCTTTTTTCTCGTTTTACTTAACCTCGCTTCGCCTTGGATGTTCAAGGCGACCAAGGCTCACTTCGCTTCGCTTCGCTTTTCGCCTAAGCGCCTAGGCTCGCTTTTCACAACACTGATCACATCATCAATATAAATCCGCATAAGCAGCCACCACACAATACAATTAGTCTTTAAATGTTTTAAGATTACTACCCAAAGTTGTAAATCCAGGATCTATCCTTGCACGATTCAAGAGGGTTTTCACCACCTCATCTCTATTCATATACAACTGTAGACACCGTTCTATCAAATTCTGGACCTAAAAACAAAAAAATTTATAATAAGATGGCTGAATTAGGATTAGTGAATCTGGAATAATAAAACAAAACACAATATCAAATAGAAAAACACCCATGTGTATGAAGAAAAATCATCTTACTAGTTCAATATCCTCACGTGAAACTTTCCTGTTATCATTGCTTGATGCAGAAATTGAGCCCGCATCTGCTACAGTAGGCTCTGTTGTATTGTTGTGCTGGTCACTTTGGGATTCATGCGAAACTTGGGCTGAGGGTTGTATGTCTTGTGTGGTCGGGGAATCCTGCAATATTTTCTCTAATTTGGTCATTGTAGAACCCAATATAAAAATAATATTCTGGAAAAACATAATATTTCCAGTCAGTCAGATAGATTGCACCAAGTGGGATTAAAAAAGTGAACTGTGCATGATTGTGTCGACTAGACTTGTTTTTATTGACTAGTCATTCTAAAAGCATATTATGACTGCTCAATCTTTCAAGGTCTGCAAGTAATATAGCACTCAAAATTGAATGTCTACAAATGTTCAAATTACATGATTTGATGTCAAATCACATGATTTGATGTCAAATCACATCGTTGCTGCAACTACTCACTGAGAAATACTATTTGAATGCATAGTCGACCACACACACAAAAAAATAAAAAAAGATACAATGGGATTTTCTGAAATGATAATGCAGGAACCTGTGCGTGCTTCATTCTAGAAAAATGCGCGCTGACAATCTTTCTCCATTAAGCTTTGGTATCTCACAGCTACAAGTACAGCTATCTGGTTCACCAAGGTCAAAATGTATGCTCCTAAATGGGTAATACTGAATAAGTTGGGGCAGTTTTCACCTGGAAAGAGGCGATTGCTATCATACATCAAATAATTTAACAGTGCATAAACAGTAACCATTCTAAGAGTAAAATAAGACTCAACCCCATACTAGAGATTTGGACTAAATATTTTTAAAAATCAAATAAATACAAACTACAGCAGTACCGAGTGCTCATACTATCTGGAAGAGAAAATGATTGTCATATCACCTCTTTCCTCAAGCCTTCGAAGAGGGTTGAGGAGAAAGGTGTGGTAATTGGGGAAAACACAGAGAGACTGATGATTGAGTTGGTGAAAAAGCAGGCATGTGATTCTTAGTTCAAAAGTTGTGTGTGTGACATCTGATTGTTCAGCATGCATGTGCTTCTAATTTCCAGAAGAAGTTTTCTTAGCTCATGCAACATATGATTGCAATCTAGAATATGCCAGTGGATTCAATTTCAGCGCAAAACCATCAAAATAAGCTCAGGAGCTTCTTTGTATATCAAGTTAGAAATGCAACTCCATGCACCGAACACAAACGCAACTGGAGATGCTGATACATGGGGATCATCCATGAAATGTGGTGTAGTACCTGCTGGGGTATTCAAATATCTAGATGTTTGGACTGTTGATCAGTGACAAAAGACCTTAGACTAATCCCTACAGAGTAAGCAGGTCAGTTGAAATTTATTCCAAATGTTAATCATTGACAACTCAAGTGATATATCAAGAATTGATCAATCAAAAACTACTCTATTGTGATAATAAACACAGTAAGATCCGTGAGTACTGATAATCCAACCAACAAATACATAAACAAAAAATGCCAGATGTTTAATGTATTCCTATCAAGCAATTAATCAAACACAGAAAAGCATTACTTTTTAGTTTTCACATGTAAACCCAGTTTTGAGAAAAAAAAAATTGAGACCTAGTCAATTCACTAAACATTATACAACACAATGATACAAGGACACAACAATTTAGTGACCCACCTCAACTCTCTTTCATTGTATCATCTCGATCAATTCTTGTGTGATGTTTGATCTATCAACTATTGTTATGCAAAGCCCACCTTGTCATTGGCAATTCACCATGAACTAATGCACTCTATATCTGAGCTGCCACAAATTGATCACACACCGTCCACACCCTTTTGTAACGATTCCCAGGTCAACTACCTCAGAGCTTCGTCTTTCCACGTTTGGGCTCAAAAATTCTTTGATAGGGTAATTCTAGAAACTTGGTGTAACATAGATGTTCATGATTTCGCAACCAACTCTTACAAATAGTTACAGAACTCAGTACTGTACTGGTCCTCTCAAAATTGTTCGTCGTTGCCTGTTGAAACAAGCTTCAAACACTCGTCAAATGGTGATCACTGGAATATCAATTTTGAAACACAGAAGACTTTGTTGAAATGCACCTCAAATGTCTATTGAATACCATGTTCTGGAATTCTAAATTAAGTAATTCCACGAACTCTATTCGAATGAACCTAAGCTTGGTTCAAACGATGATTAACAAAATTGACCGGGTTTACTTCAAAACCAAAATCTTCTAGTAATAGTAGTGGTCGCTATAACATTTACTCTCCAAATTAACTAATACTGGAAAACACTATAATCAACCAAGGTGTTTGAATATAAATATATAATATTTATGTCAACTTACCATTCCTAAACTTTTGTGATCCCAAAGCTTGACACGAACATAAAAGATCCATTCCTATGCTCCGATCAAGTCCAGAAAATACCAATCTTGTAACCGATATAAGCATACTCTGCTTCAGTCATGAACTATACAAGTCGCATCACGGTCTTTGACAAATTACTCAAACCTTACAGACTGTGATAACGATTTTGATGTACAGACAGTGATTTTGTCATTCAGAATCCAGCCAACATAACATACAAACACACACATCTATTATTAATGGTCAGTTGATAACAGTAAGAAACAAGACTAATAAAATTTTAATGATTACGAGGAAAACAGAATCAGTCCCTTACCTAAGTCATATGGAAGGAATCTAACCAACACGATATGTATAAACCCACACATTTATTATTAATGGTCAGTATATAAAAGTAAGAAACACGACTTATTCAATCTTAATGACAGATGATGACAGTTTTGGTATTGGCGTAAATTATAATCAAAGGCCTTTTGGTTATCTCCATAAATCAAAGTCTCATCTCAGGCTGAAATAAGATTGAAGGGAATAAATGCCTGAGCGACTTCGTAATTATGACCAAGATATATAGTGTTACTCATGGAGAAAGTTATACTTTATACAGCTTATTATTATCAATACTCTGCCATGCAAATCTTCAAATGATGTGCAAGAGGATATTGAAACACTAGATGAGGAGTCCCTTATCTTAGTCAGACAAATGTATGTGTCATCGATTGCGGAATTAACTCCAAATAAATACAAATCCATCTATCCACAAATAAACAAACATACGAATATGTAGTTGTATAGTTATAATTTTCTAGTTACGTTCGAAATCTAACTGTCGTCGAAGTTTAATAGCATTCCGAGATTATATCTCAAATCCATCTATCTTGAAGCTTCTTGAGTATAATCCATACAAGATCAAACGACAATCTAACTTACACAAGGTTCAGCCATGTTGAAAAAAATAACAAACAAAAATAAATGAAAATCAAATATAAAATAAAAAAATAAGAATCTAACTTACACAAAGCTCCGAGAAACTCCGAAAAGAACAAAAATAACTTCGTATCGACGAATTTTGAAACCCTAGCTCTGTAAAGCTTCAGATTCATCAACAATTCAAGCTCTTCAGCACAAGCTTCTCCAAATTAAACATCAAACAGAAAACAACCAAAGCTTGAGACAATATACTGTGAGATTTACACTAACTAGTGTTCAATGTAACCTCCATAGACACCAAATGTGCATTTAAGTGGTTGCCAGAGAGATACTCTGCAAGGAAGAGTCGGCAGATGAAAATTGCATTCAAGAAAAAACTAGATGAGCAAGTGGAAATTTTGGAATTGCAATGGCAGGATTATTTGAAGAATTGTGTTGATTCTTGTGACCTGGTTTTTTGTCAGAGCGAGGTGGTGTTGAAAAGTTTGAAAGGAAGCATATCATTTGAGAGACGAAGTGGGGGAGACGGTGAGGAGAAAAGTGAGACTCTGAGAGACAAACGCAGTGTCAAAAAAATCTCAACAAACACGACACAGGTTTTGCTTTGCATTTATATTTTTCGAGTGTTTTTTCTCTCTTTTTTTCATTATTTTGGAAAACGAAATTTAATAAATTTTTTGGGTGAATCATACTTTGTACCCTAAAAAATTTAAGCAATTTCACTTTATACCATTAAATATTATTTGTTTTACATTACACTTGCAATATATTAAAACTATTTCAATATGGCCACTTTTGTTAACTTTTGTTGCTGGTGTCAATGGGGTGATTTTTAACGAAATCGATATATGAAGATGGTCCATATTATACTTTAAGGGTATAATATAAAAATTTTAATTTTTTAAAGTATAGAGTGTGAATTCTTAATTTTTTGAGATATATTTTTCTTAACGAAAAGTATGCAATTGATGAAAACTTTTTTTCTTTTTTTAAATAAAGGAAAAACTGTATTTATCCAAAATAAAAAAGCTAGAGAGAGTTTGGGCATGTTTGAAGTGAACTTTATAGATTTTGAAGTAAATAAATCAACTCTGTTTAAATTTTTTGATTTGAACTTCTGGATCAATTTATGCAATAGTTTTTTGGACCCAAAAGACTTATTTGGGTTGATTCAATAAATTAATTTTATATTTTTAGAGGTGTTTTTTGAATTTTTTCGTGAGTCTTGCAAAAAATTTTAATTTATTATATTTATAAAATATTATTAATGATGTAAAAATAATATATTAAAATTTTATCATTGTTGTCTTTAGACTAAAAATATGAAAAATACAATAATAATTTTTCAGGAAAAATATTATTTAAACTTAATTTATTGATTTAATATATCATATTTATTGAATTGATAATAAATCTCAATCAGTAATGGAGTTCACAATCAATTCAATAAAATAAAAGAAAGTGAATAAGCTAACAAATAAAGTCAACAAATTAGTCCAAATAACATTACTCATTCACCGATCAATCGAAAATATATGGAAAAAAATGACGTACCCATGCTTTGTAATGCTATTATTTCTTTTGGGAGAAAATGAAATCAATAAGTTTTCTTTTTGAGTAATGGTATATATGTCAAATTTATAATTTAAATTTATATCTCAAATCAAGAAGAATCATTAGATCAGTAGGTCATATTTAAAAAATTGATGAGACTCACTGATCTAATGGTGTCCTCCTTAATTTGAGATACAAATTTAGATTATATATAATTACTCTTTTTTTTTTTTGAACACAAATATGAATAAGTTTAGTAATGCAAATTGGAGGAATGTGGCCTCCGAAAGCGAGAATGCCTTGGACACACGACTTCATCGGCTTAAGCTGCGGCTTGCGATTTGACGGCGCAGCTTTATTGTTGTTTCAACCAATAATCAATGATCCCATCAAAAACCAACAACCAGTCAAGGTATCACGAGTCGCCTGTGCCCTTTCGATTAGGGTTTTTTCCACCGCCACCACCACCATGAATGTCCCAGTTCTATCACCATGAATTGCTGCCATCACAATCCGACTGACTAAACCTTTTACTTTTTAATGAGGGAATCAAGCATTCAAATTTTCATACAGCTCTAATTAATTCTCGGCCGAGATTATTTTTTTCTCGCATCAAAGATTTTAATTTAACAAAAATGTTTTGATCAGAATTTGATAGGTCTAAAAGTGACCTGAAACTGCTAACTCATCGGTAAAACCGGCATTTTTCTCATAAAATATAAATAAAGTGTAAGGATGCAATTGTATGTTGTTCTCAATGTTACCAATAAGGAAATTATTTCTTTAACAAGAGTTGCCTAATCAAAGAACCAAATGGAACAGCTGATCTGAAAGGTGTCAAGAAAGTCCAGATGTTCTAATCAAGCTATCGAATCAATGTGGTGAGAGTTAGACTAATGTTACGTAGATTTAAAACTTGATAATCTCAATCATTGAATAGATAGTGGGTTTCAATAAATATTGGGACCTACAGTGAAATCAATGGTTGAGATTATCAAGTCTAATTTTTAAGTCCATGTAATATTACTCGAGGAGTTATTATAACTTGTCAAGTGTTGAACGAATTTAGAAAATCGATTCTGATTAAGGTATGTATCTAAGTATATTGTTTATTTACTAAAATGAATTTAGATTGATTCCATAAAAAGAGTAATCAAACATACTTTTAAATTTTTATTATTTTTACGAAATAAATGCTTTACTTAAAAAGAGTTACTATAAAAAAGATATCAAACAATCCATAAATTGGTATAATTGTGATTAAGTCTGTCAACAAATTTAATTTTGATAAAATTTAATTGATTTTAATCCAAATTCAATCAAATTATTCGGCGTACTTAAAAAATGAGTTATTTTTAAAAAGCTACCAAAACAATATGTAGAATGATATAATTGTGATTAAGCATGTGAACAGATCTAATTTAGATAGAATTAGATTTATCTGAACTCGAATCTAATCCGATTATCATACAAATTTTATTTTCATGATCCATATTCAAACTCGATCCGATTATCCGACAGATTTTATTTTCATTATCCATATCTAAATATGTTAACTCAAATTTCGATCCTATATGATCCAAATAACTTAATTTAACTAAAATTTTATATATCACATTTAAATTTTAACTAAAATTTTTCAAATAATCACTTAATTTCTCTAAATATTTATATGAAAAAATTCATGAAAAAATAAGATAGCGAATTTGGATTCGGGCTCGAGTCCGAGTTATCGAAAAAAAAAATTAATTAATGTCTGATTGATCAAATTCGAATTAAAACCCGATCCATTGACTGACTTAATTATGATTGTGTGCGTATTTACTATCAGACATGAGTAATTCAATTTCATATTATACAAATGGGCTTATTTGGTAAACGTATTATAAGTGGATTAAATATTGTATTATACTATTATTTATTTAATTGGATATAATATTTTATTTGGTAGATAAATCTAATTCCGTATTAATTTCAAAAACGTATACTAATCGATACTTATCATATATTTTTAGTACCATAAACTTGTATTATAGAGATAGTTTAATATTAACATAAAATGTCGTATTATAATTCAATTCAAATGTATTATTATTTATATTTACTATTATAATTCAATAACTGATAAAATCAAAATGTCATCAACGTAACAACTATTTCAACGCATTGATCGAGGGTATTTTTATTAGTTCAACATTAATGCGATGAATAATTCTCTTACCAAATAATCGATTGGATTAAATAACTATTATCCAACACTTATATTTTATATTGTCAAGCAGTAGATAAAATTACTTATTATTCTAATACTTTATTTCATCTTCTATTTTATCCATTTATATTGTATTAAACTAAATTATTTTATTCAATCTATCTATTTTTAATACGATAACTAAACGAGGACTACCTGTGATAACTATTTTAGGAGGAGGACTATTAGTTGCATGCAAAATTCCACTGATTGAGGGGTCTAGGAAAATGACAAGAATGCTGAATTGCAATATCCCAAGTTGTTGATTGTTGTATTACTCATATTCCTGTCCTCCACAATGTGCTATGATAATTACCATATATCATAATGTCTATTGATTTTTTTATTTATTTATTTTTTTTGGAGGGGGAGCTCACGATCAAAGTGGTCCCACTTTTTAGATATCCTTGCCCATCAAGATGATCCTTGATTAGGAGATTATACGGGATGGGGTGGACCACTGCCCGTAATTAGTCTCAGTTGTATATATACCCCTACAGTTGGGTTGGGGAATTATTTTTTTATGTGTTTTTTTGTATTAATGTATTAATTTTCTAATAAGTTAAAGAAAATCCATAATGGAGGAACCAGAAATGAATAATTATTTTTTTGAAAAATTCATCCCGGAATTGAATAATTATGTATTAATTTACACGCATCGAGTCGACCATAATTATATTTGATTGCCGAAATACATGCAAATTATTAAAAAGAGAGAGAGAGAGAGAGAGAAATTTAAAAGGACAGTGAGCAATGAAAGCAATTTTTTGGAAGGGAAAATCAGGAAAAAAAAGAAAAGAAAAGAAATTTGGGAGGTGGTATTCAGTGGATTCAAATCCCTTTTATTATTTTTTTTCCTTCAGTTCTCCTCAATACAGTGTTAGATGAGTGACACGTATAAAGTTTTAAATTTCAATGAATAAGATATTTTTTCATTTATTTTTGTTGTTGGTGGAGTGTTAACTATTATTAAAAAAAAAATTCACAAGAAAAAATCTTATTTATTAAAATTCAAAATTTAACACGCGTAACTCATCTAACTGGTGACATTTTGAGCAGGTAATAGAGGGGATCTAAATTCATATTCTGTGAGCAGGGAACACTTGTAACAACTTTGTTTTCGTGTACACACCAACCAATGAAAGGGAATCACATATACTTGACATCCATGTAAGATTGCGACTAATCACAGTCAGCTCTTGGTGGTACACATGTCCATGTAATTGTGGAAGAGCGTGGCTCGCATGTGGCCATTACCTTCTTCAAGTCAGCGCAGTGTTCGGACCGACTTTCAAAATTCCCGCTAACGTGTTTGACTCTCAACATTAGAATTTAATTACGAAGGTTATTTGGTTTAATAGTATCCTTCATTTTGTGAAAGTTTAGTTTTCAAAAAGTTAAGGATTTGCTGCTCAAAAAAAAAAAAATGAAGTTAAGGATTCAAGTTCTTTGGATAACAAAAGTATAATTGGTGAGTAGAACAGATTTCAATTTTTTTGACGAATCGTATTTAACTTTATAGTATTAAACTATTGCTGAAATACAAGTTATGATTTAACTGATGTATAAATTGAGTGAATGGTTCATGCACTTAAGGTTTGGCTTCGGTTCTACTCAGACTCATGAGTCTAGGCGATTAAGTTAAATCGCATCTATCTCATCGAAAACAAGCCAAATTTTTTTCTATCATCTTAAAAAACAGTAGTATTTGTTTGTTACATTTGAAATTTCTTTTAATATTTTTTAGAGGATTATTTATTACATATTTAAATAAAATCCATTGCACATAAGTAAAATCCCTCGCTCATTATTTAATAGTAGATGATCTACAAAAAAAAAATTAAAACATATATTAGAAGAGTTCTAAATCCACTCCAACATATGCTCTTTTTTTTTTGAGTTGTTAGGCCTTCTGTTTTCCAACATACAAAAAGGCACCCTAGATGGACTTCGATTAGGCGACTCTTACTGGCTATCACTATCATTTGAAAAAAATAATGCTATTAGAATTTAATTTATTGACTTAATTTACTGTAATTTTTAGATTAATTGTAGGCACCATCAAACATTAGAACTTGATGTTAATCAAATGATTTTTATAAAATCACATTATTATGTCAACAAAATAAAATAAAAAGTAGAGTTGATGAATATGTATTTAGCTGTCATGTTATAATTGGTTTGGACCATTACTTAAGTTGAATAAATAGAATAATATGAAGTTCATTACATACAACTTGACGAGCCCATATTCTACTGGGTCAGACCCAATAAATTAGATGAACCCAAATCAATTAAAAGGATTTTTCAAGCCCAGCTCTTGGAGTCGACCTAGTCTAAGGCTCAAGGAGTCCAAGAAAATTAGAACATGTGAAAAACAATCATTGGAATACCCACTCTTGAAGATTAAGACAATCTTTAATTGTATCTACCTTTTATAGTTATCCTCTCCAAAAAACAAATACCTTCACCCTCACGTCACTGCCTCACCTAAGGGTTTCATGACTATAAATTATAAAATCTCTCTACATGAGAGGACACTTATTTACACACTCTCCTAACATAGTAGTTGTTCTCTCTCTTAACTATCATACAGGAGCTAACCTTTTATTTTCTCTCTACCTCTCACCTATCTTTATTAATAAAGGCTTTTCGGCCACTTGGACCGAATTACTATATATCTATGTGTTGACCCGATATTTACCTTATTGCTATTGATTGCTTTATTAATTGTTTTATTAACTCCCTAGCATTATTCACTCAACTGTTGATCTTATATAAATCTATTTTGTGCATCATCACAACTATTTGCACACATATTATAAACAACCTAATCATACATTATTATAAAAAACGTGTGTGTAAAAGTTGAACAAAGTTTGAGACGATATGACTTATTATTAATCCTTAGTTGATGGCTTAATTATGTCTAGGAATTGTAAAAAGAAAGCAAAGAATTCATTTTAGGTGGAAGACAACAAAGGTAAAATAATTTTTAGTTCTTCTTTAATATACGACAATGAATCGAACATTTTTTTAAGAAAAAACCCACTTTGCTCACATAACTTGTAAGTTAGACGCTTATTAGATCCAAACAAAGATCATATACGAGTCTTCTATTTTACCAAATATCTTATTATTATAGTGCATTTCTAATCACAAAAATTTTATCTTTATCACTAATGTACTTTGTTATATTTTCTTGACAAAAAAGAATATCTTTTTATGACAGTGCATTCCTAATCACAAAAAAATTATATTTATCACTAATGTACTTTGTTTTATTTTCTTGACAAAAAAAATCTGAAAAAATATTTGTATGTTACGTAACATGATAATTTGTCGTGGTCAGTTCTCTTGAAATTTTATATGTTTTTGTCAAATGTCATATAAATCATTTGTGACAATCATATTATTTAAATTTTTTGTTTTAAAATTATTGATATTAGTTGCGAAGTTAAAAATAAAAGTTTAATTGGGAATCTAATGAGAAATGTGAAATGAGAAAACCAAATAAATTCCACACTTCATGAAACCTGCACTAAATTGAAACAAATATGGGTTAAATATAAATGACACCCCCCCCCCCCCCAAAAAAAAAAAAACCACCACTTTGGTGTAAAAGCACATTCACCCCCTTGAACTTCTTTTTTTTTTTTTTTGTTGAAGGGGAAAATCCCTGGTTTGTCCCAACGAGTAGATGTGCATTTATATCAGTCAAGTTCATGCGTCTAAGTAAAACCGAGGGCAAATCCGGAGTGCATATACTAGTCTCTCAATTTTTACACTTGTTAAATTAAAACTTGTGGTTCAGCGAGAATTTGAAGTCATACAAAAAATTTGGATATGATTTATCCAAATAATTGAAATTCATCCTATTAACCAACCATTTTTTTTCGTCCAAAAGACTTATATCATTGACCTCGAGAAAAGAAAATCTTTACGAAAGGAGTAAGATTCTGATATCACTGCTATTACCTAATCTAATCAAGAGCCAAGGAAAAGTAAGAGACAGCGCCAAACATGTGTGGCCATGACCATGTGTACCATAATGACAAGTAGCCCATTAGGGCTATCCCAAACCATCAGTCCCTACAACTATTGTGTACTCTCATAATTGTGGGGGAGATTCAAATTCTCTTCAACTCTGTGTTATGAGGTCAAATTCCAAACAAAATCTCTTAGCATGCAACAACTCAAAAATACCTTATGAATCAATTGGTTTTGCACCCGCATGAGGGGCCCAACTTAGAGCTATAACTTATTGAGGAAATTATTGGTTTGGACCACCTATGGCATTTTCTTGCCATCTCACCTTCAAATATCTGTCCCACACTCGTAGATCTAATCCTCCTAAGTTGTTTGTTTCCAAACAAGGAGGCACGTCTGCTCGGGCATCACTACTTGTCGTCGCTGTTACATCCAATTTCAAGTTCAATTGTCTAATTGGGTCCATGAATCAAATTTTAAATTAAATATATTTCGAATTCATGTTATATTTAATGAATTTGAATTTAGATATATAAAGATCCGATCAATACATTTTTTTTGTATTGAGATATACGATGAGCTGAAATAATTATTTAATAAATTTTTACTGAAATTCAAATTCAAATTAAATTTACTAAGGGTTAACTAAATTGAATTATTCGAATTGAATCAAGATTTATATTCTTAGCGAATTAGATTATGAATCATAAAAAATATTCATCAGCCAATTGGACATCATTCGAAATGAAATTTCAAATTGGATCTGGAGTTAGACCAGACATAAAAAAAGTAAAAATAAAAAGTCGCTGACAGCTTTTAATGTAATAAACTAACTTCCAATATTACCCCCTATAATATTAGGTCATTTATCTATTTTGACCTCGTAACATTATTAAATTACATTTCCAACCAATATAAACCAAAATAATTTTCAATTGCTGTGGTTTGTATGGGCCTTGAATTAAGGCCCAATGTTAGGCCTGCAGCATACGAGGTGGTTATTATTTATTTTGAATTGGGAAATAATAAACTCTAATAAAAGTGGCTAACAAATTTTTTTTTTTTAATTTTGATTTTAATGTGGTATCCATTCTCACCTAGAAGGGTCAAACACGATGGAGTGGTCAATATGATTGAATACGTGATAGGTGAGATGGGTTTGTATCAAATTTTAGTAGATTAATATAAAAAAATATTTTATTCATCTATAATTTATTTATTAATTTATGTTTAATGAATCAAATTATATTGGGTTTATGTCGTCTATGACTCGTGTATAATTGACAAATAAACGAGTCGTGTGTTGTATTTCTTTTGATATAGCCTTCAAACTATAACTTGTGTCAATAGACACAATTAGAGAATTCAAAAACTTAATTGACACAAAAAAATAAAATAAATTTAAGGACTTAATTGACATAAAAAGTCTTAATTAGAAGGTCATATGTATAATTTATTCTAACCATTTGTATCACATGAGTGATATATTTTGGCAATTTCCATTAAAAAATTTAATGGAGATAGATAAAATGGTTTATTTGGCACAATTAGAGAGTTCAGAGACTCAATCTATACAACAAAAAAAAAAAAAAGTTTAGAGACTCAATTGATACAGTGATCCTAGTTTGAGGGCCATTTGTGTAATTCACTCTATTTTCAAGGATATAGAAGCTGAATAGTACATGAGGTCTCAAAACGACTTCGTATTTATCTACTATAAATGTCTCCTCTCATATTCATCGTTCGGCTTAAACCCTCTAACGAGAGGGCTTAAACCCTATCGTCTTCTCTCTCTCTCTCCCTCGCCGCTGCAACAGAAAACCTCCGGCGAAACCTCTTCAAAATTCCAACCATAACGTTCGTTTACCGACAACTCACAAACCTATAACCGCTAAATCTCTTCATTCTAGTATGCCTGTCAAGCTCATCCCACATCTTCGTCCTTTTAACACTTCTTGTCCTATCTATCGTTTCTCTACAATGAAACCCAACCCATCCGTCAGACCCTCTCGGGTAATCCCGATTTTCTCTCGGGTCTTTCCTCACAAGCTCACGTATCAATCTTTCTCTAAGAAGCTAGGGTTTCCAAATTTACCCATTGCTCAACAACACCAGCATAATGAGATTAGGGGCGGTGTTCGCCGATATTCTACCCGACCCAGATTGGGCACGGGTTCGGAGGCTAAGGCTTCGAAGAGTTTGATCGAGGATGAAGCTGAACTCAGTGACTGGGTCAATGAGCTAAGGTCTAACTCGTCTAAAACTCGGTTATACAGTGACACTGATAACGACAATGATAATCGAAACGGTGATTCTGGGAGGGTTAGGAGTGGAAATAGACATAGGGGTGGAGATGAGAGACGTGGGAAGAGGAGGAGAGAGAGTGATTCAGATGATTTAACTGTTTCAAACGGGCGAAAGGGGACCCGGGACTCATTTCCAGTAATGGGGACCCGGGACTCGTTTTCAGGAAGGGGGACCCGGGACTCGTTTTCAGGAAGGGGGACCCGGGACTCCTTTCCAGGAAGGGAGACCCGTGACTCATTTCCGGGGAATTCGAGGGGAAAAGGTAAATTCGGTGGTCATGGAGAAAATGAGAAAGATGGATTGCGGAGAAGAGGGAATGGTTTAAATTATTCTAATGATTTTGGTGCGCCAAGTAAGCAAAATGGTTCTGATCGGTTTTCTGGGAATCCAAGGAATAAAGGGAAATTTAGTGGAGAATTTGGTGGAAATAAGGATGGGTTTATGATGCGGGATACAGAGAAAAAGAGAGGTTTGGGGAATGGGATTAACCGAGCAGGTGGTGGCACTGTAGGGGGACTGAGGAAAGGTGGGAAGAATTTGGGGAGAACAGGTTTAGTGATGTCAGATGAGGATAATGAGGATGATGATGAAGAGGTAATAGGTCGGTTTAGAGATTTGATCAGTGATGAAGAGAGTGAAGAAGAAGAAGAAGTAAAAGAAGATGATGATGATGATGTGTTTAAAAAGAGTCCGTTGACTCGATCTCGATCAGACATTGGAGATAGTCTGCCTGTTTCACCCAAAAATTCACCTGGAAGAAATGATTCTTACCTAAGTGAAACCAGGTATGTTTTTGAACATTTCTGTTTTGTTTATGTAAATATATTATGTGTGCGCCTTTCAACCAGTGGTGGTTCTCTGTCTTATAATTGGAAAGTTAAATGCTGTACGTAGGCATTATGTGTCCCCATGCATGGTATACTATGTAATTAGAAAATTACACGCTTGTAAATAAGGGCAGTAGAATTTACTAGTATCTAAATGGCAATGTAAGGAAGATTTTCACAGAATTTGGGTTAAATTTGTCCAAACAAAAAGAACAAAAAGTCAGCTTCTTTGTTCTGTCCACAATGTAGGATCAAAATCTCAGCTTGCAGCATGTTCCCTTTATGGCATTTGTTTGCAACTTAATTGTTTAATAGCTTGCCATTTGACTGGGTCTCCAGTAAATACAGATTATAACTTGGTAAAAGTAGTAGACTTGATGGCGAAGAGGTGATGCATTTTAGTATTAGAAAGACTGGAAGATTCCAGAGGACTTACAGAACTGATGAGTTAAAGATGTTTCTTTTTGAGCTTCATATGATTGTTATAAATGTTCAATTGTCGCTGAATTGGTAATGATAGAATGTGTCATCAATTAAGCAAGATTTTTCTTTTATTGATAATCATAATGATGGTGATGATAAGGTAAGCAATGCTTAATAGTACCAATGATTGGCAGGCAGGAGACACACTTCACAAATAAGAGTGATCAAATCAATTAGTGGCAATACAACAAAAGTTAAAATAAGCTATAATTGGTTGTGTTGGGAAGTAAAAGGAAGCATCAAGTAAGGATATGATTTGGGAAAAAGTTGTCTTAGTTGGTTTCATGTGTGACAATGACCACTCACAGCCCCTTTGAGGCAAATTGATTTGATTAAATACAAGAGTACTGCAGACTGCAGAGACTTGCATAAGACCAAAAATCATTTGGGTCAAAGAGGTCCAAAACCGTAAGGTTTAACTGGGGATATGACCTTTAGATGACATAAACTACAAAGGAGTTGTGCAGCTGGCCTGAAGTAGCTTGGATTATAGGGTTTGTGTTGAGTTGAGTTTCTCATGCTGATTGCTTTAACAATTCATTTCTGTGACTGTCCACAGGTTCGATCAATGTGCCATCTCTTCCTTGTCGTTGAAAGGAATTAAAGATGCTGGGTATGAGAAGATGACTGTAGTACAAGAGGCAACGCTTCCCATCATTCTCAAAGGTTAGCTTCTTCCGAACATTCAAACTCTCAAAAAGTGAAGTGGACTCGGACTAAGAGTTTACAATCTTGTTTATCATCCTTGTATGGTGATTGGAACTCTAGATATTGTTGTGACGTTTTTATAATGCTACATTTGGTATTACAAAACAGTATGTTATTACTGATGTTTCAACAATTGTCTTTGGTATGGTTTTCCCAGGATTCAGTAACAAATCAGTGACTTAAAGAAGCTTGGGTGTCCGAATTTCATTTCTTATTGTATATGCATGAATGCCATTTTATGTTGGGAATATAGACAGCCATTTATAATATTTTCTTCGATAATTGAGAGTTATGCAATAGAATTCCTGTTTCAAACAGTCTCTTCTCTGTTTTAATGTAGATTATAGACCCCATGAACTAGCAGTTTAACTGTCTTATCCTTAACCAATTGCAAGTACAACCCAGGACTTCAATCTGCTTGTTGTTCTTCATGCTTCTTGTTGTGAATTATTGTGCTCTTAATGTTTCCGTATAGAATTTTGCCTCTTGTGCTTAATTATTTTTTGTATTTGTGTTTTCTAGGTAAGGATGTACTCGCCAAAGCAAAAACTGGCACTGGAAAAACTGTAGCATTTTTGGTAAAAACACTTTATATGTTATTTTTCATGAGTGCACTCTCTATTCAAAAAATTAGATAATCTGTTGGGAATTGGGATAGCTAGAGGTAGTTTTCCCGTAGATAACTTATCTTTGAACCTGAATAGATATGTTTGGATTTTTCAGAATACTTACATTTGAAATCTCAATTTCAGCTTCCCTCAATTGAAGTAGTTGTAAAATCACCTCCTGTTGATCGTGATCAGAAGCGACCTCCAATTCTTGTTCTTGTAATATGCCCAACCCGAGAGCTTGCAAGCCAAGCTGCTGCAGAGGCTAATACCCTGTTGAAGTATCATCCTTCTTTTGGTGTTCAAGTTGTAATAGGAGGTACAAGACTTGCTTTAGAACAGAAACGCATGCAAGCAAATCCATGCCAGGTGAATTTCTTATAATTGCAAATAACCATTTACCATGCATTAAACTGATGTCCTGCCTCTGTTAGACACTCTTAGGATGACCAGACATCATCTTTTATTTATTATCTTTGTCCAATGAATAATTTAACAACCAGACTGACATTTTCTAATATATTTCACATTTGAAACTCAGATTCTTGTGGCAACACCTGGAAGGCTCAAAGATCATATAGAGAACACCCCAGGGTTTGCAACTCGGCTGATGGGTGTGAAAGTACTTGTACTTGACGAAGCTGATCATTTGTTAGACATGGGATTTCGTAAGGACATTGAGAAGATCATAGCAGCTGTTCCAAAACAGCGGCAAACACTTCTTTTTTCTGCCACAGTACCGCAGGAGGTTTGTTTCTTTATTTTACTGTGCTGTAACTTGTTACGTGAGGGAAAGTTCTAAGTTAAGATGATTTCTGGTATGAAGGTCCGTCAAATTTGCCATATTGCTTTGAAAAGAGATCATGAATACATCAATACAGTTCTGGAAGGCAGTGAAGAGACACACTCACAGGTAGGCCACTTGTCAATCACTTCACTAATATACCTTTATATTATGAATTCTACTGACATATGAAATCTTATAATGTTGGATCAGGTTAAACAGATGCATCTAGTTGCTCCTTTAGACAAGCAGTTTTCACTACTTTATGTTCTACTGAAAGAGCATATTGCTGATGATGTTGATTATAAGGTATGCATTATAATCCAAAAGCTTTTTTTTTTCCCTGGATTGTTGTGGAGAAAAGGAAAGGGCACACAGGTTGTAATTAACTGGAAATTAAAGGGATGTCTGTAAAAGCTGGGTACTGGTAAGGCCGTGCAAATTAACATGGCAAACGTGTTTTAGGCTGCCATAATCGATCTTTAACCATGCTTCTTTTCTTGTAGGATCTATTATTTTGTTGGTTTATCATATTGCATTTTTAATTTGCTGCTGCTCCTAATGTTCTTGATATATATTTTCCAACAATATCCCAATCGGATTGATGATTACTCTGAAATACTGCAGGTTCTTGTGTTCTGCACAACTGCTATGGTCACAAGACTCGTTGCTGATCTTCTTGGTGAGCTAAATTTGAATGTCCGAGAAATCCACTCTAGAAAGCCACAAAGTTACAGAACCAAGATTTCTGATGAATTCCGGAAGTCTAAAGGTCTTATTCTTGTGACTTCTGATGTTTCTGCACGTGGAGTAGATTATCCAGATGTTACTCTTGTTATACAGGTAATAGTAATATGGTGATCTAACCTTGCTCTAAAAGGCGAATAAGATTGGATCATTTAGTTCTGCATGAACTCTTTAGAATACGAATCACATGTCACAAACTAAATACAACTATTTTAGTAGCCAAGAATAGGGATGTGGGAGGGGTAGACTAGGTACAGAAACTTTTGTTATTTTTTGCTCAAAGTGGCCACTCTCAGAGTCGAACTCACATCCTCAAGGTTACTAGGCTGAATTTTTACTGAAGCGGTGGCTCCTGTTATTTCTGAGTTGAAACTAAAGTTGATAATTTATTATTTTTTCTTTTTCATGTGCTATAGTTCTTTAAAGCTAAATTAGCTAATGAGTATCTTCTGTATGGTTCATTTGTTCTTCAAGCTTTGTGGAGCTTATGTATTTATTAGAAAAGAAGGAAAAACATGGAATGCCAATGGCTTGACAAAATTTGGAACTGTAGGTTGGCTTGCCAGCTGATAAACAGCAATACATACATCGACTTGGTAGAACTGGGCGTAAAGGTAAAGAAGGGCAAGGCATATTGTTGTTGGCTCCTTGGGAGGAATTCTTTCTGTCGACTATTAAGGACTTGCCAATAACAAAAGCTCCTGTACCTTTGGTTGATCCAGACACAACAAAAAGGGTAAGTGTCATGGAGTTTTTGTTCGTCTGCTAGTTTTGTTTACGTCTTTCTCTTTTAAAGTGCTTTGTCTACTTGTTTTATTTTTTGCCCATAAAGAGTACAGTTCCTTTTGCAAATTCTCATTCTTGATGTTTAATACCGAGGGAAATCTGCAAGTGATAATACTTTTATGGAGCAGGTGGAACGAGCACTCTCCCATGTAGAGATGAAAAACAAAGAATCAGCATACCAAGCATGGCTTGGTTACTACAATTCCAATAAGACTGTGGGACGGGACAAGTTCAAGCTTGTGGAGCTCGCAAATGAGTTCAGTCGTAGCATGGGTCTTGACAATCCTCCAGCAATTCCAAAGCTAGTCCTCGGTAAAATGGGCCTAAGAAATGTTCCTGGTTTGCGTTCTAAATAGATTCAACACCCCCCCCCCCCAACCCCTTTTTCTTCGGGCCGGGGTGCTGGGATCCTGAAATGAAAAATTGTTGCACAGGTCGTATGTAGTGATTCATATGTGAACGATCAAAATGGTGTAATTGAATTTTCGGTTTTGGAATCAATTACTTCTACAATGTCTACACAAATTCTTGTAACATACTGAAAATCAAATCATGTTTCAAGAATATTCATGGTCTCCAACGTTCTTTAACGAAATGGCCTGACATATTCTTTGTAATGCATAGTCATCAGTTTTCTAACTTCATCATCAAGATCAACGAAGGTTTGTCATTTCATCCAACTTCATTCAAATGTTAGAACATATTGATTAAACACCACCCTTTGTGATTATACATCTTCATCCAAATTTTAGAACATGTCAATTAAACAACCCCAATTTCTTTCAAATTTTAGAGTGTTCGTGGAATTTGCCAAACTTTGGGTTTCCCACAATTGACATAGACACGACTAAATTCTAATGCTAATACAAACCCAAAGAAAAACAAAAAACACCAAAATAATTACACGTGAGCAGGCACAACACACTACATGAGATCAAAAGAAACCATAATTTCCGTGGAATCAACCACCCCTCCCCCCACCACCCAAAAAAAAATTCATGAAAAGAATGCTACAATTAAGATTGTACTCTATGATCTGTATCTCTGACAAGCTTGCACCAATTTTACAGACTCTGATGTCAAACCAGTTTTTAACGATAGAAACTCAGCAGAAAAAAATTATTCCCCATGTATTTCACCTCAAGAATAGACTGTACCTTTACTTTTGCCTAACCTACCTAAATAAAGGTATCAAACTAAATTTCCCAAATTACAGGACTAAATATATTTAGACTGCATATTTAGAAGGACCAAAAATAAGGTGCAACAATTTTCAACGATAAATATAAAAACAGTCATCTAATTTTGTAATTGCCTATCATACTGCTAGATTGTCAAAGTAACCGGTACAAAGTGAGTATATGAATCAAAGCCCTAATAATCTATTAAATAAAATCCTGATAGGAACACATTTATAAGGAAATACTCTGAATCCTGACTCTCGGCACAGTATATACTTTCAATGGAATTACAGGGTGTCAAACACTACGAGTTAAAAAGGGATGGAAAGAAATATCTATGTGTTCTGCTTTCCCCTTCTCGCCATGCTTCCATAGACTTGAAGAGGGCGGTAGGTTAGAAGCCTGACTTGGTGGTTTACATACAGGAACTAAAGCTATGGAGTATGGGGTGACCATTTCATGAGCGAAATTTAATGACAATATTGCATCAGAAACTCGGATCTTTCATTCTAAGTGTGAGGTGAGAATAGGAAAGCCGATAATGGGATGGTTTATTATCAAGGTTTCTCCCATCATCATTTTTCTACCTGGTTGGGAAGTGCAAGATGCTGGAAATCTTTCAACCACTAATTCCTTCGGGCCACTGGTCTGGCAAAATAATCAATCCCTCCTGTTAAGATAATACATAGACACATCATAAAATGATCCACTGATTTGACAATGATAGATGAAAAAACTGCCTCAGAATTCAACAAAGTATAATTGCAAGATATCATACATCTGTAATAGCCTTCAAAACAAACCAATTACCTTAGATGATGGGGTGAAGATGGCTGATCTGATGAAGACTGTTGCAGAGAGCCCCTGCGAAATCTTTGTTCCTCAAACACTCCCATAACTCCACTTCCCTCACCCGGCTGTGATTGTTCACTCATTGCTGAGGAACCCACTGGGCCTAGAGACCCAAACTCAAGCTGTTCAGCATGCGACCCATAATTGGTATTATGGTCGAATGGATATAGCATCACAACAGATGGAACAGCAGGTCCCTTTGATGATACCCCATTGGGGTTCATGGCTGGTAAAGGATACATGCCATACGCCACATTGGGAGCACCACTCTGGCTAGAGTTAGTGCGCAATGTGCCATTTTGCGATTGGTATGAAGGGAGCAAGTCATGTCTGTATGAGCTCCATGACTTTTCTGCTCGGCTCTCACTGGTAGCAGGCCGGTCCATCCTTGAACCTGACTTTTCTGTTTGGCTGCGACTGTGGCTCCGCCCACCAGCTCGTGATCTAGAATATGTATTCCAGTTCCCCTCTCTGTCGTTATGGTTGTCACTTCTATCATAATTGTAATTCCCCCTTCTGATACCTGAAGAATGCCGATCTCTAGGAGAAACCTTCTGAAGAAAACCATAATAAAATGGTCAAACATCTACTGCAGTGAGCATTGTCAAAACTTACATATTGGGGCAGAATATAGACAAATTCAATATTTCCCAATTGCTTTTTAGGAGGAACAAAAAATAATCTTGCTATTGGCAAGCAACATCAACTCAAAACACTGCCAGGGAAAATTAGACTAGACAAATTTGAACAAAATATGCTTGAGTATAACCGGCCTCTGTAAAGTGTCAGTTTCGGATAGCAAGCAACAAAAATAGACTTATTAAAATCAATGAATTGAAAAAGGGTTCATGGATGAAGACTAAAAAGGTTGATGGAGAGCAATAAAATATCTTACAGGATTTGGCAGGTAAGTCCCAGTCCCACTACGGTATCTAGGCATTTCATCAGCATAGCGCTGATAAACATTCGGAGGTCTGTTAGAAACAGACTGGAGAGGAGCCACGGGAAAAAGATGAGGGCCATAACTCATAAGCTGAGTGACGAGATTGATGTTGGCTGAAACAGGACTTCCGGGACCATCCCATGGGGATCGGCCCTGCAGATATGTAGGTGGTACCATGGCAGATGAAGGATAAACCAGAGGTCCATGGTATCGTGGATTTTGGCAAAACCGTCCAAATTGCAAATTTTGCCAGTGGCTAGCAAAGTCACTGTTAAGTATGTCAGACTTGCTCACATCCGATGTCTCAGTAGAAGCAGCCCCTCCCAAAGAATTTGAAGTACTTAATTCCCCAGACTGGTGAAGTACCTCAGAGGAATCAAAGTTCTGACCAGAATCATTGTGGCCAAAATCCTCCTCCCCACCAAAATTGCTAGCCACTGCATCGGAAGTTCCAGTCTCAGGAGGAATATTATAAACTGGAAGCATTGTAAGGAACGGAACAGGTGGGCCAGTAGGATAAAATGCAACATAGCCAGAATTGTCCATCGTTCTTTGTCTAGAACCAGGTCCTAAGAGCATGGGAGCAATGGATATCATTGAATCTGATCCGCTTGTCTGGGATTCACAGTCAGGTATATGATCCTTTGGAACATGTAAATCAGCAAGCTGAGGTCCTGAGCTTCTTTCCACCATTTCAGTGCCCATGTTTGACAGTGGATTCCACTCCAGATCATCCTCCTCGGCCTGAGTAGAAACATGTTCAAACATAATTTTCCCTTTCCCGTATCCAGAAGAGGGCTCTGCAGGAACTGTTTTCTTTCCCCGTTTTTCCTTTGTTGACTTTGAGACCTTCGCAGAAGACCCATCCCAGGAACTCTCAGAAGAGGTTTTACTTCTATAAGAACCACTATGAGCAGCAGAAGAGTGCCTTGAACTTGTCGTTCGGTCATCAGGGTACACCTCATTTACTCTGTTATCTTGATACTGGAAATTATCTTGAAGATCTTCCCGCGTTGACCCTCGTTTTTCCTTGGTATATTTCAATTGAACTCCTGCAGAACTGGCAGAGCCACTTAGCCGAGAAGGGGGAACAAAGTTGAAACCTGCTGAAGTTGACGGCTGCTTATCATCTGCCTGAAGCATTTCAAAATTTCCATTATCCAGCTCAAAGCCTCCAGTAGAATCCACATCCTGCTCTGGCCAGATATCATGATCAGCATCCCCTGAGTTCATTTGTATAGAACTAAAATTCTCATTAAGAGGCTCAATTGAATCTTCCGAATTTGAGGCAAATCTGATGCCCGGGAAATAATGAGTCAATGGTGCAGATACCAAACCATGAGGAAATTGCATTTGCGAAAAAGAAGGATCAATCAATGGAAGATTTGTAGGAATCATTCCAGGCATATTTCTCTGAGCATACCCCATAGAAGCTAGGATGGAAGGAGAGATTGGAATAGGCAGGTGACCTGAAGTTAAATTCAGTGGCACAGGAACCTGACCATTGAAACCGTGAGCTGATGATGATGCCATCATGTTCACAAGATCTTGCTCTTCCTGATGCATCTCCTGTGTCCCAATGGTGGATGATATTTGTTCACTCATGGCGCCAAGACCAGAATCACAGTGATAATTATTCGAACCACTGTTTAAGTCAGCAGAAACAGCATCATGACTTTGATGAGATGGAACATGCCAGGCAGATGAAGGATCATCATTTGATAATTGACCTGAAATTTCAGACCCGATGTACTTCCTCCTGTTACTACCCAATCTTGCAGAAGTAGCCTGGTTTTTCCCACTTTCTGGTTTTCTGTTACGCCTTCCATGGAAAGATGCATCACCATAAGCGTCGGTGAGCTCAGGACTAGAGTGCGTTCTAGCAAAGAAGAACCTTCCCTGGATGTCATTCATCAAGGGATCAGGTTTTGAATTTCTCCGACCTTTATCAGTATTTGCAACCTCATTAGAACTACATTCCCACGCGATCTGATCAGACATCCTTGAGCTGTTCAAGTTGCTGTGATTCTTTTGGGTCTGAGGTTGAGAAGCAGTAGAAACAAGGCTGGTTCTAGATATTCTTTCTGAGGGATAATTACTATGTTGGGAGGATATGGCACGTGGGCGAGTACCCTCAATCTCTTTCTCGCAACCAGAGGAATTGCTGTTCATTCTTTTGCCACTTGAATTGTTCTTAGGATTCCCAGACACAAGAAGGTGATCAGGAGTTGACAATCTTGGAAGACACAATTCAGTTCTCGGGACATCAGGACGCTGGCCACTGCCATACCTATCCCATGTATTCATGAAGAACTGATTTACTTCAAAATCCAAGTTTTCTTTGGAACGGTCAAGTAATCCTGAAAGTCTTTTAGCCCCAAAAGCAAATGCGCTGCGTATTCTAAAAAAATTACCTAAAAAAAAAATACATCAAAAAATTAACAATAACAAATCATGCAAAGTAATTACCACCAAAACAAATAACACCAAGATTTTACTCAAAAAAATCAACGTTGCAGCTAGCTACACTACAATGTCAAGGCAGAGCAATATCACTTTTGATTACTGTGAAAACATGACCTCGAACTAGAGGTGCTAGGATTTTCCACTGAATTTGCGTCAAAGAAATTAAAAACACAGTTGAGCAAAGTTGATTGTAATGTCGGCATGGCATTGAATTCCCCTTAATCTTCCTTGTGTGGTTTTTTCTTGTTAAAAAGCAAATCCCCACTTAATCCAAGTTCACATGATTTACACAATGCAGACACACAGACAGAAAGAGATAGAGAGAAGGGGGATGGGGAGGAGGATAAACAAATCCAGGAACCCTTAAAATTCCCTTGGATGTTCAAATCATTATTAAGTATTCGTATTTTTAAAACTAATTACCACAAATACAAAAATTTAATTAATGATCCTTAGTTGCTTTCACTTGGACCATGTTGAGCACTTCACAAGATTGCATTTTCCAATGTAGTATTTCAAACTTCTCCCTACCTCACCATTTCAGTTCAGTTGTTTTCCGGAAAAGATTTTCAACAAAACGAGTTAATCAATGACTGACACATGGAAGATATTTAAGAAAATCGGATGTAAAATCAATTAGATTGTTTGTCATGCAGCAGCAGCCGCCACTATATGATATAACTATGTCCACGCCTCACCCAACAGGTCATTTTTTTTCCTTGGTTGTTATTGTAAGAAGGTAAATGGAGCAACTATCTAAAACTAATCCAGACCAATCATCTACAAACCAAACACCCTGTTTTAGCCCATGTTATAGTTGAAGTAAACAAAACAACTTTATTGATTTAAAATGATAAAAATTGATACATCAAAAAATAATATGGATGGACAAGATGTCAATCCTAACAATAACCAAATTAAACCTGGCAGAGTCACATACTAGTCACATCAGAACCAAAAACAACTCTGGTTGACACGTGAAGTTAAAGAGCTCATGAAGGATGGGACAAAATCAATACAACAATGTTTCATTTAACTCAAAATACGATAAATAGCCTAAAACAAGGGGAAAAAGTTACCTTTACTGACACTGCGACCAAGATTGTTGTTGACACGTAAAGGATCGATGACATTAAAGTGCTTCGAAACAAAAGGTTGTCCCTGTTTCTCCTGGCCTCCTGGGAGAACAGCATATACAGAGCTACAAGAATCAAGAAATGATTTGCTAAGCAACAATTCGCCACTGTCCTTGTGGGGAGGTTCTGCTGTAAAATGGTTCCAATAGATATATTAGAACTAGAAAATTTGCTACTATTTCAAGTAGGGGTCGTTCAATAAGGCATCGAATAAAAGAATCCTAGGGGTTATTACCAATTATATCCGGAAGTGAACTAATGGGAACAGGACCCCACAGACTCACACAAAAATTGTCCCAGTCGAAGTTACTAAAGAACTCCAGAAAACGGTAAAGGACCTGCAAGTGTTAACAAACCTTCAGACAGAATATCAAAGAAACAAAACAAGATAAAAAAGTAAGTTAACTGAAGTAACCTCAAGTGGTCCGGCAAAAGAATTGTTAAAAACATGAAATATGTAAAGAACTAAGGTCTCCAGGGCATAAGTGGATATAAGTCCATGGTGAGCACCCAGTACACGACTCTCATAATAGCACCAGGCCTTGATCAATATAATGCTACGCTTGAACAAATGCTTCTTGTTTATCAAATGATCTACCTGCACAAGTGATATTGTTGTCAAGTAACAATAGAACAAATGCGATCAGGTTCACAGATATTCAGAACTAAGCACTAACCTCCTCAAGAAAGCAAAGGGTGCACAACCCACCAAGCTGGTTAAAAGATATGTCTACCACAATATTTTCCACAAGACACTTTATTAGCTTCACCTGCAATTATATGAGAAAACAAAAACAAAATGCTAAAATTTATAACGATGAAACCAGTCCAGCATAGAGTAAATGAAATAATTACAAAGAGGAAGTTGCGCCAAGAAACCTTAAATTTAATACATAGACAAGAAATTCAGCTCCAAAATTTAGATAAGACAATATTCATTCATCTTTAAATCATACTTCTTGACCGGACTGGGAAAGGAGAAGAGGAAGAAAGTTAAGGGAGTCATTCACAGATGAGCCCTTGCCTATACCAAAGAAACTTGTGAGATCGATAGAGACAACGAGGCCAGGGATGAGACCCATTCTTTATAAAAGAATGGGAATACGGAATTGGAATGGACCGATATGCTCTTTTTGGACTACATAAAGACAAAAGAGAAACAACAGTAGCGACAGACAACTCCTCCTAAAGCATTGACTTAAAAAAATATTCATGTTGATGGCCGCCTACTTTACTTTATGCCAGCCAATCTACTTCGGTTCAGCTTGTCTTCGTGAATTTTGCATGCCAACCATACAAAAAATGCATCTGATGAAGGTTAATGACTCACAATGCCAAGAAATCCTTCAATAGCCCCAAAAAACCACCAATTTTTACCATAATGACCAGAGTACCAACAATCTCTTAAGAAACCAAAATGCTACCACAAATGAATCATCTCTCAAATAGAATCAGCTTTGATATTTACAATTACCAGAGCCAGACCCTTTCCATTCCTTAACAAAGCCCAAATTCCTGAAATTGTTATCCCCTAGAATGGTTTTTGAAACCTGAATGCTAGATAACTAAAGTCGTGACCCAGAATACCAATCTCAAAAGTCTTAACCAAATACTGCTGAAGATTAAAAAGGCAAGAAATAGTTGGTTAATTTCATATTACATGAGCTAATACACGAAGAATCTATTTGGAATCTTCAGGTGTTAACCAAATACTTCACTGCCACCAATCGGTAGTTGCCGAGGAAATATCTAAAGGTTCCCAAAGCAGAACTCAGGTAAATTATTGAAAGTGTGAGCCGACAAAGCTATTGAAAGTTAGATTTTCCTTTCTAACAAAACGGTAATCCACCATCTAAATTTTGGCAACAAGTTTTTTCCCTAAGAAATATGGGCTTTCAATATCCAAGATAATGGACTAACTTGTTTTACAACAAAAGAGTGAAACACATCAGAAAGAGGACAGACATCTGTGGCAATAGATTGCAGTTATCCTTGTGAACGGTATAATTCTCTGGTTGTTGCTCCCACTGGAGCCATCTTATTGACACTTGTTTCTTAAAAAGTTACTCTTCCTGCTCAGGAAGTATACCTTACATATATTGGACTCACAATCATAGTGACACCCAAAAGTTGAAAATTTAAAATTATTCAATAATAGTCTTTAGCTCTTTAGAGCTCTACATGAAAGGAATATGTGTCTGGATGGAGGGAAAATTTGGGCTGCCTTTCCAGTTGAGACTATTTAGACTGAAAGTCAAGTAAATCATCATAAACCAAGTCTGCAAAGGAGGAAAGCATAGAGCTACCAAAAACATCATTCTATAATGTTCAATAATACCATGATCCCGGTTTGCAGTTAACTGAAAATATGTTTCTTTATAAACACACATAAGAGTATGCGCCTCAGAAACAGTTAAAAAGCCGAGTTACAACAAAGGTACGGCACAAAAGGCAGACTTCAGATTGATTAATTCAGTTACGCTACAAATAGATACAACAGTCAACACTGAAGAAACAGTTAACTGCAAAAAAGAAAAGCACACTAAGAGTACAAAACATACTTCAGCTTGAATATACTGAACCTCCTTAACATGGAATTCAGCATTCTCATTCTTCTCCTCATTCTCCAGCATATCACGAACCTGATTAGCCCATGTGTCTTTCAAGTTTTGATCATTGCTGAAGGCTGTTAAATCAATGTCTCCATCAGGTAAATAAGTCTTCAAGGGTACGGACCCAAAGGTGAAAACCTGTAGACGATAAAAGTTCTTAGACAATAATAACACCACAAAATAGGATAATAACAATACAATTTACCTATGGACAACATTCTGCATACTGATAAGTTAAGGTTAAAGTAATTTAGAGAATGACAACTGCGAGCAAACTCCTGCTTCACTTGTATAAAAATACTCCAATCAAGTAGGCATATCTCAATTTATTATGATTATTTATGTAAATCTTCCCACATCAGGTTCCTCTACATAAGGTCATGTTCTCATCCTTGTTAAATTACTTTGATAGGCATTCTTCCCCCTCTTTCAGTAAGATGTCACGTTCAACTGATAGTTTGCAGGTACGTCTGAAAAACTTACAGTGGTCCTTCCCGAATTTTCGGCACCTCAACTTACACCATTTTTTGCATTTCTAATTGTCCTTGCAGTGCCACCAATTGCATTCATTGGATACTATAGCTTAAGAAATTAGAATCTAAACTACTAGAATTAATATAAATAGGAGCTGGCTATAAGTTTTTTGGCAACCCGCATACAATGCAACAATAACCATTTATGTCCTGCCACTTGTACATCTCACCATGTTGTGGCTAGAGGACCAAAAACGTTCAGGAGAAGTTACGCATCTTAATTCCTCAATATTGCAGTGAATAAACCAGGTAAGAAAATGAAAACAAAGCATAAATTTTCACCGTCTACATCAACTATAATCTGAATTGTACGGTTCAGAAAAGCATCATATCTTCAAAACCACGATTCCTAATTTTTTTTATCTTTCTTATATCACAAACCTCTTTTCTGGTTCTTTAATAATCTAGATATTTACATAAAAAGAACAAAATATACAGCTGCACAAACATTTTCACTGCCATTGTCAACTTAATCAAGATTGCATTGTCTATGAAACCAGAACAACATTCAAAATAAATGCCTATAGCTATTACCCGTCCTGGATGCAAATGAATGTAGTTGAAAATTAAACTAATAATAACATTTTCTGTCAACTATAACAGCAAAACTAGTAACAAATAATGCAAAAGCAGGAAAACCAGAGCAATGCACCACCTGACAGGGGAAACAATTAATGATGAGTCGCTCCACATAATCTTTAACAGCTTTTCTCCGCTCTTCTGATGGTTGGTTGGGCTGAATGCAGACAATAAGCTCTGCAGTTCTCTCCTCTGCCTTTGCCCATCTTTCCGAGTCAAGGACTCGGATCACCGGACCTGCATCCGGCAATAGCCCACTTGGCTGTGCGCATTCCTCATATTCGCCCATGCACCCCCAATGAGTACCAATTCTTCTTCTACCTCAACTACACTACCAAGGACCCAAAAAGTTCAAGACCACCAAAAAAAATTTTCTAACTTCAATTTTTTTCCAGTAAACTGAGATTGAAACGATTGGCTTTTTTTGTTATAGTTGCCACAGAATGTTACTTAACAAATTACAATTAAATTTAACCCCCAAAAAACCAAACCTAACATACATAAAACCCTTAAGAAATTGAAAAGAGTGCAAACTTCATCGTTATCCTTCGAATCATATAACCACGGGATTAAAGACTGTTAAAGGAATCTTCAATTCTCAATCACGGATTGTTAGAGCAGGAAGAAGCCCTACAAAATAATCAAAAAAAAAAAAACAATAAACCTAGGACAGACGAATGTTGGGAACTTGGAAACACTTGTGATCATACATACAATCAGTCAAACCCTAAGCGAGACTGCTTGACAATCTCGGCAATGTCGGCAAATGAAAACAATCGAAGCAACAGATAAACGTTGCTTTTGTTGCTCTATTGATCAGATGTTGGAGGGAGAAAGAGAGTGGGGATTGTGAAATTGTAGAAAGAGAAAACAGGAGTGTGTGTGTGTGTGAATCGGACTGCAGGAAAGAGAGAGAGAGATGGAGAGAGAATACGGTTTGACGCGGGTTGGTTTTCTCTTCTTCTGGGTCTTTGAAATGAACTTTTTCGGCGTTTATCAAATTTGGCAATGGATTGATGATCATGGGAATATGGAGATCGAAGAAATAAGTTTAATTTTAATTTGGGTAAATAGTAGTTTGTACCCCAAAAGATTAAAAAAATTCAATTTATAGCTTCAATTAAATTAATTAGTAACAATGTGACATCAACTATAACATTCATTGTAATTTTCATCAAATTGTCAATCACGTTAGATGCACTTAATAACTTTTGTTGAATTATGGGGCTTTCCCTTTTCTCGTGAGTCTTATGTCTCTATCAATCCAAAAAAAATTAATATGCATGTCATAATTGAAATAGTAATTTTTGTCAAAACGACGGTCGTGTGAAATGCACGTGATGATTTTTTTAGATTATGATCCTTTTCTTTTTCACGTACGTTTCATGTGGTTGTTAATTTGATAAAAATTTCAATTGATATTATGATTGGGGTCACATTACTACCAATTAATTTAATTGACAATGCATTTGAAGTAATTGATGTTTGAGGGTATAAATTGATAATTTTTTAATATTTTGGGGGCACAAACTGTCATTTTCCCTTTTAATTTAATTTTGCTTGTATTAATATTTAATTATTGTTATTGGGCCAACAGGTTTCAAGAGATCGTATATAATTGGGCCAAAACTCAGTGGAGGCCCATGGCAATGTTTCGCTTCATGCCTATGGCTTCATCCTCAACTCTTTCAAGTGGGTTATTGCTAATTTCCACGTACCTCTCAAGAATTTCATTCAACGAATCCACCTAAGTTCCGACAGATTTTGTATATATTAATTCTTGGATAATTGGTCTATTTGAAACTGTTTTTTCTAGATAAAAAGTTGTAGCTTGAAAAATTTTACAAAACAATTGGAGTCAAAAAAGTCTCTTAAAATCGTTTAGAACCTTTTTAAAAAAAATTAAAAAGTTTGAAAAGTCCGTGTAGAGTGACTTTTTAATTTTTTTTTTTTTGATGTCAAAAAAAATTATATGTATAGATTATGCATAAAAAATTACATATATGTGTAGATTATGCATAAAAAAAAGTACACATATGCATAAATTATACATAATAGTTCACAAAATATGAAATTTAAATTTATTTATGTCACTAATAATATTTTATGAATATAATACATTAAAAAGTTGTGTGAGACTTGTCATAAAACTCTAAAAAATTAGAAGAAATGCTCATAAATCAGTTTCTTGAATAAGCCTAAATAAGTATTTTTAGGTCCAAAAAATTAATAAAAAAATTAAATTTTAAATAAATCTGACTTATTTTACTCCAAAATTTTTAAAAGCTATATATTTAAACTATCTAAACTATATATTATAGCAATGGAATTAGTTGAGAGGGGCCTTTCTCTACCTAAATTTTTCAATAGAATTTTAATTTTAATTAATTAAAAAAAATTTCTCCAAAACATTTGTAACATTATCATATTCTTTTTCAACTTCCCTTAATTAGCCTAAAGAAATTAACAAATTCCTAAAAAGAACAAAATACCTTGAACACGTAATGGCGGCTGAGGCGTCCTAATGGGCCGACGCCGACATATCCTTGTACCCAGCCCTAAATTGTTACGAGAATGGCCCAAGACTCAATAACCCCGCCCGCGCTCCCCTCCGTTCGGTTGACGGTATAAGCACATGACTTTGTTAGTTATTATGGGCCGCGTGGGAGTCTCTCTCTCTCTCTCTCTCTAACAGCCATTGCCACTGATTGAAGGCTTTCTAATGGCGAACTCGGGCGAGTCTGATCAACCTGAGCAATCCGAACCAGGTATAATTCGTTTTTTGTACTTTTATCTCTCCCTTTCTCTTCGTATTTTATTTGTTCAATTTCATTCATCTGTTCTTTACATTGTAGCGATTGAATCGAGGACGCAAAACTTTGAAATTCTAGGGTTTATATGAGAAATTCAAACAATTGGATCGTGTTTATTGCTCAGTTCATTGGACTAGTAGTCTTTGCTGCCAATTTGCCGTGTCCTTCGGCCAGCGCCAATTTACTCGTTGATTTTATTGTTTAAGTTTTTAACTGCTATGCATACATGTCATCCGTGCCTTTTTCTTTCTATTTCGTATGATTTCTGTATGTATTCCTCCGACCTCCTCACTAACGCCGTAGGAAATCATAACACCATAGTGCTTGAAATAATTTGACATTCATATAGGCGCAGAAATCATATCTACAACTGGGTCTGTTTCAACCCTCACGGTGGTTCAGGGGTTGGGTCTCTCCTCTTGTAACCCAGAGGAATCGGGTTCAATCCCTTCTCACACCCCTACCCCTAAGGCTAGCCACCCTTGTCCCTACTAGACCAGCTCAAGCTACTGTAGCCAGCCGCTGAGTTGAGGGAGTAGTTGGCACAATGCTGGCCACCCTATAGGCCAAAAAAAAAAAAAAATTGGGTCTGTTTCTTGTCACCTACCCATTACGTGCTCGTTTGGTTCCTGGATTGCATAAAAAGGAGGTTGGATTATAAATCTCATAGGGGAGTATAGGATACGAGATTCAATAGGGGATTATTATGTTTCGTTCCAATCCCTCGACACTCTACGGAATAATAGATAGTTATCATGTCTAATTCTACGTTTTGTTGGACCATTAATCTCGTTGTACTAATGGCGTTTGGGCCAAAATGCCCTCAATTCTATTCAACCTAATTTCTTGTTTGGTGCACATATTCCATGAAAGCAAATCAGCGAGACTAAAGTACCACCACAAAGAAATTATTGTTGCATCATTTTTACTCAACGTGTTCTATCAAAAGTAGCTAAATCTTGTAATGTGTTGGTTGTCATGCTGTTGTAAGCAACCCAACGAGTCCTGGAAGAATGACCTCTCTATTAACTATTGGATTCATAGTTTCAAACAGCTCTGGTCTCCTCTGCTGCATCATCCAAGCAACCCACCTTCAAACGTAATCCACAAATCAGCAAGTCATCTTTTCAAATGTAATGCAGGGGAGAGGCAATCCGTTGGTATAGTTTAGTGAAAGTCACGACATCAGGTGAAATGAATTCCCTTGTCTAAGCGTCATCCCTGACTGACCAAGTATTTGCCTGACTCTAGTAAAAATATCATAATAATGTTTTTATATCAGATATTATTACAAGGGAGGAGGATGACGAGGTTTGAATTCGCGACCTTATGGTTCAACAGCAGGGGCAGTGACCATTAGACCAACCAATAACCTCTAGTAAAAAAATCATAGCCTCCTTCTTTCTTCCTCTAGTCCCACTGGCAAAACTCCCATGAATCAAGCAAGCGCAACCATTCCGAAAATCACAAATCCAAATCCCCTCACTTAATTTTTCTCTCCATTTGTTCCACTGGTAGATCAGACCCAATTTTGTACAATGAATCCTACTAGAATTCACAATAAATGATCTACTAAGAAGGAAAATGCGGAAAAAAATTTATTGAAATAACTCTCCCATCATTTTATGGAAAATTTGTTACTGCTGTTTTGAAAGAACTGTAGAACAACATCTGGATAAATTCCTTCACGGACAATTTCAGAGAAAATACCAATCACCTAGCTTGTCAAAATTGTAGTAATTACATCGGAATTAGCAGAATGAGTAGGTTATTTAAAGTTGTTGTCATGAACCTGAGGAAATTTTGCACACATGTATAAACTGGACGATGAAAGAGAGTAAATTATTGCAACTTAATTTTTTAAAAAGTGAGTATTTGTATGTGTCTCTCTCTTTGTATGAAGTTGTTTTACTCTCCATATTTCAGAATAGCTATGAGTCCTTATGAGAAACCAATAGTATTCTGAGTCATGCTGAGCATCTTAGATATATAATGCATCATGGGCTGATATAAAATCTGTTGTGAACTTATTCTTTAGATATCACACTTTCAAGAAGCTTTTAAAATCACTGATTCAAACTGTTTTAAGGTAGACTCAGTCAAACAATTCAGTCTTAACTAGTTACTAATTTTGCTTTTTACACGTTATACTTCTAGTTTTCTTTCATTGGCCATTCTCGTTTGTCTTTCAGTCATAATTGATATTTCTCGTCTATTTTACAGTCTGCAACTTCTTTAGAAAGCCATCAAAGAACAAAAATATCCGGAAACGCCCTTCTTTTCAAGAGGAAGATAATGAAGATGAAGATTTAAAATCTGAAGGTGCAGTGGTATATAATAAGAAAAAGCCCACAATGGCTGACAATAGGCTACACTTCTCTACAGGATCATCTGAGCGCCTTAAAACCTCAAAATCTGATGCTGAATCTGAAACCCCGATATTTCAATTTGAGTCTTCGAAAGAGATTCAGGTTCAAAACGATAGCCGGGCAACAGCAACTTTGGAGACCGAGACTGAGTTCACCAAAGATGCTCGGGCAATTCGAGAGAGAGTTCTTAAGCAAGCAGAGGACACATTGAAGGGGAAAAACAAGAGCACTGGTGATGAAAAATTGTATAAAGGGATTCATGGGTATACTGATCACAAGGCTGGGTTTCGAAGAGAGCATACAGTTGCTGGTGAGAAAGCTGGTGGGTCTCATGGGCCTCTCAGGGCATCTGCTCATATTAGAGTGTCAGCGAGGTTTGACTATCAACCAGACATTTGTAAGGATTACAAAGAGACTGGTTATTGTGGGTACGGGGATGCATGCAAGTTTATGCATGACAGGGGTGATTATAAGCCAGGATGGCAGTTGGAAAAGGACTGGGAGGAAGCAGAGAAGGCAAGGAAGAGAAATTTGGTTATGGGAGGGGATGATGAATATGAGGGACGCGCTGATCAAAGTGATGAAGATTTTGATGATTCATTGCCTTTTGCATGTTTTATTTGTAGGCAGCCTTTTGTGGATCCTGTTGTAACAAAGTGCAAGCACTACTTTTGTGAGCACTGTGCATTAAAGGTGAGTTTGTACCCTTTTCTTCCATGTGCATTTAGTTTTCTTGGTAAAAGTGAGTGATTTAGCATTTGAATGCATTAGAAAGCACTACCTCTAGCAAAGGCTGAGCTTCTCTAACCTAGATTTGTTCTTAGGATAATTACAACCTTCCTCACACAAGACAAGCAGCCCTCCCCAGTTCTAAATCGTGAAAACTCCTAGTTGCATTGGATTGTGGCTTTTATCTTGATGAGGATGGGATTTTTGCTGGATCCATTACTGAGAATTGATCATTTATGTGGGTCTTATAAAATATCAGGAATAGCATATTTCAAATATTTTGATGGGCAATTCTAATCAGAAGACTTTTGCTATCATCTTGGCTGTTTAGATTTTGATGTTCTGTTGATAGTAGAACTATTTTACAATCCCCTTTGAATTTGGAGCATTGTTTGTGATTATCCATAATGATTGACTAATTTTCGCCACGTGTGCTTGAGCAGCCATTGAGTTGAGACAGACCTCGAGTATTTTAATAATAGATCAATAATTTGTTCTTCATTGTTATGATTTTGGGAATCATGAATTCTATTTTAAGCTAATTCTGAATTTGTTTGCTTTTGATCCACAGCATCATCGGAATAACAAAAAGTGTTTTGTATGCAACAAGGAAACCCATGGCATATTCAACACTGCTTTCGAGATACGCAAAAGGATGGCTGCTGAGAAAAGTTGATGGGCCCGAGCATTCTTATGTTTGTTCACAAGTTGGTCTTCTACTCATGAATGAGTAGTTTTTTTTTTTCTTTAGACAGATATTAGTTTCAGAACCAATATGATGTACTTAAATTCAGTGTTTGTTAATTAATTCATGTGATCACACGTGAATTTTGGATCGCTACATCCGTGTGGGTTGGCCCTTAAATTCTGTTCATTGTTGTATTCAAAAGCCTGTGTATGATTATGGATTTATGCCATCTTTGCAAATTTTAGGGTTACGCCAACATGTGGGCTGGGCTTTATACTCTACATTCACTATCATGCTCAAAAGTCGTTCTTCATTTCATGTGACTGCGACCTATTTGGTAAAGTATTTATTGCACTGTGCTCACAATGTTTACAACAAAACTTCACCCTCAGGATTCACTACCTTTAACAGAAAAAGAGCAGACTCACTCTTTGGCTTATACTTCGACTCTTTGCTTCCGATAACATGCAATCACCTTCATTCTTTGAGATCTTATTTGAGAAATGTTTGACCTGTTAGCAGAATATATTCAATGGTATCAGGACTTTTTCCCCCCCTTAAATTTTGCATATGCATGGTCCATGGATGCTTCAATTTGTGTCGGTCTTAAGAATTATGTTGAAAGTTGACGCTTTAATGATCACACAACGACTATGGCTAGCGTCCAAACTCATTCATGGTTTTTTTCTGTACCACAGAAGACGAATGGGTCGAGCTTTGTTAGTGATCCAAAAACTGGTGACAGAACATGGACTTTTCTTTTGGACCAAATACCAACCTCACTCCACTTGTTGCAGATACAAAATTCTTGTTACTTGTGGCCAAGGATTTGTTCAAGTTTAGAAGGGACGTCCTACTCGGGCGAACGATCCGGGTATGAATCTCATCCTCTTATTCCCTTTTGCTGACTTATATATGATGTTCCTTCCTCCTTTTTTGGAAAAAAAAATAGAACCGATTCTGGATAAACCTAGCTTATGGTGGATAAGATTAAATTCTTACACATCTACTGTTATGAAGAAAATGATTTTGTGGGTCAGCATTCTGTTAACTTTTTATTGAGAAGTTAGTTTGCTTTTTCATTAGACATAATATCATCCGAAAACATCTTCTTGTTCAAGATAAGAAAGACACTTTTTCACATCGCCTAGGTTATCGTTATTCGTTAGATTGGTGAATTATGTTCATGAATCAACCACTCTTAACGAGCCCCTTGGTGGCAAAAGAATTCTTTTTTACATAAAGATAAAGGCGTTGGCTATCTTTAAATGTGATGCCACCCAGCCAATTGTGTTGCGCCACGAAAACTTAAATTTGTTTTGTTCTTGATTTTTGTTAGGGAGATTGTCGTATTCCGTAGATTCTGCATGGACCACTTGAGAATTTTTATTGGCCGACAATATGACTGACTGGCTACGGAGTTTGTGTCTATCTCAAAACTTATTCAATTCATACCCGCCTAATTTATAATCATATAGAGTTGGATTTGTATTGTGACAAATTCATACCATGTATAATCTATGTTTAATGAGCTTGTGTCGTACTTAGTTGAGTTCTTATACACCAATTAATTTAACGGATCTAAATAGTTCACTCATTTATCACCCAAACCCACAAAAGCTAAACTCTGACACGTTAATTCTGTGTCAATCTTATGTTGAAATCGTCTAAAATTATCAACACCAACCACAAGAACATTAACCAGTTCATCCCAAATTACATGAACCAATGAATTTTCTACTTTATTTTAATTTGACTATTATTATTATCGTATATCACTTTTAGAATATATCTCTATTTTTTTTTCCCTCTCAGATGACTTGACTTTTTAACATAGTGGAGGCACTTTGGTGACAGAAACAATGAACATGAATCTGAATTTATTTTGAGAAAATCATGATGGCCACTATAAGTCCTCCCATGCCGGTTACCTGCCACCCTTTACCGGCATAAAACAAAGTAATAAAAGTATTTTTTAGGGTTGATAGTTGAATTGAACTATTCGAATTCGGTTCGGATAGTACTCGAACACGAGACTCGTGTTCTAAATAAGTTGAATTTGAATAATTTTTTAAATTTGTCTAAAAAATGAGTTTAAAAAGACTCGGCTCGAACTCGTAAATCTTAATTCGTTTATATATTAAATAGTTTAGCTATTCGGACTTAGCTTGAGTTTGATTTATTTTGGGCTCGGCTCAGGTTTATTTTATAAACGAGTCAAGTTTGAACAATTTTTTAGGCTCGTTTAAAAAAACGAATTTGATAGGCTAGACTTGATTGTTAACCCTAGAATTTTCTGTTATAAAATGTGCAATTATTTGACCTTTCTCCATATTTTTCAACCATTCAATTCAAGAATGATAGAAGTCTTAGAAAGTGTATCCATATGTTTGACAAGTCATCATGAACGTGCATATATCTTCTCAGGTAGGATGAGTGTTAATTTTCCACGTAATGGATAAGGAATAATCAGTAGTATACATCTTGAAGAATATAATTTAAACTAGATATATTGTCACTTCTTGTTATGATGAGTCTTATGATGCTAAACCCAAACTTATGTAAGCTTCTTTGCACACCTTGATTGACTGATGTATTAAATTGTATAGTTTCAATGCAGAAACCCAACAATTGTGATTAAACTAACGATACCGTATCATTAGTTACATCATTAGATTGATAAATTAGATCGAATATTTTAAATTTTGATAGTATTAAACTCCAAATGATAGTTCAAATGGTAACAGAGACGAACTGTAAATTTAGACATCTTGAGTTCGAATCTTGATAATTTTTTGGGGTCAGACCATAAGAAATTTGTTCTTCATGATTATTTTAGTCTCTACGTGGACGACTTGTCTTTAACTGGCCTGGAGAGGGAATTAGTCGAGGTGTGTGGAAGCTGACTCGAACACCCATGACCATTAAACTTTAAAAAAAAAAATTAAGTCATGATACCACTACTCTATATTACCGGGTGTGTTCTCTTCCGCTTATAGATTTTGGGTAATTGGTATGTTTAGCAAACGTAGGGATAGAAGAAGAGTAAAATTAATCTTAAATAAAATCGTAAAAATGTTTTGATAATTTATGATTTAACTGAAAATATTGTCAATAGAGTTCATTGGTGGAACCAATTGATCGTTGGGATAAAGTTTAGTTGAGTTAAGTTGATTTGATATGTTGAGCAAACGAAAGAAACGTGGCATTCCATTGTAAAAGGAAGGATCGTTGTCTCGGCAAGAGATTCCAAGATGGCTTGTTTTAATGTGTCATCCAAAGGGAAGCGGCCACGTATGGTGTGTGTGTGTGAGAGAGAGAGTAGATAAAAAGTAAGGTGGTGCGAACGGCAATAATGGGAGTCCAATACTAAAACCAGGTAAAGATCCAAAACTAGACTAGTGCCAAAAACGAACACTGACAAAACCAACAAGACTAGTGCCCGAATAACGTTTTATGGCCACTTTGATGAAATGATAAAGTCTTCCGCACTCCTACCACACAGAATAGGACATGGAGGCTTGTCCTTAAAGTTGAAAGATTATATCAGAGCAACCAAAGTTATACAAACATCTCCTATACTTCTGCAAAATAACACTAGGGGGTTCCCTTGAAATTTTAAAATTTATAAAAGAATTTCTTTGATCCATGTATGTTATAGCTGATATATTCTCGTTGTTTTGAAGTAAATGGTGAAATCAATTAATTATAGAGAGACGGAGTCGAGATCAAGGTGTAGTGGGGAGGAGGCTGAGAGAGAAAGAGAGATCAGGACCAGGTGATGGGTTTATGTATGGGACATAAAACCCATCACTTGAGATACGGAATCAACTCCTTGACCTCTTAGTTGATAGAATTCAAGGAGATTCAAGAGTGACATATTGCCTAGTTGGTTATCAATGGGATTGTTTAACCCAAGTTTTAGACATGAAGGACCCAATTAAAAAAAGTTGATACTTATGAGACCAAAAGTATATTTAATTTTTTTTTTTTTCTTTTTTGTGTTGCTTTGGATTGGGAGATGATACTGGATCCAGACGGTCCTCCTAATGTCCACAAACCACAAGTCTGGCTATTATTCGTCCTCTACAAAGCCGACAAGCTGTCGTCTGTCAGGGAATCATGTTGGCTAGAAATTAAAAATATTTTGGCTTCTGAATGTGGAGAGTGGAAATGGTGGGTGTTGAATCATGAATGTGGCCCAATACACAACACACAACATGCCATGGTGGAATTCACAGACTTTTTTTTATGAGGGGTTTTTTTGTTAATTTATAAGTATTTTGATTAATCTTTTTTGTTGGTTTGATCAAAGTCAAATCATCTATGCTGGAATTAGGGTATTTATAAAAGAGAAATAAATTATTTATGGCTTAACTTTAAAAAATTATCAAAATTTAAATTTAAAATATCTGAATTTACGTGAACCTTTGAAGAACCTTTATCTTTTGCCGAGAATCTCTCTTTGTTGTTTACGAACACCACTACAAGAAGTAAAGCTGCCCAAGTTCAAGTCTAGTCTTAGTAATTAATTGCTTTGCTTATTCAATCTTTTGGCAATTTTTTTTTTTTTTTTTTTGTTTTTGGCTTGTGAAAAATGGAGTAGACGCAAAGAAAAGTGTTCAGAGACCACTCTAATAGGCCTTCACTGATATGATCACGAGACTTCATACATGTCCGCTACTCCTTTCGAAAACGAATTTAACTAATCGAAAAATATGATAATAAACAAAGCTTAAATGATATAGTAATTGATATGATAAGTAAAATTTAAATATTAAATGAGTAAAAGAGGAACCAAATCTGTTATTCTTGCAGTATCATGTAATTTGATCCATTATCATGCTCTCAAGTCTAACATTATTCTTTGTGAATTATCCGTTCTTTTTAGTTTTGCTTCAAGCACGGATAGCTGCAATGCGATATTGTGTTCCAAATTATTGTTGTACGGCATATATGTAATAACCACAGGAACACCCTCAAAAGGCTAGCCAAGAAGTTCATCTAAAGACATCATTCCTGCATATATATATATATATATCTAAATTTTTGAGGTGGAATTCAACAAACGATAATGCGGGCCTTAACAATCTCTCCTCTTTTATTATCTCTCGTTCTTGTGAGAGACCCACAATCAATCACAAAATACCACGACCCCACATTACAGTGGCCCCGAACCCACGCGATCATGTGCATGGGTCGGCTCTGATACTTTATGTAATATTTAACATCAATTATAATTTTAATTATGGAGATTTATTAATTACTGAAAATTTTTAGTGCTCCGTATTTGAGAATATTGGTGGTAGTTTAGTTCGTGCACCGGACCCAAAGCAAGTCGGGTTTGGATCGCGACGATATATGATACCAAAATCGTTGCAACATTTTTCATTATGTTTGTCTGACATTTTAAGAAAGAAACGATAAACCAGTAGTTAGAAAAAATGAGCCCGATTGTGTTAGTTTTTGTGTTGCCTAAGGTAATATCTATATAATAAAGTATAACAAATTTAAATTTTGAAGACAAAGAGTGATTTAGATCGTTTCGTGAGCAAAAAAAATATCATCCAACGGACGGCGTTATCCCAAACTGTCTCAAGTTATTGACGTCTCAGATCGTTTTGATCCGACGTACCACATTAGCTCTTTTGAAATATTTTTGCTACTCAAAATTTTTAGTTTTCAAAATTGATATTTCAAAATTTAATTCTCCCAAATTTTTCCCTTAAATCAAGCAAATATTTTTCTCTCTCATTCTCATTTCTCTGTATCTTTTTCACGCTCAATTTATACAAAAAATATCAATTTTTTATAATATTTTTCCTCCGTATATCTCACGAAAATATCACAAAAATATTAGAAAGTGTTTGATTCAAACAAATACTACATCTCTTTGTAGATAGATAGTATATATATCACAGAGAGAGATAATATATTACGAAAATATTCATATATATCTCTTTCTGAAATAAAATTATATAATAAATATTAGATAGATAGTATATATCATAAAAATATTTTTCTGTATCTCTCTCTTTTATTCAAGCAATACTACAAACACGAATCATACAAATTCAGTAGTCAAATTTGTTTTTTCCATAATTAATAAATAAAAGCATAACTTGCAAAAAATCTAATTTGTCAAAGAAAATATGTTTAACATGTAAAATATACAAGATTAAATTCAAGTTATTGGGCAACTCAGATATCAAGAGATATATTAAAAAAATATGCTTAACATTTAAAATATACAAGATTAAATTTATATACAAACATGAATTATACAAATTCAATATTTAGTGAATAACACAAAACAACAATATTTATTAAATAATTCAAATCTAAATACCCGAGAAAAATGATACAAAATTATAAGCAAAAAAAACGATGCAAAGTTATAAACAATACTATGAATACGAATCATACAAATTCAAGATTTAGTGAACAACATGAAGCAACAAAATAATCCAATACTAAATAAGGTTTAGTTTAAGAAAATATACTAAGAATATAAATAACCGAGAAGAATGACATAAAATTAAAAGCACTACTATAGACTCGAATCATACAAATTCAATAGTCAATTTTATTTTTTCCATAATCAATTAAAAAAAATGTAACTTGCAAAAAATCTAATTTAATAAAGGAAATATGCTTAACATATAAAATATACAAGATTAAATTCAAGTTATTGGACAACTCAAATATTAAGAGATATATTAAAAAAAATATGTATAACATTTAAAATATTACAAGATTAAATTCATATATAAACACAAATTATACAAATTCAATATTTAGTGAACACCACAAAGCAACAATATTTACTAAAAAATTCAAATCTAAATACCCAAGAAAAATGATACAAAATTATAAGGGAGAGAAACGATATAAAATTATAAGCAATACTATGAACACAAATCATACAACTGCAATATTTAATAAACAACACGAAGTAACAATCTTTATTAAATAATCCAATACTAAATAACATTTAATTTAAGAAAATATACTAAGAATTTAAATAATCGAGAAATAATTATATAAAATTAAAAACACTACTATAAACTCGAATCATATAAATTCAATAGTCATGTCATATATTTTGCAAGTCGGTTGAATTTCTAATAGTTATATTTGGTCATTTGACAACATCTGTAGATTTTGTTTATTTGTGAGACTATTGTTTTAATTTTCATTCTATTAGTTATAAATTATATTATTATTTAGATAAAGTTGATTATGAATGTTAAAATCGTAGAATTTGAATAAAAAACAGAACATTAAATATTATCAATTGATATATTTTTTCAGATGTTTGAATTATTATGTTTCAGTAGTTATAACATAATTTTCGTGGCGTAACAATTTATTGTGAAAATATATGTTATGCATGTAAGTTGATATTATAAAAAATATTAGTAGACTCATTTTATTCGTCATTTACTATAATGTTATATTTTACTTTACATTTATGTATGGACAAATATTTGTAACTAATTTACGAATAACACCGTGCCTTCAGACACGGGCAATTGCTAGTATAAGCTGTCACTATTTATCTCCTATTTTTAACTAGTTTCATTATCCAAACACCAAAACGTCCATTATATTTTAAATAGATGATCAAGAACTATAGTTAGAAACACAATATGAAAAATACGATAGTTGAAGAAATATTATGAAATAAATTTATTGGTATATTTTTTTATCGATGAGTATTTGGTTTAATGGTACTTTTTACTTTGTAAAGACTCGTGATTGGTTAGTATGACGGACTTCAATTGTTTGGATAAATCGTATTTAAATCTCTGGTGTGTGTTCGAATTCCCATCAAAATGTAATTTTGATTTAACCGATGCATAAGTTAAAAGATTGGTTCATGTACCTTAGGTTTGCTCTCGGTTTAATTCAAATTCACGAGCTTAAGTGATATAATTGCATCTCTGCTCACCGAAAGAAGACCAAGAATTTCTTCTATTACCAAAAAATTTAAAAAAAAAATCTTGTATGCTTTTCTCCCTCAAATAATTGGGAGGAAAAAGAAACAAGAGAGCAAAGTAAAAAGGGTGAGCCATGGGAAAAGATACTATCTTTTGTGGCCAATAACATTTCGTGAAATTACACTTTGATCTACAAGGGGGGACCATATGAAAAGCGTCGTTATAATTTTTAAATGTGTTCAATGTGAAAATACGACATATCTTTTGGACCATGCCCAGAACCGAAAGCAATTTAATTCTTATTTAAATAATAAAGATAATATAACTAAATTTTAAGAATAATTTATCTTCCAAAGTCATCCTACCACTAGCCCACATTCGTGAAAGTTCACCGGTCGAATTAATTAGATAGCTTTAAAAAAAAACCAAACGGTCGGTGCAGGTCATATGTGGTGGGACCCACAACTAACAAATATCATTGCTGCAATAGGGTCGGGCATGACTTGACTTGACTTGGAGACCAAATCCACAATCAAACCTTACTATACCAAATCAATTGGATTATAAGTCCATGAAATGCTTTGCAACAATTAATTAATTTTTATTTGATTATTACTCGATGAATTATTCGCGAATTCATCTCTTTAAAGTAGGACTAAGACCGCATATTATTCATCTTTCTCAATTTCGCTTATTTGTAGTGCTATAGCTTTCGCATATATTTACTAAATATATTAAAACAATATGTTAGTTTATACATTTAATCTACTTTTACAAGCCAGAGTAAAAGTTGATTCCGAATGACTGATCACGACTAACAATATGAGTCACTTTAACAAGAGCATCTTCTTATTTCTCAACAAACCAAAAAGGTAAGGACAAAATATGAGGATTTATCTATATTTTTAATAATCACAACTATATAATTTCGATTTTTATAATCACATTATTGTTTACATTGCATTATATCTACGCGTTATTGAACCACTAATTGATAAATCGAATATGATAATATCATCACAAATCTTTTTAAACTACCTATTTTACCCTCTTACAGCATAAGAAAACGACAACATTTTGCTAAAGTTTAGAAAACTCAAAGAAAACATTATTTGGTATTCCCCACCTAATCGGAGATGTAGAAGAACCACCATCTATTGAAACTCTCGCTAATCTATATGCAATATCATGTCTCACCCTAACCATTTTGTAGATTGCGACTCTATAATCTTCTCTCCCAAATCAAAATCAAATAGTACCATTCCCTCAAGTGTGACTCCCCAGTCCTTTTCTCGACCTTTCACCCATAATCCCTAACGTCAAACCTAACCTATCAGACTACTCTAACCAGGTAACCATGCTCTCTTGTAGGGGAAAAACTTCTCACTAATGAAAATACTTGAGAGGAAATGACACTTGTATAATAGGGGTATATTTGGTAATTCAATTTTTTGTATGAGCAAAATGCTAACTTCATATTGGGAAAGAAGTATAATTTCAAAAATCCAAAAGGGTGCATCTTGAAATTATCCAAAACCATTGTGGGTGCAATTCTAATTTACCCAAAAAGTAAACATTGGTGATTGGTGATAAATGTGTATAAAACAACTTATGGGCTCATAAATAAGTACCCAATTGGGAGGGTAGGTTTGTGGGCTTTTCGGCACCGGTGGCGTCGCTGTCAGTAGAGTGATAGACGGATCTGTTATCGTGTTCATAATAGATTTGGGAGTCAAAGAAGATTGAAGTGAACCCCTCTCTCTCTCTCTCTCTCTCTCTCTCTCTCTCTCTAAATTGTTGCTTTGGAAGCGATTCAATCTTTTGTTGTTGGATCGATTTGGGAAGGGAAGTGATTAGGGTTTTGTAGCTGTTTGTTTGATGATTGTAGAGCATATACAAGTTAAAAAAATGGAGGCACAGTACATAAGAAGATACCACAGGCACCAACCCAGGGAGCACCAGTGCACTTCCTCTGTTGTTAAGCATATCAAAGCTCCTGTTGATATCGTAAACCCTCTCTTTAGCCCTTGCTTTTTCGTGATTCTACATGTATGTGTGTGCTCTTGTCTAATTATGTGTGTAGATTGATGCTCCATCAATAAATGTTTGATATTTCTTTTCATGGTTTTGATTTTGGTGTTTATAGTTTTCTTGTAACATTTTTCTTAATCTATGCTCTGTTTGGTTGTTAATAATTGCAGGAAATGAGAGGGCATGGTTATTGTTGTAGTTTCATGATTTTCTTTAATTACAACGGATTTATGCTCGTTTATTTGCTCTTTTTTTTTGGGTACAGATCTGAGAACTTAAGGGGGTCTGGAGTCTATTCGTTTCTTTGGTATTGATATTTGTTGGAATTTGACTTATCAGGGTTTGATTAGGTGAATGGAGACGCATTCTTAGTGTGTATAATTGAGTTTAATCTTGCACGTTTTTCTTAATTTTTAAATGGAATCTGGGTTTGATGATAAAGTTTACCCAAATTTAGTCTTAATTTTTCTTGCTCATTTAATATACCCTTTTGGTCGCCTAGAAATTTGCTTTGAGGAGAAAAAAAAACCTCTTTGTCTTGTAGAAATGTTTTATTTATTGTGTGGTGAGCTCCTCATCGCGAGGAAGGAAGACGGTCTAAAAAACAAAGCAAATTATTGTGATTTATTCTTTTCAACCTGTTTTCCTACAATTTAATGGAGGGATAACCACTTACCTGCTGTCGTCTGGTTTGAGTTTGGTCATTGCTTTTTAATTTTGACCATGGTTATTTTTTAGCTCTAGCTGAACTGTTTCCACTGACCATTTGTGTCCTTTTGTTAGGTTTGGTCATTGGTGAGGCGATTTGATCAACCACAAAACTACAAGCCCTTTGTTAGTAGGTGTATCGTGCAAGGGGACCTTAATATTGGGAGTGTCAGAGAAGTGAATGTGAGGTCGGGCCTTCCGGCCACGACCAGCACCGAGAGGCTGGAGCTTCTTGATGACGAGGAGCACATCCTTGGCATCAAGATTGTTGGTGGTGATCATAGGCTAAAGGTATGGTTTTTCACTTTAAAGTTCTTTGATTTTGTTGCTCTTTGCCTGCCATTCCCATGCTCCATCTAGGCTTAATACCAAAGTAAAAGCATTTTATATGAGGATGATATTCTTGCGAGTTTGTTGATATTCTTGGAGAACATTGGTACTCAGTGATGAAGGATGTGTGGGTATCACTTGTAAACAAGTTTTGACTGCAAGTTGATGTTGCACAGCAAAGAAAAGAACTTTAGGACTTGATTTTTGAAGTGTAGGCAATGACTATTTTGGGAGTTTTTGGTGGTCTTCGGGCAAGGGGATGTGTTGGGGTGTGCAGAATTTTAACGAGGAGAAAGAAGAAGAATTGGTTACACAATTCTTATAAATAAACTCTATTGGGTCAGTGGGACTACACACATGTTTGTCCGATAGAAGAGTCGTCATTATAAAGACTAGGATTCCAAATCAGAGAACTAAGAATGTTGGACTACTGGGAATGCTCCGCACCACCTAAGAATTTCATAAAAAAAAAATGAGATAACCTTGATTGGTACAATATATGATCCATATGACTACGACAACTATGCGTGTTGAGTAATTGTTGGAAATTCCAAAATATGCTTGTCCCAAAATCTAAACAAGTAAATCTGACCAGTAACATACTAACTTGAGCTAAATGAAAACTAGAGACTTTTTTCATACAAAAAAGATCTATTGCAGTTGCTTGTTGTGGGGCCAATAGAATGTGGTTTAGGCTTTCAATGCCTACAATATATGTCCAACTCTCAGCTTGTCACTTGTTCTTGGAGAAAAGAAGTATAATAAGAAAAGAGGAGCAGAGGAGGTGGATTTGTATTTTCTATTTATCGATTTGTGAGCATATTGACTTGTGTTCCTTTGTATTTCTAACTTCTGAGATTAAGTTCATATAATTCTATATCTAAGCTTACGCTTGGAGTCGAACTGCCTGAAAGGTGTATTATTTCCTGTCTTTTAAAGCCAATGGAGGTCTGCATGCATAGCCAACATATTTGAATACTCTTTTTTAAATGCCAGTTTTCAAATGATTACCAGAAACTTGAGATTTTCCCGATAAATGGCATAGGTTTGATTCATGATAAAATTTGTGCAACTGCCCATGAATACTGATTGTGTCTGCCATGCATATGAAGTGCCCTTAATATTTTGGTAGGAAGTTAATAAGTGTACTTCCATGGTCCTTCTTCACTTTGGGAGTTGTGCAAGTAATCATAAGTATGCCAGCATTGTTTCATTTTGTTCTTAAATTTGCAGAACTATTCTTCGATCATTACTGTTCATCCAGAGATAATGGACGGTGGGAGACTGTGCACATTAGTGATTGAATCCTTTGTGGTGGATGTACCTGATGGTAACACTCAAGAGGAGACATGCTACTTCGTTAAGGCCTTAATCAATTGCAATCTCAAATCTTTGGCTGATATCTCAGAGAGAATGGCCACGCATGGTAATTGAGTCTGAGTTGGTGGCTTGGGGGATTGTGCAAGAGTCTGAAGTCCGTTACTAAGCCATACGAGTGTTTCAAATCCAGAAGCTTTGGAGAGATGGGTTAGAGCAGATCTTCCATTTCTCTGAGGTTCTGAAAACAGTCTGGTTGTAGCTTTTCCATTTTCCTGTTTTTTATTTGCTTGCTTTGGTTTCTTTTTCTTACCATTGAAGAGACGTTGGGGTTCATCTCCATATAGCCTCAGAATTCCGGGAAATGACTGAGGGTTTGCTTACCCTCTACTATTATAATTCCTGGTTCTGAGCACCTTGTTATGTAAGATAATTTGGAGCACCGTGTTTTGTGTAAGATAGTGTGCTACTACATTTGTAAATATTTGTGCAGAAATTTCCATGTCGTAGGTGCAGCTCCTGGTTTGCTGGGAACCTTTGAGTAGCTGTGTTTCCTTTTAGGAACTCTTGTATATATATGATGCAACTCTTCCAGGCATTATGAGTAAACAGTTGGTGTTGCTTTTATTTCTTTGCTCCTTATTCCTAGCTATGCTTCAACCTTATAAATCGTTCTGGTTATAGATTACATAATGTTGACACAACCAAACACAGCTATCTTGCCCACAGCATTCTCGATGTCAGCATGTTGGCCTGTCAATGGACTGGGCCCAGCCTGTGGTTGGAAAAAGCCCGCTCTGAAAGGGGCCATGGGCTTGCTTGGCCCGTCCCATGCCACTAGGTGTTTGATGGGTCGGGGCATTGGCTGAATTAGGGGCAAGCTTGAGGCCGGCCTCCTAAAACTTATTTTAAGTCATAATTCAATGAACTTCTCTGAGTTTATTAGCTACATTTTCATCAGTTGTAAATCATAAATTCTTACCAAAATTCTGTAAATTATAATTTGTAAGTTCAGGTTTTCGTATTATCTACTTTTTTATTATTATTATTTAAAGAATAGACCCAGGGACGCCCAGCCCAGACCAGGAAATTAGAATTTCATAATTATAGTACGCTAGGAAGGATCTATTTGAAAGGAAGAACGATTGGCACATAGGGACATCGGTTTAAGCTCCTTCAATGAGTAGTGCACGACAAAGATCTGTATATATAAATTTGTTCACTGTCTGAACAAGTTGGTGATTGTTTGCATAAAAGTCTCTTCTTTTTCATTTTGTAATGTTGTCAAGATTTTCATTGGGTAATATTGGTTGAACATATTCTTTAACCTGTCATTCCTTAATCACGAACTGTACACTTTCTGGTTGAATCTTGAGTCGCCTCTCTCTCTCTCTCTCTCTCTCCATGGCATTTCGGATTACTTCCTGATTTTCTTTCTTTGTGAATCCAGATCAGTCAGTCATGCCTCCATGAACTTTACAGCTGACAAAAACAATTCTATGTAATATCTGAAGGATAAATAATACACCATCTTACCAGAAATCGTTGCAGGAACACTTCCCTTTCCGGAAATGATGAAACCTAATGCCATCTTTGAGGAATATCTCATGGTTTTGCGCCAAGGACATGTATTTTGCTGCTGTGTGACAATCAGAGCAAATTCTTGTGTTCTTGATCACCCTTATGGGAGCACTAGTTTTGGTCTTGATCAGCCCATATGTAATTGCTAATTTCTCGGTATGAGCAAGTAGCACCTTCTCCTTCTCGATCTCATCAACGTTCTGATACACACATTTGGTATCAGGCACATATCCCAAATTCTTCATCTCCGAAATCAACTGATATAACTCAAAATATATCTCTCCTTCGTCTGGATGAGGTTTTCCTGCTGCAGAGAACACATGAACTGTCTGATTGATTTGTATCCAGCTCCATACATGCCTATTTTTCACTCCCACATCAACAATCATATCTCTAATATGCTCTACATCTTCCCATCTGTTCAAGCGTGAGTATAAATTCATCATCAAAACATAGTTAGCTGAATTATGTGGTTCTAACTCGAAAAGGTTCTTTGCTGCAATCTCTGCAAGCTTCACGTTTTCATGAATTCGACATGATCCTAGAAGAGCCCCCCAGACTGTGGCGTCTGGAACCATTGGCATTGTCCGAATGAAATCCCATGCTTCATCGAGATATCCAGCTCTTCCAAGAAGATCTACCATGCAAGAATAATGCTCAAGTGTTGGGATTATGTCATAATCTTTGTTCATACTGTCGAAGTATTTCCAGCCTTCATCAATTAATCCTGAATGCTTGCAACTAGAGAGGATGGCTGTGAAGGTTATGGCATCTGGCTGGATACCCAATTCTCGCATTTCATCAAAAAGTGAGATTGCCTCTTTACCAAGGCTGTAAATTGCAAAACCAACGATCATGGAGTTCCAAGAAGCTAAAGTTTTGTTCTGAATTCTCTGAAAGACCTCATAGGCATTCTTTAAACTGCCACACTTACTGTATGTATCAATAAGGGATGTGGTTACAAATACATCTTCCATGAAACCATTTCTTGTGGCCAGGCAGTGTATTTCTTTCGACTTCTGCAATGAAGACAGACCTGCACAGGCTCGAACTAAGCAGGATATGGTGGCCGAGTTAGGCTTGATACCCTCCTGTTGCATTTGAATGGAAAACTCAAGTGCATCCTTATATTTTCCTAGTTGTGAACAACCCGATATTAGGGCAGTCCATGAAACTACATTAGGAATCAAGCCTGCTACTTTGATACGACGAATCACAGCTAAAGCTTCCTTAATGCGACCCCAGATTGCATATCCAGAAACCAGGCCATTATACGTCACTAGATCTGGTTCAATTCCTTCACTTTCCATTTGATTCAATAATTTTACCCCGTCTTCGAATTGGCCCTTGAAGGAATATCCTGAAATTAAAGAATTCCAAGCAAAATGGTTTTTACTCTTCAAACTACCAAAAACACCTTGAGCATAGCATAAGTTATCATTCTTAACATACATATCTAGCAGCGAAGTTCCTACATATATATCATAGTCGAGCCTATTTCTCATCACATATCCATGTATTTCCTTTCCAAAATTCAAGGAGCCCAATTCACTAATTGCTTGAAGAACACTAGTGATGGAGCTTGAGTTAGGCTTGAAACCTGAAACCTGCATTTTCAGCAGAATGTTTAGGACTTCCTGGTATGATCCATGTAGGAAATGGCCTGACAAAAGGCAATTCCAGGTTATAATGTCTGGTGTCACATTGGTAGTTTCCATTTCATAAAATAGCTTCCATGCATCATTTAGATAACCATGTGCAGCATATCCCGAAATAATCGAGTTCCATGAAGATAAATTACGGTTTTTCATGGAATCAAAGACTGCCCTAGCTAGTTCAAGATTGCCATTTTTGCAGTACATACTAATCAATGAATTGCATATCAACAAATCAGACTCCAACCCGAATCGAATAACGTACCCATGAACCTGCTTTCCTTCATCAAGAGCCTCCAATTTTGAACAAGCTTGCAACACTTTGGCAATTGTGAAACTATTAGCTTTCAAAAAAGAAATTTGCATTTCACCAAACAGTTTCAGACCTTCCTCCCATCTCTCCTTCCTCAAATTCACCAAAATGGCTTCATTCCACAATAGAGCTTCGCAATCTGGCATTTCATGGAATACCCGATTGGCACTGTCAATGTTCCAACATCTCCCATAAAAGTTCATCAATGCACACTTCAAATAGACATCCAAATCAAAGCCCCTCTTGATCAAACATGCATGAACTTCCAAACCTAACCATATATTCATTATATTGGCACATATCTTCAAAATAACAGCAAGAATTCTACTGTCAAAACTCACTCCTTTTCTATGCAGCTCCCCAAAGACCTCAAGAATTTCATCTGGGTTACCTCCAAAACTCTTGAAATCTTGTAGAAAACAATTCCAATACAAATAACTTTGAGCTAAACCCACGAAGAAAACAACTCCAGCCGATTGAAAGTCACTGAAATCCAGATAAGCTGTGATCAAAGATTGCATTTCTGTATCTGAGTTTCCTTTATTGGACAACTTTATGATCTGGGCATGCATTGCTTTTACTAAATTCAGGGAATTTAGCTCATTTAAGTTACCAAATGAAAAAGAGTTGGACAAATTGTTCAGAGAAGAAGATTCAAGGGAGACAGAGAGTAAGGTTTCAGGAGAGGTCATTGCAACATTACGCAGACTAAGATTGATGGAAGAGCTTCTTGATTGCTTGATGATGAGAGGGTTTCGAAGGCTTAATGCGTTGAGATGGTGCCATGGAGTGATTGTCTCCATGGAAGTTTGATAGTTAAGTGTGGAATTGAAGGTGGTTGGCCTGTGGAAAAAATGATAATTAAGGGAGGAAATTGGAGGGCTCTCATTGTAGATGACAACTCAGTGATAAAAACAGTATGTAGGGACTCAGATTTTTAGTGGATAAGGTTATCTATCTATGCTCTTTTACATAAAGTTCTTGGACCATGGCAGCCGTGAACCCGGTCTGACCAACATGCCAAACCGAGTTGACTCACTAAAACTGTACCTTCAATTTTGTATCAATAAGCTTGGATTGTGTAGAGATACAATCTTTGGGATTCATTGCATGCTTAGCCTAGCTTGTCAATGAAAGTTTGCTGCATTTCTTTCACATTGATGTTTTGAGTAAGAACTGCATTGCCAATGAAATTGTACCAAGAGAAATGGGCCATAAATGTCAATCAACTTTAGTTTTGTCGGAGACATTTCATGTGGGCTCAAATGATATATAGTTTTTCAAATTACACTCAATTTCTTGCCAGAAAAGGATTGTTTCAGTTCATAGGCAACCATTTGATCAATTTCATATGCTAGAGCATAATCAAATTTTGCTTGAGATTAGCAAATATTCTGAGCCAAAAAAAGGCCAACTGGGTTAAAGTATTGTAATACACAACTCATAAGCAAGAATCATCATTTTGTGTGTTCATTGGAGCATATTCTCAAACATATAGATGAAATTTAAGTACCAAGAAAAAATTGTAAAGGAATGTATTACTGGGCTAAGAATGCCCAGAAGCTGACATTGTTGATTTGTTTCTGAGGTGGTTGCACACTTGCACTCTGCTAGCTTGGCCTTTTCTCTTTTGGAAAGGGGACATGATCAATAGAACCTGGTTCGATCTGGGTTGGGATGTTGTTGGTGCAATAAAGTTATTTGAAGCATCGCCATAGAGAAGAAGACTGGAATGAAATGAATACTGAATGCTGCTATTTCAATAAGAGAGAACATTTAATATAAACTAGATAATTGTTGAAACCATCTCGAGATTTTAAAAACTTCATATGGTCATCCTAACAAAAACTGATGAACAAGTAAACTCAAACAGCATGGGTTGATTAACCCAAAAAAAAAAAAACAGGATAGGTTTTTGAAACAATCAAAGAAGGTGTGAACACTAGCAATGATGTGTTAGCAAAAGTGCAAAAAAAAATTTGGACCATTTCTCGATTTGTGCGTGTCATCCTTGCGCAGGGGCCATGCTAATCTTCTCTGTATCGTTCCAATTTTATCGGATGTCCCCGAAGGGACAATCTTTGCTTGGTGGTCCAGGTATATGACTGCAGGAAAACTATTGCAGTTTGTCGATGTGGGACTTTATGTAAAGCTCATGACTCAGATTCCAAATAAAAAAAGGTTGAGTCTCTGTCTTTCTTACTCTGTTGACTCAAGTGAAATTAACCAGGACTTCTATGAAAACTGAAAAATAGGAATGAAATCAAAAACTGAAAATCTGTCTAATTAAGCTCCACACTTATTTATGTTCAATCAGATTTATGCCTTTCTTGCTTGTACAATTATTTCTAAGGTGGACAATAGCAGTCCATTGAATCAAAGTATTCAAAGCTTACCATTTAATTGACCTTCCATTGTCTCTATGTTGTTTGCAGCAACTTCTGCAAACAAGGCACAGGATGTTACCTAGGTTCTGGTATATCAACCTTGCAAGATATGGAAGGGCCAGAAGTCCTTGAGGCAGAGTGATCAAACAGTGCCCTGAAGATGGGAGATCTGAATATATATCTTCGTGGCATGATCATTCAAAACTAGTTTTGAGACTTCATAATATTGATGGCAAACCGGCTTTGTGATTTTCGGGGGGGTCTCTCTGATCCCAATAGACCAAAAAATTGGTCCTGAGTTACATTTTTGGCTTGTCAATCCTCCTGAACAGAAAGGAACTTGGTATCTCAGTTATATCAGTTATCATATTTAAGAAAAAATTGCATCAACAACTCATGCCCTCTAGTTCATCCTCAACCGTACAAATTGCAGAATGACCATGGAATTACTCCCCAGAAGTCAAGAATCCAAATTCCCTAATTGCTGGTCTTGAAACGCGCAGCTTGCATTCTTTGCAAAATGGTAAAGGAAAACTTATTGTCCATGCATGCATCATGGAAATGGCATGACAAAATACAACTCCAATTTCATATGCTAGAGCACTTTCAGTTTTCGCTTGAGACAAGCGAGTTTAGGATGGCAAACATTTTCAGTCAGAAGAGGCCGATTGGGCAAAATATTGCAATATACAACTTATAAGGAAGAATCACCATTTGTGTGTTCATTGCAGCATATTTGCAAACATGTAGAAGAAATTTAAGGACTAACAAAAACTGTCAAGGAAATAATGCTTTACAAAAATTGCACAAAGTATTTATAATGCTGTATTATTGAATACCCAACTGACATGGTTACACAATTGCACTTTTCTTGCTTGGCCAGTTCTCTTTTAGGCTGTCAATGCAACTGAGATTGAGTCTGTGACAGGTTGTCGATAGCAATAAAGCAATTTGAAGCATCACCATAGAGAAGCACACTGAAATGAATACTGAATGGTGAGATTTCAACAAGAGAGCATTTTAGATTGATGTTTGCTTGTTAGAGAACACAATCATCAGTTGGAATTTGATGGTATTTAGATGTGTAATTATTACTGTAAATTTAACTATTCTGAAGAAAAAAATTGTGATTCAGAAACCAAATAAAAAGGGTTGGATTTACAAATAGAAAAAAATCAGAATTTATGGTTGAGCTAGTTTAGGCTCAAACAGATACGTTTTAGAGACCATCAGGGGACAGAGAGGTTGGATTTTCAAACAATAGTGTTGCAAGTGTGATCACTAGCAATGATTGGTTAGTGGAAAATGTGAAAAAAATTTTTTGGACCATTTCATGATTTGTGCTACTAATCTTCTTTTTATCGTTCCAATTTTATCGGATGTTCCCGAAAAGACATTTTTTTCTTGTTAGCCCTGCTATATGGCTGCAGGAAAAGTATTGTAGTTTGTCGATGTGGGACTTAAAGTAAAGCTCATGACTCAGATTCCACATGAAAAGCTTGGAGTCTGAGTTTTTCTGACTTTAAATATAAGAATGAAATCAGAAACTGCAAAGATGTCTGAGATCCACACTTATTTATGTTCAATCAGATTCATGCCATTCTTGTTTGTGCAGTTATTTCTAAGGTGGACAGTAGCTGTCCATTGAATCAATGTATTCAAAGCTTACCATATATTTGACGTTCCATCATCTCTATGTTGTTTTCAGCAAGTTCTGTGAGGAAGGGATGGGACATTACATCGGGTATATCAGCCATGCGAGAGATGTAAGGGCCAGAAGTCTTTGAGGCAGAGTGAACAAACAGTACCTTGAAGATCTGTTCATGGGGAGAACTGAATATATATCTTGGTGGCATGATCATTCAAAACTGTTTCAGAGACTTTTCAATATTAGCGGCAAACCAGTTTTGTGATTTTCAGAGGGGGTCTCCGTGATCTCTAGACATGCCTTTGAAATTGTATCAAGAGAAAGGGGCAGTAAATGTCATCAGTTTTAGTTTTGTCCAAGCCATTTCAAGTGGGCTCAAATGGGATATATTTCTTTCAATTACATTCAATTGTGCAGCAAAGGATTGTGTTAATTCATACATAAATGGAGCTGCATAAGCTTCTTTAATCTTTATAGCAGGAGCCAAGCAAGGAAGTTTTATACTTCTAAGGACAGAAAGAGAACTAACAATTTCATATGCTACAGCATTTTCAGTTTTTGCTTGAGACTGGTGAGTGTAGGATAGCAAAGTAAACATTCTCAGTGACAAGAGGCAAATTGGCCTAAAAGATTATGGTAGACAACTTACAGGCAAGAATCACCGTTTTTGTGTTCATTGCAGCATATTCTCAAACACAGATGAAATTCAAGCTCCAAGAAAATTGTGAAGGAAAATTATGTTCTCTACAAACATAATATTGATATTTCTGTATTAATGAATGCCAAGAAGCTGGCATTGTGCCCGAGACGGTTGCACAATTGCAATTTTCTTGCTTGGCCAGTTCTGTTTTAGTCTTTCAAAAAAACTGAGATTCATTCTGTGACAAGCTTTTGATGCAGTAGGTACATTAGATTTAATGAATGGTGGCTACAGAACACAAACATCATACCCATCCTAAGTAGAATATTGAACATAAATTACAAAATTGTCAAAACTTTCGCCTTTAGAGAGAGATTTTAAGAACTCTATTTGGTTATCAAACACAAAGCTGATGAAGTGATCAAATCAAACAGATGGGTTATAAAGATAATCCGAGGACAAGCAGAAGGCAGATGTGATCACAAGGAATGAATAATTGGTTAGCAGAAAGTCAAGGACCATGTTAATCTTCTCTGTATCGTTCCAATTTTATCGGATGTTCCCAAAGGAACTATCTTTGCTTGTTTGCCCTGCTATATAACTGCAGTAAAGCTATTGTAGTTTGTCGATGTGGGACTATATGTAAAGCTGATGACTCAGATTCCAAATAAAAAAAGGTAGAGTCTCAGTCTTTCTAACTCTGTTGACTCAGTGAACTTAACAATAACCAGGACTTCTGTGGAAACTGAAAAATAGGAATGAAATGAAAATATGTCTAATTAAGTTCCACAATTATTTATATTCAATCAGATTTATGCCTTTCTTGCTTGTACAATTATTCCTAAGGTAGACAATAGCAGTCCATTGAATCAAAGTATTCAAAACTTGCCATTTAATTAACCTACCATCATCTCTATGTTGTTTGCAGCAACTTCCACGAGCAAGGCACGGAACGTTACTGAGCTTCGGGTATATCAACCACGCCAGAAGTCCTTGAGGCAGAGCTGCAATCCTAAACTCGCCCCTCTCAGTTTTTGCTTGAGACGGGCGAGTTTAGAATTGCAATATTTCTAGGTCAAAAAAGGCAAATTGGCCCAAAAATACTGTGATATAACAGCTTATATACAAGAATCACACTATTTGTGTACATTGCAGCATATTCCCAAACATATAGATGAAATTTAAGCAACTGAGAAAAACTGTGAAGAAAAAATGTTACCTGCAAAAGAAAAAGAA